AAGGCTGTTCTACAGAAATACAACACTGTTTTATTCAACATTTCCCATATACAGGCCAAGAGTACAAGGCCCTGCCCTAGAGGAAGGGAAGACAGATGGAGGCAACATTTATTGCTGTGGGATACTATCGAAGTCCCAAAGTTTAAAATTGCCTAACTGCTCTGCTACTTCATTGCAGTAGAGTACAGAGACCTTAATGCCAAAAGCTTCATGGAAATGGTGGAATGTTGAGAAAGGATTTGAAAGAAGGGAGATGGCATTGCGGAGACATGGAGGCAGAAATCATAGGCAGGGGTATGTCAGGATATTAAACCAGAGATAAGAAGGCAAAACTTGGAGGTCTTTCAAGGAAACGATGAGGAACTTCTACATGTTCCAACAGTAGTTGGGGCTCCAGAATGGGAATATGAGGAGCAGAATCATGAAGTCATAACAAGAGATGGGTATGGCTTTGGCAAGAGAATGCAGGATGGAGATGAGTAGACCAATCAAAGGCCAGATAGCAAAAGATTAGAGTATTTGAGATGAGATTAACAGGGTGTGAAGCCATGTTTTTGCTAAAGTGTCAAACATAAAGGCCACATTTTTGGTAACGTTGCCTCAGAACATGGAAGGCAAAGTAGGAGTTGAAGAGAAAGCCATTCCTATTTGTCTATTCAAAAATATGGGGGATTTATCTGGCCAGGGCGACTTCTTTTCTTTTCTTTTCTTTTCTTTTCTTTTCTTTTCTTTTCTTTTCTTTTCTTTTCTTTTAAACTTTTCTAACTCCTTTTATATCGTTTATATTTTTTACTTATTTTATATTATTAATTTTAATTTTATATTGTTATTTTGTATTGTATTGTATTTTATTGTGTTGTAAGCCGCCCCGAGGCTTCGGCAAGGGGCGGCATAGAAATGTTCTGATGATGATGATGATGATGATGATGATGTTAGTGCAAAAGCAGAATAGAAGGTGGCTTATGATGAATGATGTAAAATCAGTCTCGGACATATTAAGCTTGAGATAATGGTGAAGTATCTAAGCAGACAGGTCAGAGAAATATTCAGTGAAATTTGAAAGGTGGAAATAGAGAAAGGGAGGAAATGCAACTGGGTGTTGCCAGTGTGAGTACTGAAAGTGATGTGATGAGGTGAACTAGTGACAGTTTTTATAAAGAATTGTAGAGGACTGAGAACAGAACACAAAGGGAACCCAACTGAGAGAGGTAATTAGCGCATTATATCATTATCCAGTGAAAAACATAGCTTGTGTGACAGTTTTATGCCACATTTTATTTCATTCTTGTGCGGTGAGTCAAATGCAACTTTGTTTTCCCAGTGCGAAGAAAATACAAGTTTTCAGGATTGTAGTCGCTACCTCAAATTCCCCTTTTCAAAGGGGCATCTCCTTGCAAACAACCACCAAGCATTAAAAACCACCAAGGAATCGTTCTGGATCACATCTTTCCTGTGCTCAACTAAACTGACACAAAATGGTAAGGTAACATGTTGATTATTAAAATAGTGTAATATCCAGTCAATGGAAGGGGTGGGCTTCTTAACTAAGATGTGCTATAGACATGTTTTATAATTTAGACTTGGTGAGATCCACGCAAAATATGTCAGAGAAAACATTGGTTTAATCAGTAAATTAATAAAGAGTTTTATGGAACTGTTTGTGAGCAGAACCAAAACTGACATAGGTGTAATATTGTTAAATGATTTTTTTAAAGCAGTACAGTGGTGGAATCAGATATTTATCTCTCTTTCTCCTTTGAAGATTTATGCTTAATTAGTTTTACAGTTATTTTAGAAATAGATAAAATAACCTGGTAATGACCCCTGGGTAGGATAATGACCTCTGAGTTGTTACTAGGACTAGTAATTCTTCTGAGTTATTAGGACTAGTATAACTAGATATCAGTTATAATGCATCTGCACACTTTTGCCCCATTGAAACGTATGGCCCCATAAAGCACAGATAAATGCTTAACTGGTAACCCAATAAAATTCTATTCAAAAATAAATGTAATTCATTCAAGGTGGACTTATTTCCAGATAAGTACCTTGGCTTCAATGGCACTAAGGCAGGCTTCTTATATGCAAATTGTCTTTCCTTTGTTGTTCTGCAATGAATGCTATTATTACTAATATTTGTGGAACTCTAACTAGAAGCCTTTTCTGCTGTCTTGTGTATTGACTTTGTAGGGGACATGCTTGACCTTCTTAAGTGGCGAGCCCATCCAGAAAAAATTGCAAGTTGCCTTTCAAAATTGAAAGAAATTGATGGCTCTGAAATAGTAAAGGTGAAGTCTATTTCTACTTTTAAATTTGGTATTGAATTTTATGCTGTATCTGTACTGTGTTTTATTGTTTTTATAAATTGTTGTTATTGGCTGGTATTATTAAAAATAATAATTTCACTTTATTTTTCTCTCACTGGCAAATATAATAATATACTTTGTATAAAGTATAATAACAAAAACTTCTATATTTGTTTTCTTTTACATAGTTTCTCCAAGATACACTGGACACTTTATTTGGCATTTTAGATGAAAACTCTCAAAAGTATGGATCTCAAGTATTTGATTGTTTGGTATGGACTTCATTATACTCTGTAGATCATATTTCTGTTTTGCAGCAGGCTTAAAGACAATCCACTAATAAACACCCCTTTTTATTATTATTAGGTTCACATAATTAACTTGCTGCAGGACAGCAAATTTCAGCATTTTAAGCCAGTTATGGACACCTACATTGAGAGTCATTTTGCGGGAGCACTTGCATACAGGTAGATTTATAGAAACTATATGATTTCAGCTTACTTGGTCATTTGACTGCTTGTCTGAAAAGTAGATTACCTGTATTGATTGCACTACAGATGCAGTAAGAGTACACTTCTATTGTGATTATCATAATCCTCAAATTCAGCGATTTACCCTCATCCTGCGCAGGAAGAGGTGAATGGCTGAAGAGATATTTTCCTGCATGTCCTCCTGTTCTGCATTTAGGCTAGACTGGCTTTGTTGCCTGTCTGGTAACAAGGTTTCAGGAAGGGGAAAATAGCCTAGGAAAAGTTTGGCATAGATTATATCCTAGCTTCCACAATTTCCTCCTCTCTCTGTCCACTGGAATACTCCCTTTTCTCTCTCTGAAATTTTTCCCTGACCCTTGAAAATAGCTGGTACAGCATTTTTTTGTGCTGGCAGTGAAGAGAGGAGCTCTGATTTCCACTTCCAAGGTCGGAGCACTATTTCTGACTTCAGATCTGAGAATAAAAAATGTACTATGGCCCCTCAGACACTGTCTAGGGACCCCAGAATTGCATCCTAAACTGATACTTTAAATGAGCTGGGCTTGGGAAAAATAGATCTGGACTCCTAATTGGCAATACGTTCAGTACCATTAATTCCATTTTAGTTTAAAACCTGTTCTGCCATTCATCAAAATGAGGTATGGTTCATTTGTGTCCCTTAATCCAAAGCCTAACCCTGTTCCACAACCTATAAATATTTAAAGTTAATCCAGGCACAGGGAAGCTGCCAAAAAACCCTCGCAGATGAGAACCTGGCTTCTTGGGAGCCTTTGAACTACAATTTCAACATGGAAGGAAACAATGACATAACAATTCCCAGAAATCTTCCTCAGAGTGGACGCTACAAGGCGAAGAGGGCAAGGCTGAGGAGGAGTGCACAGATACATGGCTTATTCTTATCCTAGTAAACCTTGGTTTATGTGACCAAGATAGCTACATCTGAGATGGGCCAGTGAAAGTGAGCAAATTCAGCTCACTTTGATCAAGACTTTTACCCATTGCCGAACTTCTTCCTATCTTCCCCAGGCTGGAGGGGTTTATTCTGGGGATACCTTAGGGCAAAACAATGAACCTTCCCAGTCCCTACTGGGCCCTCTGTTCTGTCTCTGTCTGCTTTTCCTGAGGCTAGTGATGTAACAGAATGGTGAAGTACATCAGAAATTTTCTGAGCTGCAGATTCACCATCTCCAAGTTGATAAATTGTTGTAATATCCACAGAGGAGGTATTTTCTCCCTAAGGTGGTCAGTTTAACATAGAATATGAACATCCATGTGATTTTAGCTATACCTTTGAACTTCTGTAACTTGCCCTTGCATGCAAAGAGATAAAGATTTTCTGTTCCAGGCAAGGTAGCTGATCATTCCTGTTGTTGAAATGGCTCTTTTCCAGTCCATCAGGGTTAGAGAAGGTGAAGCTGTGAGGGGAAAGTACTTGTCTAATGAGCTTGTTGGTGGCAAGAGAGATTTCCCAGATTTTCCCAGATCAAGTCTAGGCACACAAAAGTAATGAACCAAAGGGAATACAGCTGAGGTAATGCCTCCCAAGTGCTCTGGGAAGGAACTCCTGATCTATGTGGACAAGATATGTCCTGTTTCTCTAATGCCTTTAGGTCATGCATAATTTGCATGCACATACACACTTTGTACATGACAGCTAGACTGGAGCCTCTTGAAATCAGAGGAGCACATTAAACTTGACAGCCCTTAATCAACATTGGCTATCATGACACACATATCTAAAGAAGTCCTTGGGGTTAATTGAGCCTAAGGATCTCTGGATTATGATCAGTTCTGTGTTTGTTAAAATTACCCTACTAGGAATGTTTGCAAACTTCCATAGCTAGTGATGGACATGAAGCATAGGAATACAAAATGCTGCCTTATATCAAATCAGACCATTGGTCCATCTAGCTTAGCATTGGTTCACACATAAGGCGTGACTTACCCCAAGGCCTGCCACATCTATTTTAAAAATGTGAGCCCTGCTGCAGGCAGGGCTTGCATTTTTTATATTGTGGTTTCCATGGTTTGTCATTGCATTATATGCAAACTGGCAGATCACCTACAATGACCTGCAGCAGTTCTCCAGGGCTTAACATGCAGTCTCTACCCAGCTCTACTGGAGATGCCAAGATGTGGAGCCTTTAGTTCCCAAACTGTGCACTCTGCTGTTTCAGTATAATCAGTCTGCAAAACACAGCACTCCACAGTGAACACTTTCCGTATCCCCTAAAGTCAGTGCAAGGATGTTTGGGGGCAGTAGCAGAAAAGAGTACAAAATCTTTTCTGCCAGCACCCCAGTGCAAAAAGAAGCAGAAATCACCCCTGCATACATTCCTGCAATCCTGCGACTGTTTATAGTAACAATTCCATGCAAAATTCATCTGCAGTTCATGTCTCAAATTTTGGAATGGGGTTCCTTGATCTTCCCATGTATTATAGTTTCTTAGATTTGGCAATCTAAGTATAATTAGATGGCAAGCACTTCCTTTATCTTTTCAGTGGCATGTCTTTGAATTGCTACAGTAAGATTGCAATCCTATACTCATACCAGGGAGTAAGTTCCATTAAACTCAGTAGGACTTACTTTTGAGTAGACATTTGCACCTACATCAAGTGGCCAGCTTGTAAGTTTCTTATATAATTATAATCTGACTTGAACTTCATGTAATCCATTGTGTCATTGAATAAGTCTTGTCTTCTGTTACAGAGACCTCATAAAGGTTTTCAAGTGGCATGTTGATCGAATAATGGAAGTGGAAAGGCAAGCACATAACCAGGAAGTGCTAAAGGTGAGACAATTCAGCAGAGACACTGTCACCTTACCCAGCGCAGCCACTGTAACCTGGGCTTTCTAGATATGTTGGACTGCAGGCCCATCATCCCCAGTGAGCAAATCTTCCAGCAGATATGAGGACACCAGCATGTGGAAAGCTGGGCTTACCTGAATAGAACTATACTAATGTTAATTTCTGTCTGCTGAAGTAGCCATAACTTGGATCCAGAGAAGCATAAGGTTGCATCTGCAAGAACACTTTCCTTTCTTTTTTGTTCCCACCCCACCCTAAAGGCTTAGTGTTAGTGTTAATATTAAGGGTAATTTAGACTCCCTCTGAAAAGGCTTTTATAAAGGATGAGGCTCTGCAGCTGCAGTGAGGCCCAGTCAACCTCCTTGTGTGAATATGCACATGGAAAAGTCTTCTGCTCATGCATAGGTTGGAGCCAAGTCAGTGTGCTCAAAACTAAGAGTGTGCTCAAGATATGCACAGAGGGGCTCACCACTTCAGAGAAAAGCATAGAAAATAACAGATGCATATAAAATAATAGATAATATTACCATAGCTGATAGCTTGAAATTAATGTTCGCATGAGCATTCCTAACACATTCTGAAAGTTATCAAATTAAGCTTAATACAAGGCAGTTCATGGTAATGGAATCCCGTGTAGACTAGCCCTTAGTGACTGAACTACCCAAAATTCTGCCTGCAGTTCAATCTGGTAGTGATAGAACAACAAAAGAATTTTTAGTGATGAGATTATAATCATGTAATATTCACTAGTCAAGTTAGATGGAAAGACAAGAGCAGAAAGTTCACTTCCTGAGCCTAATAAATATTATCTTGGGTTTTGCTAAATAGGAGGCTTTATCAGTTGTTTGAGAAGCAGTGAAGATCTGTGGGAATGCTCAAGTTTAATACACTCTGTATTAGTATATGGATGCTATTATGAAACATACCATGAGAAAAAGGGCTCGAGATGTTAAATACTTGATAGAGATAGAAAGTTTAACTAGCACATGAAAATTTATGTTTCTGATATCTAATGCACATTTTCATTAGTGTATTGCAAGATTTCTAATAATCTACATTCATTTTTCTGGGGAAAGCAATGCTGGGACATTGGTAAATGTCTTGAATACACAAAACATTTTGACTAAGATTTTTGGTGACTTAAAATTCTATATATTGCTGGAAGCCAAAATATATGTCACAGAATGGAAGAGTGCAAAACCAGGTTGGGTTTTGTTGGGTCATTGCATTATTAGGATTGTGTTAACATTGGGAAGTCCAGCTCATTTGAGCTTGATAACCTTCCTGCATGCATCTTATCCAGTGACTGGAACCAGGCTGTGAGGTGTTTCTGTAGACCTTCCTCTTTAATGCAGGTTAACTGCATTGTACATGAAAAAAGAAGAAAATGTCTGCAAATTACACTATTTTTTCAAATTTATGCAATATGTAGAAGTCATAGTATTATGTGCAAATCAGCACATGTGATGATTATGGAGTTTACTTGAGGACCATGTGCCTTTTGGGTGCTGATTTGCACAAATCCACAAAACCTAGTGGTGGTGGTGGTTGTTTTGTGTTAAATGCACAAATGGTGGCCCAGCTTAAAAACAAAAGCCCACAAGCTCACTGGATTTGCACCTTTGTGATTTGGTGCCCATGTAAGCTCCATCTAGGAGGCCAAATCATAAAAATCCTTCATATTTCCCTTCCCTATTCCTCACTTATTCCTAGTCATTATACTTCATGTCAGTGATATATGATTATAATTAATCTTAGCATTATCTTTTTTTAAGGCACAGTAACAAAATCTAATGTATGTTTGGCATTTGTAGGCGCAAGAATATATATTTAAGTATATAGTCCAGTCTCGGAAGTTGTTCTCCCTGGCTACTGGCGGACAAAATGAGGAGGAATTCTGCTGCTGTATTCAAGAGCTTCTGATGTCAGTGCGATTCTTTCTTTCACAAGAAACCAAAGGGGCTAGTGCTTTATCTCAAGCTCAAGTAAGCTGCTGCTTAGGCTGTTATTACTGGTATACGTGCTACCTGTATGTATGGTCTTTGATACAGAAGGACATAGTCTAGGTATTGTTTTGTTTACTTGCTTGCATTAGGCTGTGATGCTATTACGATGCTATGATATACTTAGTTTTATTGTCACTTACTGACAGAAGAAATTGGATGAGATATTTAGCAGTAGTTCCCATCACTCACCCCACTCAGTCTCTCTTTTGTTCAAGCTAACAAGGCTGTGAGTTCATTTTCCCCCCAGTGTCTTCTGTGAAGATTGTCAGTCTACCACCAGTGTGTACACTAATGCAATTAGCAATCTCTTTCATTTCAGAAAATAAAAAATAGGGGGTGGGGAAGAATCCCAAAGCTGGGTTCTCTTGGTCAAAGGGAAGAAATAGACTTAGTTTGCACAGTGTAACAGTCTGGCTAGTAAGCTGGGTTGTTGCATTATCTGAATGCAGACCACTTCCTGCAGTCTGGTGGGTTTGTGTTTTTAAGTATTAAAACATTCTGACAACCTGTGGCTGCTCTAGGGGTTGTTCAACCCATGATAGGTTCTTCGGTTGTCTGGACCCAGAAGACAATTTCTTTGTGGGTTGTTGGAATTGGCTAAAGACCTTTTTATTTAAGCGTCATTTTAATTGTTAACAGTATTTGCTTATTTTATCTGGCCAGGGCGACTTATTTTATATTGTTATTTTTATATTGTTATTTTTGTATTTTACTTCATGTTGTGAGCTGCCCCGAGGCTTCGGCGAATGGGGCAGCATAGAAATGTTTTAATAAATAAATAAAATAAATAATGAAGTGCTCAGCAAGATCAGCAAAACTCCCTGCCTCTCCTCACAGTCTCACCTGTGACATTCCATCTCCCAATGCTCAAGCAGCACTTGAGCCCAGAGTTCAATAATCTCTTTTATTCATTTCCATAATACTGTGCAATTGTGTTCTTAATTTATTTTAATTATTTAGTTGTTGCAGTTGGTCTATTGCAAGTGCACTGTTATGACTATGAGATATGAATAGCCTTACTTCAATTTCCTTGTCTGTTTCACCTTTGAAAGGGAGCAGTGCAGTAACTACAGCAGTAAATGTTGCAAAAATAAGAGGTATGAGTTGATATTGCCCCTTTCTGGAGTAGCTGGAGACTAAGGTGAGCAGGTGAACTGTTGAAATGGTGAAGGGTGCTGAGAAGTGTCAGTTAAACCCTAAAAAGCCAGGGCCATGCATTAACAAAGGTGGATCGCTTGTTCCCCCTGCTTTTGGAGCAACTTCTGCTACTTTTACCTCTTTACATGTGCTTTTCAGTTGACAACTTGGCAATTGGTCCCTGGCAACTGTGCTTAATTTAGCCTAGCTGCAGTCTTGCCTTGTCAAACTGTTGCCTACTTCATTGCACTGCTCGGTTTGACAGCTGAAACAGAAAAGATTGCACATACTGGACAGCCACACGGGAGCTCCTGCTAGCTTGCAAAAGACCAAATGATAATGCTGATGATTTAGAATTACATTTGCACAATATTCTGAGGCTGAAAAAAGTAAAACCCCTTCTGCTGAGAAGGACACTGGGATGCTGGCTGGAGGACCATGGGGAAAGGAGAGGGAGAACAGGCCACAGAGCCTGATCATATCACCGGTCGTTCCACAAGCAACCCTCATGACCCTCATGGTGTCCATTATTCAGAAGGTGGTTTAGCATAATATGCAAATGTGATCATTAAGAACTGTTATAATAAATTCACATGAAGTTAGTCACTCTTGTTGTATAAATTACTTCTCTCATTTGAAGAAATGATCTTTGGAACATACTGCGTTAAACCACATAGTTAAACTATGGAATATCCTATCATGAGCTGTGAACAGTCTACTGGATGTGCTTCTGTGAACCAGCAACCTTTAAAAGGCAATTAGATGCATTGGTAGAAGATTAAAGCTATCACTACTAGTCATCGTGGCTGTTTATTACTGTCAGCATGCCTCTGTATGCCCATTTTTGGGAATGCAAACAGAAATGTGGCATTGCTCTCATGCTCCGCTTGGGAACTTCCCATGGCATTTGTTTGGCCACTGTGCATACAGAATTCTGGACTACATAGGCCTTGGTCTGTTATGGCTTTTATGTTCTTAAGAAGTGTATATCCATAGCAGATTGTAATTTCCCTTTGTTCTGCTGTCTTTAGGCAATCTTTCTCAACTCATTCCCAGCTATATACTCAGAGCTGCTGAAACTATTCGATGTGAGAGAGGTGGCAAATTTGGTGCGTGATACTCTAGGCAGTTTGCCAACCATCACAAATGCAGATGAATCCCTTCAAGCTGTGAAACTCCAGTGCATCGGAAAAACAGTGGAGAGCCACCTATACACCAACCCAGGTAGAATGCACAATGTATGATTTCTCGGTAGTTAAGATAGTCTTTACTATTTAATCATATTATTCTTATGCAAAAACACAGGAAAGTTAACCATAAACTCTCAGAATTTGTTTTACATCAGCATTTCCAATAATACTCAGAAGCAGTCTGGGATTAGAACACCTTAAAAAGTGTCTTCCTCCGTACAAATCCCCCTCTACTGAGTATCTCTTCCAGGTCCCCATCAGAGTTTTGATGGCTGAACATTCAAGATGGAGACTTTTTGGTAGTGGCACTCACAATTTGCAATAGCCTTCCAACCATTGCTGGTCACTTTTGGATAACAGCTAAGACTTGCAGCTAAGACTTCTTTCACCAGGTGTTGATGTCTTTGAAAATTAACTTTTGTTTCAGCACTTGTACCAAGGCCATCATGCTTAGGACATCAAGAAGCTTAAGATGCACAGCGTTTCCCTCTCATTTTTTCAGACTGGAGTTAAATATAAGCAATAGGAGAACTCATGCTTTGAAAAGCCATAGCTCTGAATTAGCTAAAATATGAAATTGTCTTTTGGAGACACTGGATGCCTACATTTAAAAATTCTGCCTTTCTGAGCATTCATTATTATCTGTTTTCTGTCCATACCAAAATTGAAAGCATATAAGATCCAGTTACTTGGGAACAGTCTTGCAGTTTACATCTGTATGTTGCTGCGTTAAGACTCAGTCAACCAGTCACTAAGACCTAAAATGAAACTGACATCTTAATCCTGAGTATCATTAAGACACACACACACACACACACACACACACACACAGCAGTTAAAAGACAGTAGATGGGAAATTAACCAGTAGAAGGTTGTTTAATAAGTTGTGTCTGGTCCATCTGATCAGAGGAAGTACTTATAGAATTCATGGGAAATTTTGAACTATTCAAAAAAGAGGATTTTTCTGTCCAGTTGGAGAGAGGTAATAACAGCATATCTGGAAATAGGCTACAGTGTGCTGTGTTGAACAGGACTAGGTAAAATCTGATTTTCCTGAGCTCACAATCCAATGCTTGGAAATAGGCATGTGTGAAGAATCCAATAAGGTATGAAATTGATTGGATTCATACCAATATCCATTTCAGTGGATTTTGATTGATTTTCATGATGTGGTCCTGTGACTGTGTCAGGAGAGGGGTACCGGCTAAAGCTGCCTCTTCCTTGATTTTCCATGAAGAGCAACACCAGAAGGACAGTGCATTCACCGGGTCTTTATTGCCACTTTACACTTTCACCAGCTTGCTTCCCTTAGCGCCTTGACCTGGCCTGCTCTGGCTCCCTTCTCATCTGCCGCTAAGGCAACGAACGGCCGGAACACTCCCCAGTCTCCGCTCTTCATTGGTGCTGGCTCGCCTGCCAGTGACCGCCTTGCCCGCTTTCCACACGTGTGTCTCCGCTTTCTCTCCTCTCTCTCCCTCCCCCCCTCCTTTATCCTCCCTCCTCCTGCACCATTCCACCCAACCCAGCTGTTCCTGCCTTCGTCCGCAACCCTGTACAGCTGTGCGCTCACACGTGTCTCCGGCCATTGTCTTCTCACGAGTTGCTCTCCCCACACAGATCCCCAGCCTTGCCCTGTTATCTTCGGCTCTGCTCTGTGGAAGGCCCTAGGAAAAGGGGTGAGCCCCCCTGCCTCCTCACAGGTCCCTTAGATTCTGGCTGGTTAGCATTGAACAGGCAATGAGTCACTGCAAGATTCACAGACTTCCATCTCTAAGGCAGACCAGGTTGTGCATTTTTAACCACTAAAGAAATTTGTGCATGGTGCAATACTATTTGCACAATTACAATTTCTGCAAATCAGCCAATTTTATGCATATTGCACTAGATCTGTGTTGGTTTCGGCAGCTTATTTGTACAGATTTCATTAGTGGGAAGAATATGCAGAATACAGCATACCTTAGAGATGGAAGCTTGCAAAAGCCCTCTTCCATATTGCCTCCTTCCAATAATTGGATCAGGAGTGAGCAGGAAGTCCATTGAGCTCCCTACTCCAAATGGCCCTGTCCCCTTTTTCTGGCTCCACACTTTTGCCTCAATTACCTACCATCTTGGGGATTCCTGGCTTTTGTGCGAATTTTTTCTCCACTCTAAAAGACTGAAAACCTTTCCTAAGACTTAATTACTGACAATAAGAACTTTAAGCTACAATATGCTGGTGGATTTAGTTCTACTTCATTTACCATGGTCCCGCTTGGTGCTGGAATGTAGCCCCCTCTGAACTTGAAGTTGGCCTTATGGTGAAAGATACACTTAACTACTGGTATATAGGATAAGGCAGGCATTCCAGAATGCAAGGTATCTTTATTCAAGACAAGCAACATTTATGGCATGTACTATGCATTCTCTTTAGACTCTAGTTTTTCAAAAGAAGTTCTAAGCAGTTCCTTCAGCAATGGGAGTGCAGAAGTGAGAAGTAGCAACTATATTTTGCCTTGATTTGCTTTTCCCTGTGCCATTGTGCTGAGCTGACTGCCTTTTTAATTTTTGGCATTCAAAGCTAATCAACTGCTTAATTGTAAAAACTTTGTCCAAGCCAGGTTGGTCTCCATCTTGGGATAAAGTGAAATGGAATGTGAGCCAATAGTATAAACTTTCAGTTGTGGAAAAGATGACACAATAAATTTCAGGAAGCGGTATTTTCAAACATGGTATTCCATGGTTGTTGCTACAGTTTTCAGGACCTACACAAAGGGAATATTAGAACCTGGAGGAGAACAGCGTGGGTAGATGGAGCATGCTGGGTAGAACGGAGGTCAATGGAGCATGGTAGAGTGGCATGGAGCCGAGTATGAGACTCCTTGAGTGAAAAGCCAGCTCTGACTGCCTTATTACTCTCAGATTGGGCTGCTTTCTTATCATGATCCTGTATGATGGGTACATTGAGGCCCTTGGAAACAGCCCTGAACAAATGCCCACAATGTGCTGGCCATAACATGTAAAGTGATATACATATAGCTCCCCACCCTATGGGGAATTTTCACAGGGATCCTGTGCCTGGTCAAGAATGAGGCTGAAGGAAACCATGGCTTGCCTAGGACTACTCTCTAGTGAGTCCAGTGCTCAGCTGGCATTTCTCAGTCTGATCCGCACGGCCAACATTCTGCTGGGGTTCATTCAAGAGAAGTCGACAGCACACTTGAATTTAATGCCTAGAACTGTTATATCATTGTTGTTGTTTTCTATTTCTGATCTGTCATCCTCTGCCTTTTAAACTGGCTCTCAGACCCAACCAGAATGCCTTTCCACCCCGTTCCCTGCTGTAAAGAAACTGAAAAAGCACTCTGTTGTCTAAAGTACATTGGTCTGGAAAAAATAAAGCATGACATCCTGGGGTAAAGCTGAGACTCACTGTGATCTGGAATGTAATTAAACTCCCCTTTCGCAGAGGGCAAAATGAACACTTTACAACATTAGAATATTCTTTGCTACAGAGTGCAGGGAAAAATAGCATGTGGAAGGAAGAATTCGTAGGCTGAGCAAACAGATTGTTTGAACGTCTAAGACAAAAGAAGCTTTCTCTGACAAATAACTTCCTGTTCCAAAGCTAGATTTACCTGCTAATCAGATTTGTATAGCACTGAGGGGGTTTCATGTTTTCTACTGTAAGGAAAAGAGAGTGTTGCTGGGTATACCATTTAATTTTCTGTGGCACAGCACAAGCTAGCTTTGCACTGCTGCAGAGTTGTTTCTTGACTCCTGACTTTTCAGGTGCTTCCAAGCCAGGCTTTGATTATACAGTTAAGCTACCTCAATAATTTTGGGACAGGAGAGGGAGGGAGGGAGAGAATGTCATCTCCCACTTTTAACCTTCCCATGTTTCCCTTGTGGAAGCTGAAAGTTTCTTCCACCTTTTTCCTTAATGCAGAAAATGCATTAAGGGGGGAAAGTTGGAACAGCTTGGAACAGCTTCACATTGTATTTCAATTGGTAACATTAGAATCTCTCCATTGGAAGCACACCTTAATAGCTTATACCAGACCAGCAAAACTCAGGCATTCATAAGCATTTTTTAGGAAATATGGGGGAATCTTCATAATAAAGCCCAGAGTCTAAAGCAGTACTTACTTTCCATCTATCTATTCATTTATCTTTAATCATGTTAAAGTCACATGGGGAATGTTTTCATGTGGAGGATATTTCTGCCCTTCAGAAATTATGGGTGAAGTTCACAGTGTGGGGCTATTATTTAAAAAAAAATGAACCTAAGTTCTTAGCCAAAATTTACTGGAAAAAGATACTGTCAACACTAGGGAAATTAAACTTAGTTTTATCTTGCTTTTTACTTTAATTTTATTTGATTTTAAACTTATACTGCCTATATTATGTTTGACTGTGTTATTGTATTTCATGGTTGTAGGTTTGTTTTGTGAACCTTCCAGATAGCTTTGGCTTATTGGCAATATAAAAATATAGTAAATGAGTACAAGTACGCTATGAAGCTTAGGGGTTTGCTCTCTCTCTCTCTCTCATTCATAGTCCCACACAAAACTGGAGGGAAGATGACAGGGAGGGAGGGAGGGTTTTGAATGTGAATCGCTATATCCATGTGCATTACTTAACCATGGTTTAGTGTTACACATATTTGCTATACCTCTCCCTTCACTCATACACTGGGCTGCTTCCTCCTCTGTCATGACTGTGAGGAGATAATCTACTCTTCCATTTTAGGTTAATTGCAATTTGGCATGTTGTCCAAGACTTAAAATGTAGCATCAGCAAATATGATTTAAAGTTGGCTTGTTGAGGAAAACCACAGTTCATCTGGGATTAGGAAACACTGCAAGGTTTGGTTATTCAAAAACTGAAGTAAAACCTTCCAAATTCCCCCTTATTGGTAGAGGAAGAGGGGAAAAGATTATTTGCACCAAAAAGTAAGACTTGGCCATCACAGTGTGTTAAATTTGTCTCCAGGATGGGAGGTCTTGACATAGGTATGTGATGTTTCATGTGTGGATACTTCTAGTCAAGTAATTCCATGTGTGAGTTGATACAATCCTCATTAACACATATTCAGTTGAAATTGAAACTTACATTGAAAGGACAGGATGACTGAATTGTTGCATAATAACTTTAAAGGACAAAAGAAACAATTACTACAGGAGAGCATTTATAGTATATTTTTGTCCTTCCAGAATCCCGCTATATTCTGCTTCCTGTAGTTCTGCATCACCTCTATGTGCATCTGCAAGAACAAAAAGATTTGATCACATGTGCGCGCATCCTTAGCAACATATTTTGCCTCATCAAGAAAAATAGCTCTGTAAGTAGAAGCTGCATCATATAGAATAAAACTACCTTTACCCAATACATTGTTAACACATCTGGAGGCCACCAAACTGACCTCCAGATGTGTTAACACTAAAAACTCATAATCAACAAGTACTGTTTGGATGGAAATCAAAGTTATCTGCATGAGAGGCTTGCCTTCCTGTTGTGTATTTGATATTATTCCTATTTTTCTTAACCACATATTTGGAAAGAACTGTATTTACTCTGGCTTAAACATCTCACTGACATTTTTTAAAAAGATAGATTTTTGATGTGTATGTTTGAATGTCACAAATAGAAAGAAGGGTCAATGTTCCTAATTTTAAAAAGTTCTGAGATCAGGCATGTAATGAACAGCTGGTAATGTCTGCATACCAAAGGTATCTGACAATTACCTGGTGTGTTTCCATTCAACAGAATGGAATCTGAGTTATACCTACTTTCTTCAACTGCTATATGTTTTCTGCAGCTGCTCTTTTTCATAGAGTCATAGAGTTGGCAGTCTCATTGGAAGGTAATTTAATTCAAGTCCTTCCATAGTGCAGGATCTGCAGCAGTGATGGGAAACTTTTGGTGCTCCAGAACTTGTTGGCCTACAACTCTCATAATCTCTCACCTTTGGCTGTGCTGGCTTGGACTGATAGATGTTACAGTCCGACAAGATGAAGAGCACTGCATGCTCTTCATCATGGTCTCTGTGCCCCACACATCTGGGCGCTGTGCCTGCACAGATCCTGCATTTTGGAAGATTCTCTCAGCTCTGTGGATCTTAAGGCAGCTTTCTTGGTTTTTCCTCACCTGCTTTGTATAGAGAATAAATGAGGGAAAGCAAGAACAGTGAGAGATCCAAGCGAACTGACTAAGAGCGGAAACCCCACTTATTTATATGGGGGGAGGGGGAAGTGGGGTGGCGCTCCCCCCCAAAATCCTTAGAGCTGAGAGAATCTTCCCAAATACAGGCAGTGCCCAGGTGCAGCACCCATATGTATGAATGCACAGATGACAACTCAAAGAATGACAGTTACAGGTAAGCAACCTGCCTTTCCCGTCTCCAGATGTACAGTATCCCTGACAGAGGGCTGTCTAGCCTTTGCTTAAATACCTTCAACAAAGGGGAGCCTGCTAAACACTAAGGCTGCCTGTTTCATTTTGGAACTACTCTTTTCATTAGGATGTTTCTCCTCAGAGGTATCTGAAATTACTTTTACTAATTTCCACCCAATCCTGCCATCTGGGTCATCAGAGAACAGCTCTGCACTGCCTTTCTGCATGTCTTTCCTTAATGCTTTCTTCTTTGGGCTCATCTTCCCATTCCTCTTGTTGTGCTTGTTAATTCCAGATAACACTAAAGGCCAAACTGCACATCATGTTAGCTACAGCTTTTAAAAAGTGTGCTTAAACTTACCATTTCTATTTGAAAGGAAAGGCAGCCTTTACTCCCTGTCTGAATGAACAGCCCATCCATGCCACTTTCTTTTGAACATCTCCTCCCTGGCTGCTTTTTGCCCCTGAAGCTGCTGTTTACACCAGAGGCAGTGAAGATATTCTTGTTCCAGATGAAGGCCTCCTTGGGGGTTTTCCTTTGGAATGAAAGTGGCCAGTTTATGAATGCTTTTTTAAAAGTGTGAATAATGTAATGTGTGGTATGCCTTACAAATGTTAAGAAATCAATGTTCCACCTACATGCCTTTTTGTTTGCTTTGGTGCAATTGTGTTTTTGTACATTCTTCTGTATGAGATTAAAAGTACTTTAAGAATGGCAAACGGTAAGATTGGCAGATAAACAGATCCCCCGTTTATGCTGAGGAACAATGACACTGGCAAATATTCAGTGCTGGGCGGGGAACTAATTTCGGCGGGGAGGAGTGGCTGCCCCCCACCCCTGCCTCTTCTGTGAGCTAAATGACATCAGGCTACATGCAGGGTTTCCCTGGTCAGGGAGAGTTCGCATGGAGTGAAGCTACCCAGACCAAGGCATGGGATGGAGGCACCAGCCTCCAGGAAGCACACCTTGGGGAGGATGCCGGGAGCTTGCTGAGTCAGAAGTTAGCCATTCTATGTAATCTAGGCTCATAATACCACATAGAAGACCAACATACATTGAGGCAGAAGATTGGGTTCTGGCAGTAGTCCTTCCAGAGACACAAAGCAGCACTGGATTAGAGGATGGAAGGATTGCAGACCAAGTTCACAAATGGATCGGTCCTTTCTAAAGACTAATGATCCACAGTAGGAATATGACAGATCTGAGTGACAGCAAATACACACACACACACAAAGTATAAGTTTCTTTTCATTCGTATTCTGTATATGTCTCAAAATCTGTTTTCTCAGTTTCACAGAGGGGGCAGCCTTGAGTTTGCACTCTTCATAAACTTAAATCACCTTCCATTGACTTTTCAAATCTAGCTAGGGAAAGACTGGGACACTGTAGTTCTTCTCAGTTATTACTTTTAGCCCCATGTAGCAGCTACAAATACTATTACTATTACAGCTATCCCACAGTAGGTCAGGCATCCTGATCCACATCAGGATCCCAACCTAGGAGTCAAGATCTGGATAAGAATCAAAAATTTGTTTTTGTTATAAAAAAATGCACAAAAGTTGTGGGAGGAGGTATAAGCTGTTTGATATAAATTTTTGGTAATTACTGTGTTGGATCCGAGTGGGTGCTAATAACCATGGGTGCAGAATTATGGCTGATAATTCTGCATAATTCGGAATTATGCAGAATTATCAGCCCCTGGCATTCTCAAAATACTACAGACATTCTAATGAACCAACACAGGTTTCAATGAACTTTGCCTTTCCATGTTTATTCAAGGTACAATCCTACATGTTTTTAGATGGGGAAAAATCCTACAACTCTAAGCATACCACTAGCCAGCATGCTTTCTGAGCATGCTGGGAATTGCATGACTTTCCCCACTAAACATGCCTAGGATTGTGCCCTAAATAGATTAAATGGGATTTCCACTGGGGCAATTAAATAAATGCCTGCCCATTTTAGTTCTCATTCTTATTTTAATACTATTTAGTTATTTTGAAATGGTGAGCAGTGTACTTGTTTCAGCAGAATATATTTCAGAGCTTAGTGAATCCAGGATAAACATATTTTGCTAGTAATAACAATAACAAATATTTACAAACTTCACTTTGAAACATATGGATAAGGAGAACCTTATTTTCTTTTTATGAATAGCAGCCTGAACAGTCTACTTCTTTTTCCTTTTAAAAAAATCCAAGGAGAAGTCAGTTTTGGAAGAAATAGATATAATTGTGAACAGTCTGCTGGATGTGCTTCTCCGAACCATCTTGGAGATCACAAGCCGCCCTCAGCCGGCAGAATCTGCAACGAAGCTTCAGTTTCAGGATGTTACTGTAAGTGTTACAGCACAAACAACTTGGTGCACAGACTGAAAGTCTCATTCATCTGTCTCCCTAATTCATCTGATTGTATAAAAGTAGAAGGAAAGAGGTTCCAGTGAAAAGTATGTGTACATGTTCCAGTGTAGAAATGGAGCACTTGCATGCACCAGGGCTTTTGGATTTCAGTGCCTGAACTCCTTTTATGCACATGGAACTGCCTCAGATATTAAAATCAACTGTGAAGAACATGTGAATGCATACAAAGTATAAGGTTAGGGTTATGTTTTTGCCAGCTCTTTTGGAATATTTTCACCAACTCCAGGAGTAAGAGTTGAATTCTCTGTGCATAGTCACCTCTTTTGTGAAGCTGACTTGAAGGGTTTTATGTAGGACTAAGCAAGAATTGATAAGGGTCTTTTTCTTTGAATTTGTTGTTATTGCATCCTGTCTAGTCATTTCCAACTTATGAGACCTTATGAATTGCATGTTTTCCAAAATGGCCTGCTCTTGACAGTCCTGTTTGGTTTTTGTAAATTAAGGGCTGTGACTTCCTTTATGGAATCAATCCATCCCATATTTGGCTTTCCCTTTCTTCTTCTGCCTTCAGCTTTCCCTAGCTATACATCATCCCAAGACATCTAAGTATGGGATGGTATAGAAAAGTTTTAAATAAATAAATAAATAATAGCATGACTGCCTCCTCTATTGAGTTTATCCTTTTTTATGATGAGGCAGAAGTACAGTAGCCTCAGTTTCATCCTTTTTTAGAAACTTGTTATTAGCATGTTTGCAGGAATTGTTTAGGTACTGAGAGTTAAGACTGATTAAGTCATGAACATGGTTTTTCCCCATGGTTTTTTAAATTTTTAATTTAAAAAATAATAAAAATAAAAAGAGATTGATTAGGCCCATCCTCTTGCAAATGTTAATTACTTCTGCTCTTCTTGAGATGTCTATCAGAATCCTTATGATAACCTTTAATCATAATGTCAAATATTATTACCTCTAATAATATTACCTCAGGATTTGCTAACTATAAAAATAAATAAATAGCTTCCAAAGACAATGTGAATGGACTCTACAGTAAACATTTGTGTTTCATGTAATCTACTATCCTGTAAACATCAGTAGTCCAGACAAATAATTCATGGATGCCTCCACAGAAAACCTAAGAGCAGTATCTTTTCCTCCATTGTTTGAACTCAGGACCTGCTAGTTCACAGCTTACTTGACCGTGAAAATGGACAGCTGGTTTGTTTGTTGCTAATTGCTTTGATGGATCCTTGCAACTTCCCTAATTCCTTTGAGAGAAAATGTCTAAATCAGTGGCTACCACTATATCTTGTGATAGTGAATTCCCAGTGCTCAGCTATTAAAGTGTTCTGTGCAGAAGTACTTTATTTCATCTGTGCTAAATATACTGACATTCAGTTCATTGGATGACTCCATGTTCTAGTGTGATGAGACATGGCAAACAAAATATCTTGGGTATAAAGATATTTATAAAGACTATTGGGTATAGTCAGTTAACACAGGAAATAAATCAGTCTGTGAGGTATAGCAAGAGATTGAGATGGAAAAAGAGTGCTGGATGTTTCAGTCAGGGATGTGGCAAGCAACACTTAAGCTGTTTCCTCCTTGCTATTTTCTGGCCCTTGCTTTTCACCACAAGAAGATCTTCACATTTTCTCTCCTGTGGCAAGAGAAACAGCTTGGAGATAATTTTAAGGAGACAAATAGTGGGGGAAAAGAGGAAAGAGTAAGTAGACCCTCTGTCTCTTGTTTCACTCCTGAAACTGATGCAACAGCGTCATACAAATAGTTTTCATTAAAAAAAGAAATGCTAAGACACTATTCACACATTTTTCCATTGCATTTTCATATAGTTTATTCCTTCAAGTAAATTAGCCCCATAAGTCCTATCTCATTCCTTGATAAGTAGAGGTTGATAGGAGTTGAATTCCTATTTTTCTGAGAACAGCAGAAACACTGTGGAAGAGAAATAATGTCAGGTTATGTCTGTATCCATTAAAATGATAGGAATCTTGCAAAGTGGGAGGCATATGAGGATTTTTAAAAGAGCTACTGATCTATTTCTGTTCATTCAGCCAAGTTTTAGCATGTTTGGCTGAAGTTCATTCAGCCAAACATTTAGCACATTAATTCTTCCCCTTGCAGCCTTCTTAGTCCAGCTTTTCTTTCATTTGAGACCTAGATTTATATAGATAGGTAGATAAATATATCCCTGTAGTATTTATTTATTTATTTATTTATTTAGGATTTTTTTTTTTAAGGCTGTCCAATCACTTCTGTCTCTGGACAGCTCACAACAATCTATAAATACAACAATAAACAATAATATATCTTTCCTAAACAATAATAAATTGGATATCCCATGACTGAAATATATAAAATTAATAATTAATAATAATAGTAAAGTTAGATTAAAATAATAATAATTAAAATTCTTATCATTAAAATATTGGTTAAATAAAAAGGTCTTGACCTGGTGCCAAAAAACATGTAAAGACAGTGCCAGGTTGACCGTTTTGGGGAGCACATTCCATAGCTTGGGCGCCACCACAGAGAAGGCTCTCCTCCGGGTATGTTCTCTCCTAACCTCTTTCAAGGAGGGTTCCTGGAGCTGGGCCTCTGCTGCCGATCTTAGGGGGCGAGAGGGCATATGGGGAAGAAGACGTTCCTTTAGGTATCTTGGTCCCAAGCCATCTATGCTAGCAATACATTCTAAATGATACTTTTTCTGGAGGCAAATATTTATAGACAATCTAATAAAATTCAACATCTTTAATGTTCGCTCTGTTATACTGGCAAGAAATTAAAGCAATATTGACAGAGTTCATGTACATCTTCAGCAGCACACTTATGTCCTATGAAGGTGTCCTTAAAATATTTCATGATTCTGTATGTTTGAGTGGTGCACAATTGTGACACTATTAAATAGTGTGATACATTACTTCATGTGGTTGAAGACTTGCTGAACTTACATCCATTGATTTTAACAGTCCACACACGTCATTATTGCTAAATAAAGCTCGTAGAATTAAGTATAGCCTTAAGCTTTCATTTTAATGGGCTTCCTTTTGAGAAACTCAATTTGCACATGGCTGCACTTGCCTCAAAGCTGTATGAAGGTCTTATTCATGTGTAGTGCAGAAGAATAGGCTCTCGCATCATGTAAGCCATTGTATGGGGAAGTTTCAAGTGCCACATCCAATCCTTAATTTTTAAGTGACTCACTGCACAGCATAAGGCAATTATATACTGTTATGTAGCAAGTTCATGCAGTACTATACTTGCTTATGGCAACACACTGAGCCAAATGCTCTTGATTTGTGAAGAAAGATACCACCCAATTTGTGGTGTAGGTGGCAGGTTCATTCACCATGTGTTGTCAAGAATCCATTTTGTGCTTATCAAAATGGTAAAAGGAGTACATTGTATATCATGTAGGTGGACCTGCACTGAAATACCAGACTCAACTTTCCATCCCAGATTTAGCAGCTAGGCTTGTCTTGCTTATAGGAGTGAGCCTAGGAAAGAGGTGTTCCTGTATGCCCCAACTGTGGCATTTCTGCCTTAGGTTATCTGTGCCTGCACTTCACAAACTTAACGGTATCTACAACACAATACTATGCCTGTTTATTCAGAAATGACTTGCACTATGTTCAGCAGGGGCTTATTCCCAGGAGCGGTGCAGAGTTGCAGCCTAAGATATTCAGTACTAGCGAACTTATGACTTACATAGCGGTTCAGGAAGTTAACTAAGGGGCACAAAGAACTGGCACACATTTCCAGCACATTTCTTTTTGGTGGAACTTAAATAGGAGATATGCCCATTTACATTGTGTGTGTGTTGTGTTATTGGGTTTCGAGCCAAAAAAACCGATTAATTTGCTTGTGAACAGATACAATAGAAAGATGATTGTGTAAACAGTTTGATGCCTTTTTGATTGTTTTTTAAAAGCATTTCTCAAGAGCACACTTTCTCAAGAGGCTCACTTCATCTTCTGAAATCGGTGCTGTTATCCTGGTATACCAATATTGTTTTAAAGCTTACAAACAGACATTTGCTCAACAGGGACCTTGTACGTAGAAAACATTATGTAAGCTTATAAATTAAACAGAATGGGTAATCTCAGGTGAATAGAATAGTAGTAATGGAATCCTCTGTATGTTTATTTAATAGTATCACATTCAGTATGGTATTCTGATTCTAGAATTGTGGTATCAGAAATTGTGACTAGCCTTAAACAGAGAGGAAAGAACACCTCATAAATAGGAAAATTATGTGATGCTAAATCAAGGCTGGAGAATGTGTGGTCTTCCAGACATTGTTGGACTGCCACTTCTACCAGCCAAAAGCAATATAGCAGTTGGTAAAACCCACTGAGAATGTAGCCCAATGACATCTAAAGAATCGCATATTCTCCAGCCCTGGGTTACAGCTAATTCTTTTCGGTGGAACTTCCCATTGCTTTTCATCCTTTAAAAACACACACTCCTGATCATCAATATAAATTGTAATAACAATTGCATTCATTTTACTACTTTTGGTAGTAATGCCTTTCCTTTCTGTTAATATATGTATATATATTTCTTTTAGGGAGAATTTGTTTCATGCCTGTTATCATTATTACGACAAATGACAGACAGACATTACCAGCAACTACTCAACAGATTCAAGACAAGAGATGAACTGAGAGTAAGTAACAAGATTTGTGTTTTAGCTCCTGTAAATAATTTCTGGTGCTTTTCTCAAGCAGCTTATGATTACCCTGTTTTGCTGAAATGTCTGTTAATATACACGTGTGAAGACACAACCCAGAGGATGCTGATGTGAGCTTATTTATCTCAGTGGGAATCATGGCCATTTTAACATCCTTGGGATGTTTTGTTCACGGTTGGTGAAATCATGATAATTTGCAAGACAAACTTTATCATCTGTGGAGCTCAGTGTGGTACAGTGCTTGCATGCTGGACCTAGCCATGGAAGAGAGAGATTTTAATCATAACAAAACCAAACAAACAGAAACCTCAATTAATCAATCACTATGTTTAATTAAAAATTTCTGTAGAGGTAATTCAAAATGTGAAGGTCTGGGGGAAAAAAACTGGAAAAATGAGAATTTTTTTCCCATTTTGTTTTTTCTCTAAACTGAATAGTATTGGGTTGTGAAATACTGTCTTTTAGGTCTTATCCAGGCTTTACTCCCTACAAAACAATTTCAAAAAAACTATCTAATAAGAATACTTTAGTGGAAAGATTAGAGCTGTAACATGTCTGGAAATAATGAAGCCTGAGGAGATTTTATTTTTTTAAAATATCTGTAAGATTCCAGCAGTGTTATTTATTCTGTTTCTTATTAAAATTATTGACCTAATTTATCTTTTGCTGATTTCCAAGACATGCTCAGTTTCTCCACAATAAGTAGGGTTACCATATCGTAACAGAGATGAGTACATATTATTGAGAGTTTGAGTTCTCCACAGACTACTGTGTTTCTGGGCATGTTCTGCTAAGATGCTGTAGCAGTCAGTTAATGAGGTTCTAATCTAATCTAAAACCTACATGTAAAACCTAAATTCCCACCCTTGTCAATGGCTGACTTAGAGCATCATGTGGCTCCTCTCCTCTCCTCTCCTCTCCTCTCCAATTAACTTTGAAGCTTGGATCTATCAAACTGACTGCCACAGTTTTTAATAAAGTTCTCAAAGCTTATCACTGGGGAATGCTACTTGAGATATAAATTTTTTTGCTGCTGCCACTGGAATAAACCCTCTCTATCTGAAGGAAGTCAGTAGCCTGGCTCCTGTAGCATAAGGATCGAATCAACACTACCATTAAGGACCAAATTTCAAAATGTTAAAAAAAGATGTTCATTACAGGAAATTATTTCCAAAGTAAACAAAATGTCACTCTTCAAATAGTAGACTGGAGCTGCTTTAAAGTTTCTTTAATATGGGGTCTTAATGTTCCTAAGCCAAATAAAATCTGGAGCTTTTCCTGCAGGCCAAATTTCCTTAGGCTCTGTGTTTGGAAGTCTCCCTAGATTTCCTTATAAAGAGGAACAAATGCTGTACACCAGTCTTCCTTTACCTCTAGCTTTTGCAGTTGCTTCTAGCTTCTATGATGCTTCAGATATTTCAGTGACTCCTTGATGATAATAGGAGCCTAAAATATGTTATGCATATGTTCATTTGCTCATAACATTATCATCTTTGGTATATTTAAATAGAGTACATAAGCAGTACTCATTTACCTAAAGTATCTCTCCCCGACCTGGGGACTTCCAGATGTTCCAGACTACAGTGCTCAGCATCCCCAGTGATAGTTCATACTGCCTAAGGCTGATGGCAGTTGAAGTCCAAAATGTCTGATGGACACCAGGTTGGCTACGAGTGTCCCAAAACTGTAAAATACTTTAGATTTGTAAAGAGCTAAACAAATGTTAAGTATGTGTATTTTTCAATTTTCCCAATATTTCCAAGGAGTTTGGAGGGAGGTGGGAGGAGAATAAGAAAGAAAGAAAGAAAGAAAGAAAGAAAGAAAGAAAGAAAGAAAGAAAGGGTTTTCTTTTCCATGGCCTTAATAATTTCCAAAATTTTGCACCTCTAAAGATGATTTAAGTAAGATATAGGGATTCATCTAATGTGTATAGCTGAAGGTCAAGAAATAAATTCTGCATTCAAAGATGAACTAGAGGCACTAGAACAATATAATGTTAGCTATTTCTCACTTCATAGAAGAATCCGTGCACCTTCCTATGAGTTCAACACATATGCACTGAGGCTTTTCACATGTGGAGCCATGATGATTTAAACAAAGACATGCCCGGGTGGCCGTCTATGCTATCTTGAATATTTAAAGCTGACTATGGGTTGTTGTTTAAACCTGTTCCAAGGGTTGCTGAATCCTTGTGTAACCCACACCAGTCAGGTTCATACAACATGATAACCCATGGTCAGGGACTGAATATTCAGGAAGCGTCCCCCACTCCCATGTCATGCAAACTCAGTCCAAAGTGTTGTTAAATCTTGTTATTAGTCACAGGTAGATCTGTCTGTGGTGCTCTCCCCCCTCCTCCACCCCTGCAAAAAGACACAAGCACCCTCTTAGTTCCGATTTGTTTGTAGTTTAAGCAATCCTGTAGGTCATAGGCATCATTCATTAAAGCCACAGTGAATGTGGATGAATATACTTGAGTAACTTCCAGCATAACTGCTAGAGACTTTAATCCACTAGACTAAGGAAGTGCTGCTATTATGTCCATCATGACAGCATCATTTTACAATCTATAACAACATTGGCTTGCACCATCCAGGAACTGAGTTATATCAGTGCTATTATTTTTGTACTACTTAGTCTCTCTCTCTCCCTCCCTCCCTCTCTCTCTCTCTCTCTCTCTCTCTCTCTCTCTCTCTCTATATATATATATATATATATATATATCCTCTTTATTTTCACAAAGTACATTAGAAAAAGGGGAGGAAATATGTGGGAGAAAAGGTGCGAAGAGATAATCCACAAATACAGCATATAATTTCAGCATTTAAACATATTCATAAAAAGGTGAAAAATTTCTCTGCTGTAGTCCCACACAAATCATTCAATTCTTAACAGGAGGCCTTTCCAGCTTACAAAACTGGTTATGGATATTAAGATTGCTTTAATATTGGAATAAATATCACCAACATTTATACAAATTCTATTTTCTTTAACAACTCTTTAACTAATAAGTTCACATATTACAAAAGAAGCCATACCTGGGCATGTATTTGGGTAGGGAACCACAGAATGCGAATCAGATTGTACACAATATCTTTGAAAGATTTCTATTTATTCGTAGTTAGTCAAACTGTAAAGAGCTGGTATTTATGTAGATGAAGAAGCACCTGTGCATTATACTCTAGAGGTAGAAAACGTCAAAACTCTAATGTGTTACACACAGATAAAAATGCATAAAGTTTAATGGGTCTGAATGGCATCTTCTTTGACTCACAGGTGTGTGTTTTTTCGGGGTGTAATTAGAACATGATTGACCTTCTATATCTAATTTAAAAACATTTTTGATATTATTCCTTTGAAGTTCCTTAGGAAAGAAAATAGTTTTTTTCTCTAAATGCGTTTTGCTTCATTTTCAAAAGTTCTATTGTTATTGTTAACAATGTTCTTACAGATGTTTCTCTTACCTAAATAATGAACTTTTTTGTTTTAGGATTTTTTGTTGCAGATTTTTACTGTATTTCGAATACTGATACGGCCAGAAATGTTTCCAAAGGATTGGACAGTGATGCGTTTAGTTGCTAATAAGTGAGTCTTCTTAAATATAATCATAAGCTAACTCATGGTGATGGGAATGGAAACAAATCATTTGGACTATCACACAGTTCTGACAAATTGTATATCTCTGTGCACAAAATTAATATCTGTTTCCTCTATCAGGGAAAACAGAACAATCCCAGCTTTTGTATTTGCAGTTTCTCCAAATCCACATGAGAAACATTCACATTGCAACTAATGGGGATGTAATATTAGCCTCTGCCATTACTACTCTTCTTATGAAGGCAATAGAGACAGTCACTAGATGAGCTTCCCAACCCCATGAAATGCCAAGGGATTTTGAATAATCTAAGTTAGAGAAAATAATATTTTGTCTTAAATTTTTAAGCATTACAGAAGGGGAAGTGTAACCTAATAGGAGCTTTGGACTAGGAAAGGCAAGTTAGAAATGCATGAACAGAACGTACAGTGAAATCTTTCCCTATTTCTTGCTGAGCTCTGATTTATCTCCCAGAAAAGTTCAATTCTTGAAGACAGGGCTAGGGCTAGAGAGAGCGAGAGAGCGAGAGTGAGCATAAAGGCTTAATGCTAACCATGGTGCTATCCGCTATAACCCCAAAATAGACAAGTCACTGGGCCATTGGTTATGAAGCCAGAGAACTGTGGATGATTTACAGTCTGGAGCATATTGCATGCCAACAAGTTGAGTTCTGACATCAATGCCTTGGCAAAGCCAAGTAAGCAGAAGGGTGATTGCTAAGAACTGGCAGTATTTGGTGTTAGTTAAATCCTCTATCAAAGGCCGATAATGTACAGATTTTTATTTCCTTACTAACACACACCACTAGAAAATTAATAGTGGTTTATGGAAGCCTTGTTTGACAAGCATTTTTTTGTACCAAGCATAAAACTTGAAGTGACATTGATGAAGTACTCATATCTTCCCACCCCATAGTTATCTTAAGTACTCAAAAGTTCTTCATTCAGGATGCTATTAATTGTACACATTGCATCTATATACATTTCCACAAGAATTAAATACTGTGTTAAAATGTCACGTTGTATATACAGTCCGTCTACTTCTTGAGGGTATACTGAAACAGGCTGGATAAAAATCAATGGTATTTTTTTCAAAAAATAAAAATGTATTTTTAAATGTAAATCAGATGTTTTATTTAAATTAAATTTTTTAAAATAAAATGCTTTTTGAGGAAAAATATATAAAGATAGTTTTCTAATTAGTATACATTAAAGTCCATAGGTTATTCATCATGAAATAAGGATTACTTTTTAATTATGTAGCATGAGGCTGTAGCATCATGCAACATTTAAATTTGTTGGTAAATGAATTCTTTAATCTATTCACAATGTCTTGTTTTTCCAGAGATTTCTGTAAGATTGTTGGGCATTTTTTCTGTCTAGAAGATATTATCACAGATGCTTGGTTTTACAGTTCTCAAAACTGTTAATTTGTGTCTGTAGAGATCACATGCCTCTTCTTCAAAATGTCATAAACATACAGAGTTGAGAAAAAGACCTTGATCCTATTATTCCTTTGCAAAACCATGTACACAGAATCAACTCCTTATCTCCTAAGTGCTAAGTTTCAAAAATTCAATGAATAGAATGAGATTGTTGGAAGTGGAATAGATCTGCACAAGAAGCAGAGTGAGAGGAGGGAAGGGTAAGCAATAAAAATGAAAGTGAAACCTTTTGATCAGAATACTCCACAAGTCTTTCGATCTTTTTGTGTAAAGCCTGAGGTTTATCATAGTTTCCTTTCCCTGGAGGAAAAAACCTATAAAGGCAGCAGGCCGTAAAAGATACCCAGTTTGGGAATATTTTAATGACGTTCCTCTACCTACGGGTAAGACATACATGCATGCAAATTAAGTAGAAAAGCATGATATAAATCTAGTCTTTCTGACTAGTGATTTAAATTGAATTAAATCAAATCCACCCTGTACAGAAAGACTTTCGCAATAAACTTTGGATGCATTGGATTTTGAAACAGGTCTAAGTCCAAAGGTACGTCAACTTTGGTAGAACCCAGCTGTCATGGTTTGTTAACTGAAAACAACCTTCAGTTCACATCCAAACAGAAAACAATAGCATATTCATGGATTGTGGTTCATAAACCATAGTGAGTACAGCTGTGTTCACACAACAACTCACCATTCAACAATTAAGACTCAATCCATATTCAATGCTAAGTGTGGATTGTTGTGTTTTATAAATTCAGCTACTCTATTTTTGTTACACATGATTGGCAAACATTTTAGACTCAGCAATGGCAGAAGAGCAGACTCTGTTGCTTCAAATCAGTGGCAGAGATTTGATCTTCCTGGAATCCCACCCCAGTGTTACCTAGAACAGGGGTCTCAAACTCAACTGACCTGGGGGCCGCTGGAAGTAGAGTCTGGGTGAGGCTGGGCCGCATCAAGTATTCCACCACCGCAGTGGTGGTGGGCCGCTCATCCCGCGGCTGGCCCGGGCACCACCGGCGCTTTGAAGGCCACAGGGCCCCTCCCCTGTGCCCCGCCCCTCCCGGCAATTGGCCCGCGGGCCACGAGTTTGAGACCCCTGACCTAGATGATCCCCATTTTTCTGATTCCACCACTTTCTCCTATTTGGTCCCTTCATTTCCCCTAAAACTATCGCTTTGCAGTGACCCAGCTTTTGTGCAGTTTCCCCCCATTCTGAAAAGCTTACGGCCAGTAAGATCTTTAAGCTAAAATAACCTGATATTTTGGCACTCCCCTTTTGCCTTCAGCCCTGCTTTCTTTCCACTTCAGTGCAGCCCACTGAGAGTTTCCCTGAAACGGAATTTGGATCTCAAGCTGAAAAACTTTCAACACCTCTGCTTTAAATCTGTAGTGAATTATCAATATGGTTGTCTTCCATTCTTGAAATAACAACACACTGACATCCAAGTAAAAAGGATTTTTTTCTTTAACTATCTCAATAAGATACAGAATTTTAGATGATTTGTACATAAAAGCATGCATGTTGATTTGATTTGAAATCATTGGTCACATTCTCTAATCAGAGCTTTGGTAGGAGGTAATAGAGAACAAAGCATATTTCTTAACACTTCCTGGAACTTCAGATCTCTGGGGAAAAAACACTGGGAGTTCTGTTTCTACAGTTTTTTGGACATATGCTACAGAATGTCATGCTGCCCAGGGAAGCCTTAATTTGAATGATGGGGAAAAGTCAGCTTCCAGAAATGGATTTTAAAATATGCATAACCTACTGAATGTATTTGAATTAAGATGGTTCTGTTCATATCCACATATGGAAACCTTTCAGATTGGCCAATTTTATTTCATCCCTGATGAAATTGATAGTTTTTAGCCAATTTAAGCTAATGATGATGGTTCTGCATTAGAACTAGATGCAAAACAGATGTTACAGTGGTTTGTAGATTCCCATTTCATAAAATATTGGGGATTTTATTATGTGTTGTTTAGCTTGTAATCAGCAGATGCTTTTGTTGCCCTAATTTTAAAAATGCAAAACAAAATAAATTCTATAATCTCTTCTAATATATTTATATCTTAATATAGCCTATATCCAAACTCAAAATTTAATCCTACTTTTGTTCTTTTGCTAGTGTTATTATTACAACAGTGTTATACCTTTCGGATGCCCTTCGTAAAAACTTCTTAAATGAAAGCTTTGATTACAAGGTAAGGTAACAGTTGGCATGTAGTATGAAGATCTTTTTCTCCTAAATGCCTATTTCTCTATCTACCTGCCTACATGTATCTTTAGTTCATCTGCCTGGTTACAATGTGTTTCCAGCACATTGATCCCCCCCATAAATCCAACCCCTTCTTGCAGTCTCTGTGTCAGCCAAAATAAGCACAAATCAGAGACTGAAAGAAATCATAATCTCACTTGAGCCAAGTAAAGATGATTATATCAGTTCTTGTAATTTCTATGGTAACATATGTATAGACATATTTCACCAGAGTTGCTTTTTAATGTTTCATTTATAGGTTGGTTTGCTAACTGATTCTGAAACCATGATGAGGTGGACTTGAGCCCACAAAACCTGTGCCACCTTAAATTTATTATGGGATAATACATCATTGGTTTTGCTTCAAAATAATGCACATACCCCTTGAGGAAGATAAGTAAACTGGCATGATGCTTGCTTACTCTTCCTGATGTGCATGCTTAGCATTGTATACCATGGTTTATGAAGTTGGGATAGTTGCATCTGAAGATGCCCCCTTCCCCCAGTCTCTTTGAACGCCACAGTGATTGACCATTGTAACTAACAAGAATTCTGGAATTATTGTTACAGTGGTGTCATAAGATGTGTCATTAGAATGATTACTTTTACTACTACCTCCTGTTTCCACTTTATGCCCTCCAGAGGCATTGGGCTACCACTCGGGGAAAGTGGCTCTTACCAGAATGTTTTCTGCTGTCCAGCTTTATATATATCTGTATCTATATGTTTAACAAACATTTGTTTTGGCAGCATCTACTGATAATAGAACACAGACCTAAGGTAAAGTCATAATATAAGATGCTGGTCTGTAAAAAATGCTTTGGATTTTGTCTGGATATGAATTCTTAATCTAAAAAGGATGAAATAGACCAGACTTTGTTTATTTTTAGATTTGGGATTCCTACTTCTACCTAGCTGTCATTTTTATCAACCAGTTGTGTCTTCAATTAGAAATGTTCACACCTTCGAAGAAGAAAAAGGTATTGGAAAAGTAAGTATCATTGTTGCCTCCCAGAAAACAAGAGTGTATCCAACATTTGTGGCATACATTTTTCCTGTATGAGGGATGACAAGGGAGTGGAAGTATTCATTTATTGCAAAATATAAGATATTCCTTTTAATACAGGCAGGCAAACTTTCACAAAGGCACTTACTGATAATAGTTATCAATAATCAGAACTCTTTCCTGTGTGTCACTGAACTGGGTCAGAAAAAAATTCTCTTAAGCATATTGGTATAGTCTTGAATGAACTTGGCCTATCTGATTCAAGGTCATCTTGATTCCAGTTTATTGAAAGGAATAGAGATGGCATGCCAGACAGCATCAGTCAGAACCCAAAGAAAGAAAGAATGCTCATGGGAAAGAATGTTATGCACAGTTCGAATCTGGTTTGCTGCTGAAGAGGCAAACTGCTTTTTAAATGAAATACTGGCTTGGCTCTTAAGCAGTTGGAGCAGCTCTAGGGAAGACATAAGGACAACTTTTTCCCTGTGCAAGCATGTCCTTTCCTTGGATTCCAGCCATCCTCTTGGTATAGTCCCAGAAGCACTCTTTGTATTACATTGCCAGCTGAAAGCTGGGACTGGCTGCACAGTCTGTTGTATTGTTCGTGCCTTTTATTCTATTTAGGAAGCTGGTCTTTGCAACATGGCATAAATTAAAGGTTTAATTTTTCAAATTATTAAGGTGCATTAGTAAACTGTATTTTATCTTTCCCTTTTGGCATTTCATGAAGTATACATTGAAAACAATTATTGGTATTAATGAGGTATTGGAAGTGCCAGATTAAGAAAAGCTGAAAATATTCTTAAGCCTGAATCCCATGTTGAATCCTTTGGTCCAAAGAAAAGGCCTCCAGTGCTGGCTGGGACATGTGGAGAGTTGCTGGCCTTTTTCCAGCCTAAACGTACATAGGTTTGGAAAAAGTTTCTTGTCACTCATTGTGTCATGCAACCAGCCACAGCTGTCTCCCATTTCCTTCCTGTTTCAGACACTTTCATCAAAGGTTACCTGCTCTTTCCCCCCTTGCACTACCACAAGGCAGTGCTGGAAATGTCTCTTTTTGATCAGACTTCCCCATGCTTTTCTATGGGATTCCTGTTGGCTAAAGCTACTTTTCAAGTACACACACACACACACACACAGAATCAAGCTGTAGGAACAAGTTTATAGATGTTGCCCTTGCTCCTGCAAAAGTACAAAATGTATTATTTATGATAAAGTGAAATGATCCACTAATCTTTGATTTTTAAAAATATGTACCAGATATGGTGATATGCGGGTGACAATGGGATGTGAGATCTTCAGCATGTGGCAAAATTTAGGTAAGTTTATTTGCATTTCTTGGGATCCAAATTCATATCTGTATTTACTTTGTAATGTGGTGGTGGTGGGGGTGGGTTCAGAAAATTGTGTAAAAATATTGCATATTAGAAGTAACAATTGAAGATGTAGATAGATGTATAAACAGATTTTAATTAAAGTTCATGTCTGCCTCAAAAATCCTTAATCTGATGGCATTCTCTAATAATTAAAACTGTTAATAAACTTTTTTGAAAGATGGCTATGCTAACATGTTGTGAATTCAGATCTGTGGTACAGTTGCATTGTTGCATTTCTTTCCAGGGTATATCACGCACCCTTTAGTCTAAGAATTGTAGCCCTGCAGAATTTGTTAGTGTCTACTTCCCATCAACTCGGTCATTATGGCTAGTGGTCAGGGATGTTGGGAGTGGAAGTCCAACAGCATCTGCAGGACCACCATTGCTCCCCAACCTTGCTTTAATCAATATACTACTTCTTCTCAAGCGTCCTTCTGCTGTTTGCACTGAAAAGCTGGAAATAATAATGGTTGTATGCACCTGAATGGTCCTGCTCTTATAGGAAACTGCTCCCATATGTAATGTTTAAGCTTGATCAAGAAGAGGAAGCACAGGGCAGCATTAGGAAAAAGGTTCATCCTTGCCTAGTGAGCTTCTTGCCTAATAGAAACAATGACTGTAGGTATAGTTTGAAGTGGCTTCCATGTTTTTATGCATTATAGTTGATCTTTTCCAGGTCAATGCATATTAATAAGAAAAATATAGAGGCTCACTGCAGAAAACCTTCATTGGTGGCCATCTTATCTGCCCCAACCTATAATTTGTAATCCTTAGGGATCATACAAAAAATACACAAAACATAAGAATGTGTTTTTTCTTTTAGAGCTGTTCATTCATATATTGTTTATAATAGTATATTTTACTAGCATCACTAGTGCATGTCTCAATGCTGAAATTAAGATGAGCTTATGTTTACGTTAATGTTTATGTTACAGTAATGTTGGATTACTGTAATGCATTCTACATGGGGCTTGAAAACGGTCCGGATACTTCAACTGGTGCAAAATAGAGCTGCCAGGCTGCTGACGGGGACCAGCTGTTATTCTCATATAACTGCGGTCCTCTGCCAGCTCCACTGGCTACCAGCTGAAGTCTGGGCCCAATTCAAGGTGCTGGTTTTGACCTATAAAGACCTAAACAGCTTGGGACCAGGATTCCTGAAGGAACATCTCCTTCCTTATCTGCCCTCACACCCCTTAAGATCTGCGGGAAAGGCCCAGCTCCGGTAACCCTCCTTGAAGGAGGTAAAAAGGGCATTTGCTCTGAGTAGGGACTTCTCAGTGGTGGCGCCCAGACTGTGGAATGTGCTCCCCAGAGAGGTTTGCCTGGTGCCGAGTCTATAATCTTTTTGGCGCCAGGTTAAAACCTTTTTATTTAAACATCATTTAAAAAATTAGAATTTTTAGATTTTTAAAGTTAACAGTCACATATTATTTATTTTATTATTTTATCCATTTTATTTATTTATTTTTCTTATGATTGTGATTTATTCTCTTTTGCTTATTATTGGTTTAATTTGATGGTATTCTATTAGTAATGATTGTATTTATCATAATTTATTATTATTTATTGTATTATGGATTGTATTTTCATTGTTCTGATTTTATATTCTGTAAGCAGTCTTGAGACATTTAGTGAAAAGTTGTGATAAAAATGTTTTATTAAATTACATTATGAAACCTTATTTTATAAAACAGTGGGCATTAATGTTTTCTATTCTAAACACAGTCATATCATAAAGAACAGGAAGATACATCCACAAGTAAACTTACTGTAAAGTTTTATCATAGTGAATAGTGTGTGACAAACCAAGCGATGTAACCTAGAACCTGCCTTATATATGACAATGCATGCTACACTGTAAGTCAAGAGAGCATAGGGTTATTTTATCAGATTGTGCCTTATTAAAACAACCATACAGATTAGAAAACAGTGTTGATCTAACAGGATACTCATCATTTGTAACCAGAGGAAAGTGTAATCTTCTCTTTTAGCTCTTTTGTGTAGGGAAGGAAATCGTGATAGTTAGCAGAAAGCGTTTGAAACGCTAGCTTTTGCTATTTTTCCCATTTCCAGCTGACTTTTATTCTTTGCTTACCAGACAATTGCATGGCTTGATGTTCTGGTGTCTTATCATGTATTGAATAAAAGGTATATTTGTTGAATAAAAGGCATTCTTAACAAGGCAAGGGAAAAAGGCATTTTCTATTTGTCGGGATGCTCTATAGTTCCTCCTGAGATGAGTGAATTAACAAATAAGAATTATGTCTGCAGATTGCATCTGAATGTTGGTTAACTACTTGCAGAACAGGCAGTAGCAGCTAGTGTGAGCATTTCAAGAGTATGCAAGGATGATGTGTCTGGGATGTACAAAGAGGAGATCCTTCTTGTATGAAGTGGGGGTCATTTATGTGGCTTCCTTGGTTTGCTGTGATCACAGGGGCCAGATGTATAACACAGAAGGACTGTTTCGGGCAGACATTTTCTGGCTACTGACTTTTGGTTAGTGTGACTGTGAACTTGCTCTTAATAAAACCTTTTAAAAATGGTGCATTTTCATCATGCAGTAGACCAAGCAATTGTACAAGAGTTTATAAGAACTTTAAGTCACTTTATCCAACATATATTAGCAGCCTAAAATCAGTTTATTTTTAATGTACCATTATATGTGAATAAATCAGAACATTTTTTTTAATGCCCGATAAAATTACTCATTTAATAGACAACTTTTACCCTTGGGATCTCTTTTTGTAAAGGTATTTTTTCAATGAAAGCTAAGTTCCGGCTTTCCATTTTGCAGGTGAGATTTGCACTCTCATTATTTTGTCCACAAAATGGAGGGTGGGTGTGCATTTGAGCACTTTTGCCTCTACCTGATGTGCATATGCAATCAGGTAGGTAAACACACTTACACTAGTCTCTTAAGATTCAGGTACAAAAATGCCATAGCAGCTTGTGCCTTCAGAATCAAAATGACCTTCTAGGAATGACACAGAATCCTAATTTAGATCCCCATTTGTTTCCTATTGCCTTCCAATTAAAAAGTTGTTCCTATTAAATATTTGTGTGTCTGTGGGAAACTTCCTTAGGCAAAGACTTAAAGGCCCTGCTCTTCACACCCATATCTCAAAACCTTACTGTGCATGGGCAGTCTAATCTTTCCTTTTCCTTTTCTCTTGAAAAATGGAGCATTAGACTCATCTGCATCTGTTCTTGGTTTCTTTATGCTTATTTATGAAATGAACCATGCTGAAAGTGAGATTGGTCAAAACAGGCTGTAGATCATTAGGAGAAAGTATGCCTCAGTTCTCTTCATACAGTGATACAAAATATCTGTTTTCTAGTACTTCATGCCTGAAGATCAATTCAGTCTGGCTTCCTTTTCATTTTAGGGGAACACAAAGTCCACTTCATCCCAGCACTGATTGGCCCTTTCTTGGAAGTGACGCTGATACCTCAGCCTGACTTACGGAATGTAATGATTCCTATTTTCCATGACATGATGGACTGGGAGCAAAGGCGCAGTGGCAACTTTAAACAGGTATTTTTGTCATCTGGTTAGGAAAACTAAATATCTGTTTTTTCAACCCAATTGAATTAATGCTATACACATTTTGTTCCTGATTTACTTGAACTAGCTATTCTTACAACAAATCGTTCACCTGAGGTGGTACATCATGGGGAATAGGAGTTTATTCCAAAGTGAAAGCAGATTGTATAGCGTCTTTTTCCCTCAGATGTGAAGGAGTTGATGAAAAGGGAAAGCGTGCAAGCTCAGTGCTCATGCAGAATCATTTACAATAATTTAAAGTGTGGTGCAGATCAAGAAATGGGGAGAAATTAGGTGTTCAGCTGTCCACACTTCTAACATCCGTGATTTCTGGCCATACTAGAAGTAGACGTCTTGACAGCTGGAGGTTTGCCTTCTGTTTCTGTTTGGCTAAGGGAACTATTCTGTGCCCCCTGGACAGTGTCTGTGGAAGCACAGCATAGTTAAGATTTCCCAGCCCAAGGTCAGGGAAAATGTTCCACCCTTGGAGTGGTGAATGGAGATCCAGTGATGTTTTCCCTCCTGCTGTGGCTGACCTGGATAGAACTTCATGAATGGCTCTCCAAGCAAGAAAGTGACCATGAAAGAGGGATGGAGATATGAGCTATCCTGTGACCTCCCCAGCTTCCTTTTCTACTCCTCTGAAATGCTCCATCTGGATAAGCAAAGTAACCCTGCTAGCAAAAAATGCATGGTGGTACTATTGGGAGGCAAAGATCAGCTCTGCTATTCTTTCAGTACTGTGTATCTGACCATAAGCCTCTGAGTTCATCACTGAGGGCACCAGCTAAAGATCTGCACTGTTCATCCTCAATGCAGTTTACATGGCCTGACAGAAGGATCGATTCATAAATCTTTCTGTTAGATGTCTGGTCTATCCAGTTTTGTTGTGTCTAGTGCTACAGATCGAGCTTTATAGGATAACTTTGAAGACATCCACCCTTTGTGGGTGATACAGAATTTCTGGTGGCTGAGATCATGTGGCAGTTTGAACATGACAATGCAGATTCTGGTTCCCTGGCTTTCAAAGGCGTCTATTTCTATTTTTCCTGTGGAAATACTGAATGAAAGAAAGAGTGGGAGAGACTATTATATGCAAAGGCAAATGGCAAGTAGTACTCTGGTGCTCCAGCATATACAAGTGAAAGAAAAAGCAACAGAAAACAAAAAATGTCTGAAAACCTTTACTGTGGATCTAAAGGCAAAGAAGGCAGAGAACGGTCTTAGCTTGATTTAAGAAAATAGTATTAGAAGAGGATTAAATTGATGCAAAAATGGCTTTTGCACAGGAGTGCCTTTTGAGGAGAAAAATGAAGGATAAGGTTGTTGCAGAAATGGAAGAGAAGCAGACATGGAGTGTAGGATGAGAGAAGGAAGCTGAGAGTAGATAGCAAATAAACAACAGATAATGGCATAAAAGTCTCTGAGGGAATCGACAGTTGTACCTCAGATTCAGTGATCTGGCTTTGACTAGGCATGTAGTCACCTCCCAGAGAACAGCTGAAATACTGAAGCAGTGTTCCTTCCACATAAGTAATCTGGGAGAAAATGTTTGGTTCCCATGCAGCAAATAACTAACAGCTGCACATTTGTGGCTTGAAACCATGATTGTGCAGGAAGAGTTTATTACAGGAAATACCTAGGTTGTGAGAGATATCCTGAACATTGTACAAGTGGATCCATAGTGTTGAAGGCGAGCTTCTTACTCAGACCATTGTAATATTCAGGTTTCAAAAAGCTGACCCTTATACCTTGCAAAGCCATGCCACGATCCAATTCATTTTTTTCTTATTATTTTGCTACTTAAGCAGTCTTAAGAGATGCCAAGTAAGGAAGTACTCAGTGTGCCATCTGCTCATGCTGTTTGTATTCTGCTTCTTGGTGTAGCTTCAAGCCATTTCTCAGTGTTCCCTTTCCTGCTGCTTCAAATGAAGCAAAGCAAAAGCATTTGAATTAGTGAGGTGAAATGGCAAAATAACAGGAGTAGAGTTTACAGAAATAGCTGGAGGGGGAGGGGGAATAAGGCATGGAAGTGAGGCAAGTAGGCTTCTATGGACTGTCTGTAATTTTATAAGAACTAAGTAGGGAAGCAGTGTACAGACTTCCTGATTTCATATCCAGTGTACAGACTTCCTGGTTTCCCCCAGCATTATTCATTATCATTAATGATATCCTCTATAATGCATTCTTTAATAAGTCTGCAGCAAGCCTTCCCTGCAGTTTTTTTTAATTCACTAATTATCTTTATTATTGCACAAGAGACTATTTTCCAGTGGAATATTAACTACATAGAGACACCTTGCTACATTTTCTGTGTAACAAACACAGCCCTGAGTGTATTTAAGCAAAGATCATTACCTACCAAACCCATATTCCCTAACTGCTCTTGTTTGCCAGATAGTAAATGAAGCACATCTCTCACTTGTCCAAATTCTGTTGGAAGTAGAGTAGGTTTGGGGATCAGACCATCAAGTAGCACGGAGAAATGCAGGTCATCTTAATGCTAATCTAGACATCAGAAGAAGAAAAGAAGCAAAAAATGGCTTTTATCCCGAGATGTATATAATGTCTTTTGTTTGCAGCCCTGGGCTGGGATTTCAAGATGGGAGTTAGGTTGTCTGCTGTTTTTGTCTGACTCCATAAATAGCTGCCTTGTTCCACTTAAACCAGTGCACATGTACAGTCCATCAGATAGCTTCTGAGAGATGGCTGCAGCCCTACAAAGTAGAGTGAAAGCAAAGTAGTAATCATGCTTAGATTTCTAATACATCATATACAGAGAATTGTTTAAGAAGGCAGTTTGAAGAAAACCGAATTTTATCAGTGTTCACTCAAGAATTTGATTTAAGCTCTCCAAATATCTTATATACATAAATGTGTGACCTACAGGTGGAAGCAAAACTGATTGACAAATTGGATAGCTTGATGTCAGAAGGAAAAGGTGATGAAACATACCGAGAACTCTTCAATAGTATGTGAGTAATAAATGTCAGCTTGGATCTCTGTGGAGTGCAACTGCAGTTACAGCTATAGCATTGAAGGGAATTCTTTGTCTTTTTGAATATCTTTAATCAGAGTTAATTACCTAAATGAGTGAACGAGTCATGTGCCTGTGTCTTTAATTACTAAAGGGGGGGTTGGTTAAATTAGAGAGCTAATTCTTTTCTCATTCATTTAACTGTTAAAGTTCAGAAAGCTACACGTGCTTATTAAGATCTCAAGCAATCAGCATTATTTTAAATGTGAGCTATATATGCTTTCAAAGCTATATATCCTTTCAAGAAGGTATTTATTAAACATTTCATAGTAAAATAAAGTTTGAAAGTCCCTTCCCTTCCCTTCCCTTCCCTTCCCTTCCCTTCCCTTCCCTTCCCTTCCCTTCCCTTCTCTGGTTTAAGTTTTCTCACATAAAAAATGTCCATTTGAAATGAATAAGCATACCACTGTAAAGTCAATCTAATATTGTTGTAATTACTGAAATGAGATGACGTTATAAAAGTGAATTAAGGGCACAGTCCTTTGGGTGGCAGGCCTTGACTAGCTGGCCATATAAAAAGTCGGAGGCCAAACTCTGACCTCAGAAAAGCACTGTCAGAGCACCTTCCTTCTGCCCTTGCACCTGGCATAGCTCTTTCTGGAATGCCAAAGTTGGAGGACCAGCCTTGGCGCTGGCACTGGTGGTTTGGGGAAGGGGAGAAGCAAGACACTGCTGCCCATGGAGGAACCTGGTGGTATCTTCAGCTCTTCTCATGAGCTGGAGTGAAACACTTGGGACAGTGGAATCAGAGAAGGACGTGTGGAGATAGTTCTCACTTCTGTGCTCCTCGCACTTTTCTTTAGGTGTTATAGTCCTCCAGGTTTGGAAGTGTACAGACAGCCACCTCAGTTGGAGCTGAAATGTTTATTTTTTTGCTGATAAACTTGCAGAAAAAAATGGATTCCAAGGCAGTTAGAAGTGTGCATTTAAGTGTAGTTGATCATTTCTATTTTTCTTTCAAAAAGAGTCAGCATTTCCCAGTCAGTATAACTGACTAAGAATGCTGAGAACTGTAGAACTTTTTCTGTATAAGCCTATGTGGGATTGCACCCCACAACAAGCACTCAAAACACTTTTGTTGCACTACATATGAAGATATGTTACCAGTTTTACTTATAAACTACTAAAAATTAATAGTTTTTAACCATGATATCTAGCAGTTTAAGGAAACATGGTAACATCAGAAGCAGGTATTTTGACTAAGCTGGTCAATTACACAAAGAGAACTAGAAGCATATAAAATGACTATGTCATTTATATATGCACAACTCAGAGGGTGCCAGTGCTGGAAAATGGAACAGCTCTTTACTGCTAAAAAAGAAAGCCTTACATGTCATTTCCTCAGTCATGTCCACTAGATGTGATGGAATGCAATTCAGTCTGTGTATCTGGATAAAATGCATTGATGTTTAAATGGCAAGATAGCTTTCAAGACTCCAAAACAATGCCTATCTGGATTAGGAACAAGCAGGTTCATAAAAGTGCCTAAGCAGTGTGGGTATATTTGTTTTGTTCATTTATGTAAAATATTTTAGGGTGCAGTACAAAGCCCCCTCAAGGCAGCTCAGAAGATACAAACAATAAAAAATCAATATATGTGAGGATCTGAAACTGAAGCCAAAATTGCGACATTAACCAAAGGGAATCGTTTGTGTGTGAGAACAGGAAGCCCCTTTAAGAACATTTAAGTAAACCCGATATTAGTCTTTCTGCCCAAAAAAATTCCATCTTTTTTATGTGAGCAAATATTTACATGGTTTTTAATGTGTGTATATGTGCATGCGAAACTAGTACCTAAAATGCATGATTAATGCTGCAGTATTTTGCTGTAAATTGAGCTACTACTGAAATCATAGGTACTACAGTTAAATGTTAATGAAAAAGCATATTTTTTAGAGAGGGTGTTTGTTTGTCCATCTGGGGAAGCAGACAATAACTTCTAGTGATAACCCTATAATATAAAGGAGAAATAGGCATGCTTTGTTATAGGATAGATTACATTTTCAGTTTGTAGATGAACTTAACCTGCTTTCTTGACTCATTGAATAAACAGAATAAACACAGAATAATGAATAAGAACCACAGAATAAAAAGTCTCTGCATCCTCAGAGTAATTCAGCTTAAAGCAGTTCATGAACATTAGTTGCATTTATTGATTTTAGAAATAAATCACAGGCATCATATTTATTTTTAAACAAAGCATAGATTGGAATGGATACAACTTAAGTTGCACTGCCATGAAATAGCCTGTAAAAGTGCAACTATCATTTTTCTCGCAGGCTTCCTAAAGTTCATTTTCTGGCCTGAACGTTGTCAGATATGGGTGACTCAGAACAAAACCAGTTCCTCTTGACTGATTTAAAACAAGGAAGAATAAATATTTTACTGCATTGGGCATGCAGGATACAGCTGATGGGAGTTGCAATCCAAAATATCTGGAGAGCAACAGATTAGGGAATGTTGGTGTTCTGCTTTCATTGTTGTGTGTTGTTGTTGTTGCATCTTGCGCCATTGCAATCAGACAGAGGAGATGTAAAAAGAAATTTGTTCCAATCCAAAAAAAAAAAAAAAAAATGCTAGAAGGGCACAGAAGTTTGATCACCGAAAAGTTTCTCTTATTGTTAGTGACATTTCAGATCAGAAACTTTTTCTGCACCAAAATGATCCATTTAAAATTCTTTCCTCACTGAACTGGATTTTTAAAAAATGTTGAAAATTGAGTGGTCAAAATTTACAGTAATTTTTTTACCCTACCCTCCTCACTCCAAAGGAGTAGTAACAGCAAATATTTATTTAATTTTTTTAAAAGGAGAAATGGAACAAGTCATATTTAACTTCACATGGAAATGTCATACATGTAGTCCAACTGTAATATAAGTTGAGGTACAAAAGACACAGGCAACAAAAAGAAAGCTCTCAGAAGTGGGCTGAAATACTAGAAAGTTCCTCTGTACATAACATTTTAAAGTAAGTATCCTTATGGGAGTACCATAGAGATTAAGCCTACTCTTCGTAGAAAAGAACCTTCAAAAGATGTAGGTACAGATTCTGACTCAGATGCATGACAAGGGTAGTTATGTGGGTTTTCTGGAAAATTCCTTTGGAATTTCAAAATATATGAAGAAAATAATTGAAAACACCCTTAGTGTATGCATATTTAAACAGAAAGAAATTCTATAAGACTTGCAGAGGACTGCACCCTTAATGTGATTTATGCTACATTATGAAAAAAAACCCTAACATTTTCAGTTTCATTGTTTAAGAAAAAAGGTACTGAAAACTGCTGATCCACAAACTGAAGTTTAGCAATAGAAAGCTCTGTGAGTGATATGCCAACAATCGCTCATCAATTTTGAACCTGCCAAGATTGCCTAATACTGATTTGCAGTTGGCATCCATTCATTATTACTAATGAAGTTATAAAATGGAAATTTTCCCTGGAAAAACAGAGTACTGGAAAAGCTTCCAGAAAAATATTCTGCTTTGGAAAAAGTTTCACCCCATGGCTCACTCACAGACACTGGCCCAGTTCGCACATTGTTTACAAGTCATGGTTAACAAATCATAGGTTGTTGAAAATGGAGCTGGAACTCTACTCATAACTACCCATGGTTTACACAATCCATGGATAGTCACGTGTAGTAGGTCGCTGCTTCCTATACACTGGTGTATTATTATATATCCTGAAGCTGTTCTATAGTAGAGTTTTTCAAATCTCTGAAGTGGTTTGGAGTCTTCTGGAACAATGGAAATGTTGTACTAAAACTTTCTTGAGTTCTGTGTGTGTTTCCCAGTTTTGAAAGAATTTTTCAAAACTAGGCTAAAAGCTTAAGTGCAAAATATTATGAAAGCACAAGAGTTTGTCAGGATTAATGTAGATGTCGCAGCCCCTTCACTCAAAGCTGGCACAAAATAATTTGTTACAGCCACAGCAATTTGAATGCCTGTTCAAGTAGGCTGCCCCATATTCACTGTACATATGCTCATGAACAGCTGTTGCTTGGCATGATAATCCATATGGTTCCTTTGCAAACAGTCAGTGGGCCACTGCAGCTCGGTGTTGAAGGTAGCACCATGCTCATCAGTTGCCACTGTGGCCACAGAAGATGCATAAGTAGCTATGGCTGATGTTAATGCTGGGCTAGATGGAATTATATTCCAACATCCTGTGTAAAATTCAGCATAAGATAATCCATTCACATAGTCTGTCATAGAAATCAGCTACAACATTGTTTAAATCAAAGAAACAACACGACTATAAAGGCCTTTGTTTTATTTCTTGGGTCACTAGAAATGTGGGCAGCTACCATAGCCCATATAAAAAGCTTTAATGTGAGCTCATTTTTACCACAGTGAGGGCAGTTCTTGGACAAAATGTTATAGTCAATTACAGAAGCCTGAGTACAAAATTTATGAATTCTTGTTTTGGTTGTGAAGGGTGCATGCTTCTATCATTATGGTTGCTTTCCCCAGGAAAACATACAGAAATGGGATACTTAGCTTTTCTACAATGTCTGTACATTTTGAAAGGAAAAGCAAAAATGTATGTATACGTGCATGCATCTTTTGCACCTGACGTGGTATGCATGCATTTTGCATTTTAGTTTGTGTACCTAAGAAGAGTAGGAAATGAGATGCCACCTTTTTTATTCAGATATGTGTGTGTTTGTTTTTCATTTTACATAATGTATACCTGTGTGCAGCTCCTGCTGAGCAAGGATTTGTGCTGAAGGCAGGCAATCTTGCTCCAGGTTAAAGAAAGACCATGCTGATGTGGGTGTTTGGAAAGCATATGGATCAAAGGAAAAAAAGAATAAAATATTACAGACAAGAATGCAAAGAGAGTACCTGCCTCGTGGTATGAGAAAGAATGCTAGTTTAGATGGAATACATTCCCTCCTGTAACTTTCTGTGTAGATGCTGCCTCAGAAAATCTGCACTTGTGTCTGAGCAGCTCTTTTGTTATACATCTTTGAAAAGTTGGTGATGCAAAGTTTGTGTGAATTTTTGATCATCTCTCCCTCTCTCACACACATGGTATAAAAATATAAATGGAAAGTAAGCCCTTATTTAAATTGGTTAATCCTTGTCCATTTTAAGGGATTATAGCAGCTCTTAGTATGAGATGCTGTTTCACCTTGAGCAAGTCTTTGATATTTGGCAGAGGAGATCCTCTTCAAACTAGAGTACATTTTCCTTCTGTGCAATTACGTAATACATCACTGTTTCTGCCTCTTTTCCTGCATATTGAAACACCTTTAAAGGAATAAAGCCCAACCTCTTTTCCTTTTTATCTCTTCATGCTTTTATGTAGCAGATATGTTTCCTGGTGTTCCCCAGGTAAATGCCATCATGTCTGAAATATGAACAGATGCTTGTAAAGATACAGGAGCATAGGCTAAGACACTGGCTTTGGTTGCCCCTTTTCAGTATGTGGAATCCATTTTTTCAGACTCAGTGGGTGAGTGACTGGGTGTACAGCAGACACTAAGAATGTGGCTGTTGTCTAAAGAGGGAAGCAGCTCTTAGGGTCCCCAGTACATCCTGATGCCCTGATAGGCCCAGCCCACTCTTCCATCATTACACAATCTTTCCCTCCTTTCATCTTGGAAACAGACTTCCTCTGTTTTAAATGCAGTAAAAGAAAGAAAGGAAAAGTTTATAGTTCAACAACCAAACACCCTCCTTCTTCTGTTCAGGATACTATTCTGAACTGCATTATTTCACATCAGATTTCGGGTGACTGCTAGATGACAATTGCACTGTCACAGGTAGATGCTGACTTGCAGGATGGTTCTGCTCAGCAGGTAGCCCAGAGCAATTCTGTATTAGCAAAAGGCAAGTTAACAACCCCTGAGCATGTGTTAGCTGGGAGGAAAGTGCATGTATAATCTGCTGCTGATGGCTTCCAGGTGTGTGCTCCCCTTGATACATTCAGGATTTGATTTTAAGTGCCAGAAAGGTCGCTTCGCCCAGTGCCTTCTAGAAGTTAAATCCTGAACATGGCAGCCTCTGAGCAACTTTAATACTTTATCATTGTTAGCCACTTAAGCTTCATACACGATGTCTTCTTATCTTCTCAATTTTCTATTGCTGTGCTTTGTAATTTTGCTTGTACAAACACATAAAGTGCCTTCCAGATGTGTCTGAGTATAGGTGTGAATATAGTTTTGGTACAGGACTGACATCATCAGCCAGCATGGCCATTGGCCATGTTGGGTTGGGATGCTAGAATTTGTAGTGTGGGGAGGCTGTACTAGCACATCAGATGGACTGAACTTTAGATTCCAAAAACTACTCTTGTCTGAGCATTCCTGCACCTCTTCTTTTTTTCAGTGGGAGCATGACAGCATTTTCCTGCTTTGTCCAATATATTTGGCATTTTTACCTTTACAAACATAATGCAGCTACATTTTAAAGCTATTATTATTATTATTATTATTATTATTATTATTATTATTATTATTATTACATTTCTATGCCGCCCCTTGCCGAAGACTCAGGGCGGCTTACAACACAATAAAATACATTGAAAAACAGAACATAATAAATTACCATTAAATACAAAAATACAAAAAATACATTGAGTTACAAACATAATAATATAAAATTAAAATTATCAGTATTAAATAAGTAAATAAATAATATAGGAGGAGAAAAGAGAAGGAAGAAAAGGTTGCCCTGGCCAGATCATATATTTTAACAATTAAAATGATGTTTAAATAAAAAGGTCTTTACCTGGCGCCGAAAAACCAGTAACGACGGTGCCAGGCGGACCTCTTTAGGGAGTGAATTCCATAGGTTGGGCGCCACCACAGAGAAAGCCCTCCTCCGAGTACTTACTCTCCTAATTTCTTTCATGGAGGGTTCCCGGAGAAGGGACTCTCCCGCAGATCTCAAGGGGCGGTCGGGCATATACGGACGTAAGCGCTCGTTCAGGTAGCCAGGACCCAAGCTGTTTAGGGCTTTATAGGTCATAATCAAATCAATTTATATGAATGTCTGCTGCAGGTATACCTGTGGTGGATTCTTGGACATATTTAGTACTTATGGGATCTTTTTCTGTTACTGCTTAAGAACTCTAGGATTCAGCCTCAGACTATAGGATAGCAGGGACTTCTTAATATAGAACTTAAGCTTTCCTGTGATCATTTCCTAGACATTTTGCAGATGAAGTCATTGGACTGATTCAGATGCTGTTGTTTTGACAAAGAGAATGATGTGACCCGAGTACCAAGTAGTCATGTTGTTATGAATATCTTTCAGCTGGTATAACCTGAGATCAGGAACAAACTACCTGGAGAACTGCAACCCACCACTTGCTTTCTAAGTCCTAGCCCGTCTTGGCTTGTGCAGTCAGCTAGAACGGGGTTGGATTTCAACCCTGGAGGTGATTAATGCTTCCTTGAGGGAAAGGGTGGTTTCAGACAGCTTAAAGGAATTGTATTGAACAAATCTGGCTTAGATCCTCTGCTTTCTGATCATTGCCATCCGGTGTCAATTTTGCCTTTCTTGGGTAAGGTGTTGGGACATATGAAGGCTTCCATGCTTCAGATACTGTTGGATGATGCTTACCATTTTGATCCATTTCAATCCAGGTATTTTGGGGGTGGTGAGGCTTAATCTGGACAAGAAAGAGATACTGTGAGTAGAGGCACCCTACTAACTTGGATAGAGGATTACATCTAGCTTAAGATAGGGTTGCATTTCTCCAAGATTTGGTGCTAACTGGGGCAGTTTAGTAGTGGTGGGAGCCCAAAATACTTTTTACCAACTTAAAGCTAGTATTCTTGTTGAATAAGAGAGGGATGATCTTGCCCTGGCGATATCCAGGCTGGACTGCTGGAGCCAGTTATGCTGACTGCAAGTACATTTTGCAACCCAAAATGCTAGTTTTGACTTTTAACACCTTAAATGGTTTGGGCCAAAATTACTGAAAAGACCACCTTTCTTGTGCCACCCTGAGATAAAGAGCAGTTCTTCCTAGCTGCCTGATGCAGAGGGAAGCAGGGCTGGTCAGTAAAAGAGAGCAGGCCCCATACCTTTGGAATGAGCTTCCCTTGGGGATTTGTCATTCCTGTCCTTTCAGGACTTTATGAAAGCTCTGATGACCTATCTGTTTTTGCATACCTTTACATAGTTCATGGGATGCTGGTTTTATTGATCATTTCTGTTTTCATGGAACACTTGATTGGATATGTAGCTATTGAATTTGTTAATGTGTCTGTTTTGTATGTTTTTATCTTGCATTCTGCCTTAAGATGGTCCTGCCTTTAAAGGTGGCCTAAAATAATTTTCAATAAGTAAGTAATAAATAAATCCCTTTGAGTATATGCAGAATGCCCTCTTATAGCAGCTAGGCTTGCTTGCTTGCATCTGGATTCCATGGAAGGCCTTCCAGGGGAAAAGGTACCCTAGTACCTCTCACTTTAGAAATTGAGTGCATGCTCAGCAGCACCTCCAGATAGCATTTTCAGTCATTCCCTTACATATTAAGGTAAACCTGCTGAGATCAATAGATTCAATTCTAATTGACTTGGAGAATTGGGCTAACAATTGCCACCCAGAACCAATCAATTATTTAATGGTTAAATGAATGAGATTGAACTGCATAAATAACACCCAGCGCAAGGCAAGTATGTTTTTGAAAAAAAGAAAATCTCAGGAAAAGGCTTTTCCTGTGGCAGCTACAATGCAGTAAATTGTGTGGGTGCAGAACTACTGTCGACTAAAGTGGGGGGGGGGAATCCTACATTGAGAAGATTTGAAATCTCATCGAAAGGCAGCAGTGAGATGAGAAATGCTCTCTTCTAGGTAACAAAACATTCAGTTTCTTTTCTTGATGCTGAAATGCAGGTCTAATGTAGGGATGAGAATGTAATAAAATCCAGAATCTTCTTTTGTGTAAAGGCTGTGAATGTCTGTCTCTGTATATTGAAAGTAGGATATTATTTCTCTCTGTGTTGACTTGGAGTTGGCTAACCTAAAAAAAATCAATTTGCCTTGTCAATGCTTCCTGGAGTAGAATTCCACTCTTTGGTCCTTATCCCAGGTAAGACAATATTTGCAATTGTGCTTTGTATGAAAGCAAGAAAATATTAAATCTGTGAATGAGCAGATAGTGCTAAGGCATTTTCGGGTACCTTTGAGTATAAATTGGTTGTTATGGAGACTGGTAAAAATAAATGCTGATATTTTGCCCTGGGTTCATTCCTTCCAGCCTGCTGAAGAAAATTGAACGTGAAACATGGAGAGAAAGTGGCGTTTCAATAATTGCCACTGTAACCCGTCTTATGGAGAGACTGCTGGACTACAGGTAAGCAATGGATGCATGCTTTATCTCAATAAATATTATTCCATTCTTTGCCAGTGTAATGCCAGCATTTTCCAGAAAACAATCACTAGCAAGAAAATGAAAAAACCACACGTACCGGGCATCAAGTTGTAGGAGTTCAGATTAAATGAACATGATTGCAAATCTATTTTATGTCCGTTAAGGACTTACACATATAGCCAAGCTAAGGACTGAGCTACATGTTTAGAAAGATTGCATGGTGCTGCTTTCATGTGCAGGATGTCAGAGGGTAGGTCACATGTTTGAAAGTTCCCCTGAATCTAAGACTCCTGACTGTACAAAGCTTGCATGTCAGGAAGAAGTTTCACCCTAACCTTCTCTATGAACAATGTGGTGTTTTTCTCTGTCCAGGGAGGCACCTTCACCACATGCATACACATCCTGACCTGGTACAGTCATGGGTAATTTGTAGGAGTTTGTTTCTCTGTATGTGTTATTCAGTTCCAAGTGTGGCTCTTATCCTAATATTAGGAGCCAGCAGTATAGTGTATGCAGCTTCCATTGAGATGCTCCCTGACCAGGGCCAGCACTAACATTAAGACTAGCCCTGCATCTGATTTGGAACATCATCAGCACATTGTTAATCATTTGAGATAGTATTATTGAATTTTTACTGCCTGTGGTGGGGAGAGGTGTTTGCAAGGCTTTCTGCTGTTGGTGCCAAAATAGCATGACCATTTTTGGATGCTGTGTACCTTGTCTTGGGGATAGCGAGCCGCTTGCTGCTCTGCCTTGGTAAGGAAATGTCTCAGACTGGCTGTGGACACAATTGCTGTGCTAACTCATGAGCAGTGTCAGTTTCCAGTTGTCCCTTGCAATGCCTATTTTGAGGGATCCTTTGCAGAATCAGTGACTCTTCCAATGTTGTTGGACTCCAGATCCCATCAGCCCCAGCCAGCACAGCCAATGGTTAGAGGTGATGGCCGTTGTAGGACAATGGCATCAGAAGGGCCACAGGTTTCCCACTCGTGTCATGCAGGCGGCATTGCAGTCCCTCCTCACTTTTAGCATCTCTGCAGTCTGTTGTAACAAGCACTGCTAAGGAGAGAAGGCTAGTTGTCTCTGGATCCATAGCTTTTGCGTAGAAAAAGTACATACGTGGCCTGAAAATGTAAAGACGGACAAAGCAGACAGAAGCTGTTAGAGCTGAGTAACATCAGCTTCCCTCTCTTCTTGCAATCTACAGAGGATGTGAATCCAAAGAGTAGGAATAGCCTGAAGTACTTGCATATGTCCAGCTATGCTTCTAGTTACCACCTCTTTTGCTTGGGAACATAGGAAACTGCCACCCAGCTTGGTATGATTGGCCATAACTGACAGTGGTTCCCCATAGTTTCAGGCAGGCCAGCCCAACCTAGCAATGCCGACCTGAACTCTCAAGAGGCTGGGGATTGAAGTGGAGACCTTCTGATGCAAAGCATGTGCTACTGCTGAGCCTCAGCCCTTGCCAGTGGAATATTTGAAACCCAGTGAAGGTTCCAAGCATTGCGTCGGTAGTGGTTATCAGGCAGCTCACTCGCTTAGGAAACATTGAAATACTACCAGAAAAGACTGCTGGTTTTGCATATGGGACTGTATGATAAATCACAATCATCATCGTCATCATCATCAACAACAACAACAAAACAGCTTTTGTAAAGAACTTACAAGTGTTCAAAGTGCTTTACATGCATGAACTTGTTTTTATTCTTACAACTATCTTGTAAAGTAAGATGGTATCATTATCTCCCATACTGCAGATGTAGGAAGGAGCTGAGACCAAGAGAGTATGACTTGCCTAGGGCCTGTTTACTAACTTCATGCCAGAGCAAGAAGTAGGCAGAGGATGCAGCTCAGTCTCTTTGCCATTGAGAGTGCATCAGAGAACTTGTTCATCCCTCATTTTTCTAGTGGACCATGTCCACAGAGAGTACCCTACCATTTTTCACTGCCTTTTTATTTGAGAGAGAGCATCAGTGAATTTAGTGGTGGAAGTCTTTGCTTCCAAGACAACATGCTTGGGACTGAGATGCATGTGTTTTTATTTGAGGCCATGTGTGGAATCTTCATTCCCAGAAACTAAGATGTATTATCCTACCCAGTCTAGGTTTAGAGACTTTGAGTATCTTTTAAAGGTGCAACTTAGAACTAGATTAGGCCTTGGTTTCAGTGTCATAACATAGCTAAATTAGTCATGGTTAGATTCTGTGACCTGGATCCCATAATCTACTTTAGGCTTCCCCACAGGCTTGAGTGTACTTAGTGGGATACTTTCTTTGAAGCAGCAATTCCCTTTCACATATCATAACTACTTTGGAAAGTCCTCTCTGTTCAGAAGTAGCTACTGTGTTGAATGGAGAACATCTGTTAAATAAACAGTGGCCCAAAGCATGCTTAGGTGCACAAAACCCTTCATACTATAATTTTGCTCACGTGTTGTTAGTTAGATTCTAGTAGCCAGTCCATGAAGGGATGAGGCATGCATGTAGTGCAACTCAGCATATTTAAAACAATGTTTTGTTTTAATCTAAAGCAAATTAAACTGATTCCCTGATGACAAAAGTTACTTAAACTCTGTAAATTACTTAATGACCAAATGTGGGTAACTCTCCAATTTCTGTGGTGGTGGTGGTGGTGGTGGCTTCAGTAATATAGATATACACCAACTGACTTTCCATCCAGATGTTTTCAATGTCAACTTCTGTTAGCACCAGATAGCTTGATCAACAGTAGAGTTGTAGTCCAGTACAACAGCTGGAGTTGTAGTCCAAAACATCTGGACAGCACCAGGTATGGGAAAGCAGATTTATCCAGTTGTTTACACAGTGCAAGGGATAGGTTCCTACCCAGTAGGACTTACAGTCTCCAAAAGAGACCCAACAGTGTATATCCAAAGTTAGTCCTACTTAAGCCCCATTCATTTCAAGGTCACTGCTGTAAATAGGAGTAACATTGGATACAACCTGCAGGACTCATGTGAAGAATGTGAGAGGAAGGAAGGCAGAAACAGACACAGAAGAATATATGGTTATTGCATTGACATGTGCTCATACTTTAAAGTTGACTTAATCTAATTCATTGTTTTGTTCTTCAGTGATGTTATTTTGCATTTGGTTTTTAGCTACAGTACAAGCTACAATACCTTCTTGAATTGATCTGTCCTGGAATCTGTTAGTACAGATTTCTTTTAAATACACCTAAAATATCATCTGATGCACGTGATTAGTTGTTCTGCACATGCTTTGATCTGATTTGTTTTTCCCCCACCCACCTCTAGGGACTGCATGAAAATGGGAGAAGTAGATGGAAAAAAGATTGGCTGTACTGTCAGCTTGTTGGTGTGTATCTCTTTGGCTCAGATCTTGCTATTTAACAGTAACAATATGAAGTCTTAGATAAGGAACATATTTTTAATAGCCTACTTTCCAGACTGAGATTTAAACTATAAATTCTACTGCAGGATTAATGTATGCCAATGAATTCAAAGCTTATTATGCAGTCATAAAATATGCATGCTAAATTTGAATATATATTGACATGCCTGCAAAAATACACATGTCTATATTTTATGGAGTGGAGAATGTGGGTCTATATTAAATGGCCTGGAAAGTGGGAAAGAAGAGAAAGCCTGGTGGTGGGGAATGCCTCTAACGCATGCATAACTTTTTGCTTTACTTTGTTGTGGGGTGGGGCATGAGGAGAAAGCGGAGTTTTAGCATCTCTCTTCCTCTTCCTTACTCATGTCTTTGCAAAGAGCAGTGGTTAGCTTCTGCCTCCCCAGGGTCAGTTGCTTCTTCCTGTTTGGGATTCAGGTACATCTACTAATTACAAGGAGTGACTCTCCTGAAGTAAGATTATGAACATATGGAGAATGTTATTTACTGAGTAATAATTGGTGGAAGGATTCAGACTTCTCTCTTTTGAAGTGTGTCACTGGTTGTGTGCAGAGTATCTGTATCTCTCTGTAGAATAAGATCACAGACATCCCAGCGCAGGTTTTCAGAGTTTTTACAAAACTCAAGAGTATATTTTCCTTTACTCAAACATGAATAATAGAGACTTTTTTCTTCTTTTGTTAATTCACGGGGAGAGTGATATTTGGGGAAGCAGAGAGCAAGAGAAAAATTAAAATTCTTAAAACTGTTGAGGTGTACATTGAGAGATCACCAAAACCAAAACTATGACAAAATCCTTTATTTTTCATATTTAAACTTGCCTAATTTGCGAATCCAACAGCATACTTCTCATCCACAAAGAGAGGCTGGTGTTACCTCTGATGTTTATGCAAAGAAATCTAAGTGGAACATTCCTTTGTCTTCGGAGTCCAATCCAAGAAACAGAGCAAGCATGTGGCAAGGGCCTGCAAGCTTTCTAGTACTTGTGGAGCACTCCATGATCTGCTTGACAAACAGAGTTGCCTCTTACAGCATTGGATGCATAGCAAAGACTGCCTTCATTGAGTGTAGCACTTAATTTCCATCTCTGCCTTCCCTAGTGCCTTACAGAAAATCTTGCCATTTGGGATGACAGCGTTCACTCACTCACTCACATCCATACACATACCCTTGTACACACCCATTGTCAATGTCTCCTATTCATGTTTGAGTTTGTTTGTTCAAATCTGTTTATACAATGGCCTTCAGTGCAGCCATTCATAAAATGGTTCACAAATGAAATTATTCAATAACTGTAAATCAGGAAGCTCCTTTTTTTTCTGGGGAGTGAACTACACTGACTTATTAGCTGAGATGCTTGTATTCTTGCTGTCCTCAGAGAAGCTCAGGACAGGGTGTATTGCATTTAATTTTTTCATTTGCTGAACTAGCCAGGGACAGGTTCTTGTGCTATAGTCATGCTTTTCTCCTTCAACAAAGTAAATATACAAATTGTCCAACTTTGCTTTCATCTGCTCCCTTGCTTGGGAATCAGTCCAGATGGACTCAATGAGTTTACATTGGAGAACCCTGTAGTCAATTTATAACAAGCATCATCAAAACCATACAAAAAATAATTTTATTTTGGCAGTAACACTATGAGACAAGTTAGGCTGAAAGTAAGGTGCCTGTGGTGAGCCAATAAACTGTGTGGTGGAGCAGGAATTTCTACCTAAATTTCTAAACCCAGACTCAATGTTCCTACTTTCGTGATCAATAGAATAAATTTATGGTGGTCCCTGCCAATTTCCAAATCTCTCATCAAAATGTTCACCCTAATGCCCACAACCATCTGTTTAATGCAAGAGGAAAGCCTTTGGCATAACAAACAGCATATAATATGGTATAATGGAGCTTGAGAAAGAATGTTTGTCAAAGTCCTTGCTCCTTTTGTTTGAAGAGCCAAATAGGCTTTTAACCATTTTCTTAGCAGCAAGAGCTTGTCAAAGTAAGAACTGTGAAACCTTGATGACATTTCAATTGCAGGGTTGTAGTTGTTGTTTTTAGATTATCCTTAGGCTCAGAACTGCTCTGTTCTTTCCCTTTCTCTGTCTTGAAGCCATGAATATGGACTAAACTTGTAGCATTCATGAAGCTTAATGGAAACTTCACCTGCTTCTTGGGTGACTCAAATTAAATTCTCTTGATATTCCCGGAAGTATGACCTTGCAAATCTGCACCTCCTTTTTTGAATTGCAACCAGAACGTTTGACCCTTGCAAACCTAAATAGGTGGCCATGCTAGTTTTTGCTTAGCTGACCTCTGCACTCCATCCCAGCATGGTGTCACATGGTATCTTCTGACCATGCTTTTGAGTTTCTGTGGTACTGTTTAGCACTGATGTAGTTCCTTGATGAAAGTCAATCCCTGTAAATATCACCATCTGGACTGCCTTTTTGAGGCATATAGTTTTTGATGGAAAGGCCAGGAAAGCTGCCTTTATCATGATTTGCAAAGTAGGATTTCAATGCACATTTCTGATTAAAGCTTGATGGCTCTTATTTGTGAATATATTTCTACTCCCCCTTTCTTTTAGGTAAGAGTTTTATCTGGGACTTTCTCTTATATTTTATTTAATATAAGCGTTTTCCTGCAAGGACTCAAGGTGACTTCCATAATTACCCCCTGTTCCATCGTATCGATTTATCCTCACAACATCCCTGTGAAATAGGTTTGCCTGCGAGAGCATGACTGCCCCAGCGTCATCCAGTTGAGCTTCATGGCTGAGTGGGGACTAGAACTTGGGTATTTTGAGTTCCAGTCCAGCACTCCAGTCACCACACCATACTTACTGTCATTACTTTTTGATGTATATCTCCATTATTCACTAAAAAGAAAAATGTCTAATCAAGATAGCACTCTGTAATATGCTTGGACTATGTGAACTGAAGTACAGTTCTCAGTCTACAGTCTTAAAGCTAGCTGTGTGTACCATCTCTCAGTTTTCTTGGTAGTTGCTTATTCACACATGCAAATTGTTGACATGGCAGTCACCAGGTCTTGGAAGAGCAACAATGGTGATTTTCATTCTCAAATAATGTCCATGCGTGGGTGAACTAGCTCTCCAGGCTATTCTAAGGCAGTGTTTCCCTTAGAGGAATATTCATGAAAAGCGACAAGTCAGAATGCAACATCCGCATGGAAGTTTGTACTTTGTGACAGTATTAAAAAGTGTTTAATATAAATGAATAAAGATTCACAACCAGGAGATTAGATTTCCCCTAACTCACTTAACTTCTATACAAGAGATAGACAACTTGTGGTCCTCCAGATGTTTTGGCCTACAGCTCTGATCACTCTCTGAGCCAATGGTGAAGTATGCTGAGAGTTATAACCCTGAACATCTGGAGAACCACAAATTGACCACATCTCCTCTTCACCCACTCACTGTAACGTACAGGCCATATGAATTTTTTCATCCCAACTGGCTAAGGTTCAAACAGCTGTAGCAATTTTCTGCACTTGCACTTACAGATGAAGTTGCATATAGTTTGCTCAACTTTTTTCCTTGGAGTACCTGATTCTTAGAACTTCAGCACATTTTAGATACAAATTGCTTGACAGACCTATTTGTTTAAAAACTGTATTCTCCTTCACCAGAGTCCCATGGATCTCCCAGGGTGGCCAAGAAATGCAAACTATAAATATTAATGGAGATAAAGTTACAATCAGTTGTAATTTCTTGCATGAAACATTTTGTCACAAAGGAGTAACAGCTGATTATTCCCCACAGACATGAAAATCTACCTTAGCATGGGCTACTTATTTTCAGCTTTTAGCGCTCATGATGACTAAATGCATCATGTTTATCTTTCCTAACTGGTTTATTTACTGTACTATAGTTATACCAGTGTGCAGTGTTGCCAACTGGCAGTTATTTCGATATTGTATGCATTGAAGCACAGGCAGGCTGAACAGCAGAATGCTTCCATCCCCCTGCCACCAATGGATTATATAACTCAGAGTTCTGCCAGTACTTCAAGTGTAAACTGCAACTATGAAGAAAGTGTTGGGAAAGAATTGCTCATAAGGATCTATGCAGATACCCGAAACACTCTTTTTTCCAGCAGAACTGTATACTTCCCTGTTGATATTTTATAATCCAAACATAGAGATGCTAGACAGTGCTGGGGAGGTCAAAATATTTTTTCAGATTCTCAGCTATGTGATTAGAAAATTGTGCTATTCTTGAATTTCCTTTACTCTCCCTTCAGCCAGTGCAGAAAGGGCCATGTTGGCCACTTAGCTAAGGAGTGAGCTTGGTGAAAGGCTTTTGGGAATGCTCTATTAGGTAGGGAGGAAAGGAGACCATACTGTCAATATATAGTGGAATTGTGCAATGGTGTCTTTGCCTGCTCCTTTTCTGATCCAAAGTGCTGCACTTACACAGCTGAAATCAGTGCTTTGCAGAGCAAGAGGAGCATAAAGTCAACTTTCATCTTTGTGGTACTCCTGCTTTGCACAGGATGCTCATAATTCTCCAAGTTTGGAAGGTTATGGACATTGCCGCTTAATTAATCCTGTTACACAGATACTCTTGCACACAACATAGTCCTCTTCTTTAAAAAAATCATTTTATGATCTAAAAGGATTGCTTAAGATTCATTTGGATAGTGCAAAGAATCATTTTTAAATTGTTTTGTACACTTTCACCCCCTATTGAAATCTGATCTTTTCTGAAATCAGAATGTTTTTCCTGATTTTTTTAAAAAAACATAATGGGGTGGATGAAAAAGCACATCTTTTATTGTTAAATTGCCTTATGTAATAATATTGTGATTTTTAATATGCTCTTATTTCAGAATTTTTATAAGACAGAGTTAAACAAGGAGGAGATGTATATTAGGTACATACATAAGCTGTATGATCTGCACCTGAAAGCACAAAACTTTACAGGTAAATCTTTCACCGAATTGTCTGGGCAACAATTTTTTGAAACATTAGCAATGCATATTAGCAATGATGATGTAAAGAAACATTAGCAATACTGGTGCAAAGAAACTCTTCTGTGTCTCATGATGGTGTTTGTGTTTTCTGGAACAAAGCAGGATGTGACAAGACACAGTTATAGAGACCAACATGGGAACGACTTTGTCCTTTAGGACAGTTGTTGCTGCAAAGCAGAGATTGACATCATAGTTTGGGTTTCAGTCCCTGGATTGTCAGCAAACTGTGGCTTGTCCAAATTAGAGTTTGCCTTGTTCAAAAGTAATAGCAAACTATAGTTTGCTCAAATAAGGAAAGGATATGAATGGGAGGAGGGTCAGTGGGATGGAATTTGTGGCACATTCCCTTCCCATGAGACCAGAACATGGAGGATTAAGAATTTTGCATTTGATTTGATTCTTCCTGTCATTCAAACATTTAATTTGTAAGGTAAAAAATGAATAGGGGTACTGCATATATCCCTTGGTCTTGTGTTACCGAGTTCAGAGGCAATTTCTGAAGGAGCTTGTTTAAGTCCTGTATGTGAAAAAGAATCAGGCTGCCCTGCCCCATGGAATACCTGTCCCTGCGTCTGGCTGATGCCCATATGTTGAATGTCATGTTGAAATAAGACTCTGCATGAGTGGGGATAATCTGTGCAGTGGTTCACACCTCACAGTTGTGAGGAGTTATCATACAGACTGGGCACCTCAGTACTGTGTAGGGTCCATAAAAGAACACAAATGTCTACATTAGAAAGCAAAGCTTCCTGTAGTGTGGCTGTTGTGGTGTGGTAGGACATTGGTTAAGGATGGAATTGTAGGTCAGATATTTGGTCAATTGTACCTCCACCTTTGAAGTGAATAGCTTCTCTTTGCAAAGGTAGTTTTCAAGAGAAGGTCTTTGTCCCAAGGAATGAGAGTGGAACAGAAATGGCCCGAACCTTAGGGAAGCCAATATCCCAAGTACTGAGAATGCACTCCCACTACATAATGGAGTGAAAGAATTTTACCTTTCCCCCATATGTCTATTATGATGTAAAACATTTGGAAGTATCAAGGAGCTGCCTGTTTACTGTTCTTTCTTGAATAGAAACAGCTAGGTTAGAATCCATGCATGCATGCATACTGCCAGTTTTGTCTCACTTTCTGCTTTTTCTGGCCAGATTTATATGCCAATAATTCTTGGCAAGGGCCCTTCCTTGTTAATGTCAACTTTAAATCTTCTCTGGAACAGCTGGCAGCCAGTCTTGCTTCTTGGTGACAATTGCAGTTAGGTTGCTATGCATCTTCCATGCAGTTCATGGGATTTGCATTGGAGTGAAATGACTGCCATTTTAATAGTGGTAGTGCTTGATACATTTGGCCTTGGATATGCTGTGTATTCAATATTGATCCCTGACAAATGTCCTTGATTGAGCCCTGATTCTTGACAAATGTTTATATTCCTTATTTTTATTTATTTTACATTCCATATATTTTTATCCTGCCTTTTTTCTGGCAAATAACCTATAAGTACATAATTATCCTCTCCCTCTTCATTTTATCTTCACAATAACCCTGTGAGGTCGGTAAGGTAACAGTCAGTGTCTAGCCAAGTCACCCAGTGAGCTTCATGGCCAAGTGGGGAATAAAATCTGAATCTCCCAGGTTCCCACTCCAACACTTTAGCTGCCATGTTACATTGCTTCTCTCTTTATACACGTTGTGCTTTCTAACCTTTACCCATAAAACACAGTCTGGCATCATTATTCACTCCTGCTAGGTTTCCATGGACTTTGACTGAGTACAAGATTTATATAGCTGCAAATTGTATTGTTTAGAATGAGTGATTTTTCTCTGCAATGTCAAATACTTTAGCAGAGGAAAAAAGCCCTCTGTTATTTATCTTCCACATGAAAGAAAATGGAAAGCCTGTAGATTTTTTTTCATTTGTAGTGTATATGTCAGCATCTGTTTAGGAGATTGCTATGGTATCTTTCCAAGGATGCGTGATTACAAATAAAAGTGTGTGCACGCACACAGCTGCATTAAAATTTATTATTTTATTATTTTATTTAAAACATTTCTATGCCGCCCCCATCGCAACAAAGCCTCGGGGCGGCTCACAACAAAAACATGTTGCAATGTTGCAATAAGCCATGGTTTATCATGACAGGAACAAGCTTAGTCTTTCCCCAGACTCTTATGTTCTCCCCCACTCCTCTGGTACAGTAGGAGAAGGAATTTGGAAGCTTTTGCTTCAGTTCTTCATTAATCACAGCTTACTGTGCCATCCAAATCCAGCAAACTATGGTCAAATCCGAATATGTTTTCTTTAAAACAAACCAACTTGAGACTGGCTTCTTTCAACAAACTGAAGTTAAAATGAGTCACAGTTTAGTTTTCAGACACAATGCTAAACTATGTGTTAAAGAAAATCAGAAATGAAAGCTGATCTTGGAAGAGGAGAGAGTAAAGAGGAAGAATGACTCATTCCCATGACAGTAAACCATAGTTTAGCTGTCAAAGACAGCCATAATCTTAAATAAAAAGCAGTAAAATATTTGCAACCTGTTTGATTATGTTCTGAATTTAGTTCTCTTTTGTTGTGTGTGCACTAAATTTCCTTCACGTTTATTTGTGACACATGATAGAGGCTGCCTATACATTGTTGCTATATGATGAGCTGCTGGAGTGGTCGGACCGGCCACTGCGAGAATTTCTGAACTATCCTATGCAGACAGAATGGCAGCGCAAAGAACATCTTCATCTCACTATCATCCAGAATTTTGACAGGGGAAAAGTGAGTGGTTTTTGGTTAAAAAAATGCCAACAAGCAGTTATTATTATGCTTTTAGGTTGTTAATTTATTACATAGCATGCTTAATATGCAATGTGAGGGTTTGCTAGATTTATTTTACCTTCCTATGACATCTGCAATTGTCCATTGTTGTGACCTTCAGAATTAAGCAAATCTTAATTTGGTGCATGCTTAGGATTTCCACTAATTTAACACTGCCTTTTTAATATGGAACAACTGGGAATAAAGCTGTCTAGAGAGAGAATGATGAGCATTTGGCCTGTGACTTCTAGCTTCTGGGAAGGATCTAATGGTGTCTTGGTACTGGCACTGCTGAAGATGCACTAATATTAACCAGAGCTTGTGCAATGGCAATGGAGCTTGCTCATGCAGTGGTGATTTAACTTCCCTGATCCAGCCAAGACACCTCACTTTAAGTTTAAGGATACTTAGGAAGAAACAAAGTTTCTGGTGTCAAAGATAATATGAAGTTTATTAAATACATGATGAATATGGATGTCGAATATAAACAAATGAAAGAAAACTCTTCTTCATGGCTGTATTAGTTCACTGAATAGGCCAGAGGATGCTCTGTGAGGCTCCAGAGCTACCTGGCTGAACAAGGCGCCAGTTCCTCTCCCCAGGCTGAGAACAAAAGTCAATGCCTTCTGCCAAAGATTTTATAAAGTTCTTCTCTCCCTGTTACTGGAGCTGTCAGTATACACAGGTTGTAGTGTTTCCTTCCAGGGAGATGGGAGGTGGTATGGGGAAGCTTCTTCAGTAAGGCAAGCAGTTTTGTTCTCACAGCCGAAGTATCCCTTATCTACAGAATGATTGTGGAAGGCAGTTGTAAGGTAATTATCTATGGTGCTCCTCTTAGCCAGCTGAAGCCACAAGGCATTGGCATGACACCAAGAAACTCTTCTGCCTTTTAGACATTGGAAATGTTCACTGTGCTACTTGTTGAACCTTAATAACATCTTTACTATTCTTCTGAACATCTGCCATGATTGCGAGAACTATTGACTTTGCTCAAGCATGCTAACACAACCTGAGTAACGTCATAGAATTGATGCTGTTGCATCCTTTCTTTTATGCTCTATGCTATTGATTTCATTGGTTGTACTAAATATGTTTATTTATGTTAAATAAATAATTTTTTTAACTAGGTATTATATGCAGTGCCACCTACACCCCCACTGCAGTCTGACACCTTGGACGTGTTGGATGGGAACTTCCATAATTATTAGCCAGTGCAACCATTGAACAAGCTGGCTGGGAAGTGTAGGAATTGCAGCCCAACACGTCTGAAAGGCATCTGGTCAAAGAACTCTACGTTACAGAATATCTGAATAGGGTTGTGCACACTGTTGGAGCCCATGATTAGACTCGGTAGTAATGTTGGAGCTCAGCTTTATACTACCTAAAGGTTGTTCTTTCATTCATGGTGCTGCAGGATTGACTTCATAACTCAGCTGTCATTTTGTCTACCTGTCAGTTTGCCATGCACTTTGAAATATAGTGTAGCACTGTGTAGCAATGATTCAGATATTTTTTACTGGTAGTCACTATCATCACTCTCAGCACCTGTGGCTGTGGCTTCCAAAATGGAAGAGACTGCAATTCCATATTGCCAGTTCTTATAAGCAGCTCTTATCTGCCTGTTGGTTAATGTTCTCTGAAAGTGCTAGTTAATGTTAGATTGTACTGCCAGCAGGAGGCTCTTGAAAATCTGTTTGAAGCAGCTAGGAAACATTTAGGTTCTGCTCTGTGCTGAACACACCTCTGTCTTGTTTGTCTTTAGTGCTGGGAGAATGGCATTATCCTATGCAGAAAGATCGCTGAGCAATATGAAAGCTATTATGACTACAGAAACCTCAGCAAGATGCGGGTAATGAAACTGGATGTATTTTGGTCATAAAAAGCAGTTAAAATTGAGAGTTTTGCCAGCTAGTTTGCAATTTAATTTCCTCAGTTTTAACTTTAGTATTACAACTGTGATGCAAGTGGTTTATTTATTAATTTATTTTATGCAAGAACAAGACCTTGCTCTGGGGTGATTTATGAGGAAAGAAAATAAATGGGAGTGCCACATTTGCTATTCTAGTATATTTTGGTTTTGATCCAGTTGTCTCAAAATTGCAAAATGGAGAACCCACAGTTAGACTGCTACAGAGCCATTTATGAATTATTCCAATGCTATATTGTGGCAGGGGTGGGGGTTGGATTCCTTATCACCAGCTAGATGCCATGTACACTGTATTGAAGCTATAATCCAGCACCCACTAACCTGAGATTAAGCCCTGTAAGTGAGACTTACATCTGGGTAGATATGCAGGCACTGATTATCATTATATTCATTATTATCTCTGCCTGCACTTACTATTCTTGTATGGGAAACCAAACAATTATTGTTATATTAGTTGCATAAAAAGTATATTTTGTGAATTCCCTATTTCAGTATTAGTAAATGTGCAATCTTTTCCCTAAATGAGAGATGCCAAGAACTTTCTCCCTTTGTCCATGTGTTTCAAAGACTTTCCCTAATTTGGGATCCTAACCCTACTTTTTTCTCCATTCCCTCAAACTGAAAACAGAACATAAAAAAAAAACAAACACCTGTATAATTCTGAAGGTTCTAAGTGTTTTGTTCCTACTGGTCTCCTGAACCATATGAGTAATATTGACCAGTAAACAAAGGCCAGAATCCAAAGCTGCCTTTATGCTAATAGGAATGACCACAAATGAAATGAGAAACTTGTATTTCCTAGAGCAATTGGGAACTAACCAAAGTTCGTATTTCCCGAATGGAAGAAGTTTTCAGAGCTTGCAGAAGAGAATTCTGCTCACCTATCCCATTCTGGAAATGCTAGTCTGGGCAAATTTAGGTTAGTTTAGGTTATGCTAGCACAAGCTGAAGAGCACCAGCCAACCGCCAGCTTTGGATGATGCCCTCAACATGGAAGTAGGTACGTTGTGCTTAAGTGGGACTGCCTCTTAGCTTGTAATCATACTGCTATCACTTCTCTTTAGTTGTGATTCACCAAACGTGTCAGTAATGTCATACTGGAATTAATTGTGCAAACCTACTTTTCCTTTTTATTTATGAATCCCCTTCTAAATAGCTGCTTTTCCACCAATAAACTCAGGGTGATAGAAATGGACTGATACAATCCTATAGTCACTGCCTCCAATTCAGATTCATGACTGAGAGGGCGTTTAAGTTGATCAGAAGTAGCCTTATACAGAGTGGGAATATTGGCCTGTTCAGCTCAGCTTTGTCTACAGTGAATGGCAGTGTCCTCCCAGGATTTCAGATAGTAGTCCTTCTCAGCCCTACCTGAAGATATTGTAGATGGAACTGAGATCACTGAACCACTGCCTTTTCCCAGATTTCCTAGTTCAATTTATTATTTATTAACTGGCTGAAGAATTTTACCTATTATTTATTCAGAAAAGTACCAAGGGAGATTAACAAAGAGCAAGTGTACAATTTGAAAGACACAACACAGAAGGAAAAGAGATTGGAAGGGAGGAGGAAAACTACAAGCTCAGGCACTAGTTCTTAGTTAAGTCTCTGGTATACAATACTGGTTCTGCGGCCATCAGCTCTAAGTAACTTTTGAACATTTCTGTCAAGTTGCCCATTTTATTGACTGCATTTGAGTTCTTTGCTACCTTGAAATACCTTATTTTCTAGAAGAGCCTTGAAGATTTAGAAGAATTTATTTAATCTTACACAGGTGATGGAAGCCTCCTTGTATGATAAAATTATGGATCAGCAGCGTCTGGAGCCTGAGTTTTTCCGAGTTGGATTTTATGGAAAGAAATTTCCTTTTTTCTTACGAGTGAGTTTTTCGAATTTTTACTTCTTTTAACCTAAAAGTCTTCATCCATGACTGTGCTGAACCAAGATGCTTCGCTTCCCTGAATCAAAGCATCATAGGGCACCTACTCCCAGATCTACAGTCATCACTTTATGAATTCCTCCTGAGCCATTCTAACATCAGTTCTGATTTTCATCTATCCACTTAATTTCTGTCACTTAAAGCAGCTGTTTCTTGCCAGGGTTGTCCCTGATTCGTGCTGATGTCTTCCCACACATAAGAGGTGCTTCTCTTCCTATATATGCAATCACTCTAGTCAGTGACTAGAACCTGGGGGTGAAAGAACTTCCGACTACTTTATGTGTCTTCCAGGCATTGTCTCCCCTCCTGTTCGCTTCTGAATTTGACTGATAGACTTGATGGGGGACCAAAGGGATTGGACATGCCATCTATTCACTTTATGCAGTCTGTTCAGTCCCCTTTCCCCAGGGTAATTGAATAGAGCTATGGTACTCCACTAAAAGATCCCTTCATTTGTTCAGACAACACTCTTGTTTAATTTTATTTTCTAAACATGAAATGGTATCTCCTCCCCTTAAGAGTTGCCTGGAAGGTCATTGGATGTTGCTGAGGTATTTGTTTTTGTTATTTCCTCGGTAGGTCAACTGACTGGAAGATAAAAATAGGTAGTAGAGAGTTTGAATTGGGAAAATGATCTAATTAGTAGCTCAAGTGTGAGTAAAGAAGGGGGAAAGCATCACATATAGAATAATTTCACCTGCAGCAATTTGCAGGTCCTTCAAATGGAAACCTTTTAGCCCAATGCCAATTTATGAGTCCTTTAAAAAAAATACTCCAGGAATGTAAAGTTGACCTGAGGTGTAGTATTTTTATCTACTTCAAGGGATCTTTCCTGTAACCATAGCAATGTAAAGTGGCTCGATTATAAGTACTAAGAATTCTTCATAGTTCATGCTCCTACAGTTGTCAAGTTGGTAACTATCAAGTTGCTCTGAAGAGAATTTTACCATCAAATCTTTGAGAACCACAATAAGGATGTATGGGAAAAGCAACAGTGCACTGTTTCTCTGGAAGAAAAATATAAAAGGAAGTGTCACAGGCAGATACTCTTTACAACACATGGTCTGCAGGAAAATTATGGCACATGCAGTAATAGCGAAGTTCTCGTGCAAGTGAATTACTCATGCATTACTGAACAGAGCTGCAGAAAATTAGAGTGGAAAATGACCCTTTAGCATCTATAGCTGTCAGCACAGCTATGGAGCAATTCATCTGGCACTGGTTACCAAGATCTGAGATTAATGTTGGCTGGTCAGGTAATGTGCTATTTTTTATTATTATTATTATTATTATTATTATTATTATTATTATTATTATTATTATAACATTTCTATGCCGCCCCTTGCCGAAACCTCGGGGCGGCTTACAACATGATAAAATACATTGAAATACAATAGTACATAATAAATTACCATTAAATATAAAAATACAAAAAATACATTGATTTACAAATACAAAATTAAAATTATCAGTATAAAATAAAAATATAGGAGGAGAAAGAGAAGGAAGAAGAAGTTGCCCAGGCCAGATCATATGTTTTAACAATTGAAATGATGTTTAAATAAAAAGGTCTTTACCTGGCGCCGAAAAACCAGTAACGACGGTGCCAGGCGGACCTCTTTAGGGAGTGAATTCCATAGGTTGGGCGCCACCGCAGAGAAAGCCCTCCTCCGGGTACTTACTCTCCTAATTTCTTTCATGGAGGGTTCCCGGAGAAGGGACTCTCCCGCAGATCTCAAAGGGCGGTCGGGCATATACAGACGTAAGCGCTGGGAAGAGAAAGAATAGCCTTTGCACCTTTACCAGCAGAGATTTAAAGTGGCTGAATTCAGCACGCCAGAGGTGGATGGGATGTGTCTTAACAAAAGCTGTGACAGCCCGTTGCTGGCTGGGATATATCCACACAGTGCTGTATCTTGGGTAATCTGGGCCGCCAATATTTGCCACACAGAAGATCTTGGAGAAGGAAGCAGTGGAGTAAAGTGGGTAAAACAATGAAAGAGGAAACCAGCTGCCATGGTCTGGTGCCCTCCAGATATTTAGGTCTATCACTCCCAATATTACCGACCATTGATCATGCTGGAGCTAAAGGGAGTCTAAACTGAAGGGCCCCAGGCTGAAGAAGGTAGAGTTTCCACTTGTCCAGTTCTTACCACTTTGCAGATTGAAAAATGGGTGTTTAATAACAATATTGTCCTAATCTAAAAATGCTAAAAGAACATGAAGGTTTCTGTCCAGCCTGTTACCAGGTTTGGTAGAGGGTTTCAGGTCTTTTCCAACTCATGTAAATGGATAAACCAGCCATATGTGCAATTTGTAAGAGGATTTTCTTTCTGTCGTTCTTTTTTGCACTTTGATTATTTGATAATGCAATGAAATGATGAATTCTGGTAGTCTTCAGAGTTCAGAGACATTGCAGTTTCACCAGTCAGAAATGAAATTAAATGAAATGCCCACAAGTGCTATAAAAGGTTATTTTCATTTGAAGACCTAACTTCTGAAGCAATTCTGGCACCTTCAGTAATTTCTTAAGTGTGTTTTCCTTTTTTTAGCTTCTCCAAAATAGAGATGTTTTGTCTTCATTTCAATTTTCAGGATGCACAAACAACTGAAAATGCATGAAAAATAATTATACTTTGGAATAGTTACAAGAGGAAGAGAGAACTAGAAATTAGAAATTCACTGGGCTCATTCCAGTAATAAAAGGAGTATTTCACAGAACCTGTGGATATTTTTGCTCTTTTCATCTTAACAATTTGTTATCCACTTTATGTTTAGTAAGGTCAACTATTGCATGTTCTGTATTTCATAAGTTATGAATACAGATCTCTCTCATTTTCAAATATTACTCATTTTAAAGAATTGGTATTTTATCTCATAATTATACAGAAAGCCTCTGAACTCTGTAAGTATCAATCCAGAATTGGAGGTTTCTTTTCTGTCTTCTTTCTTTTTAAAGCAAATACTGAGTCATTTTCATGTTATCCACTGAGCTTTCCATATTTTTCTGCCCAGAACAAAGAATTTGTTTGCCGAGGGCATGACTATGAGCGCCTGGAGGCTTTTCAGCAGCGGATGTTAAATGAGTTCCCACATGCGATTGCTATGCAACATGCCAATCAGCCAGATGAAACCATCTTTCAAGCCGAGGCACAGTGTATCCCCCAGTTGGCAATGAAGTTTGTGTGCTTAACAGACACATTGAATCCAATGTATTTTTTTTTCTCCTGCAAGGAATGCAAGGGGCATCCCTTGGCCCATGGAAGGAGATATTTAATTCCTTCTTCCTAAATCTCCATGGTCCAAAACCTAATCAAGACCTCATGCATTTACGCTCCACTAAGTGGGACCATTATGCATACCTTTGTGATTTTCTGAACCTAGCCCTAAAAGTCCATGTATGTTCCACCAGCGGCTTTTCTTTAAATATGTTTTTTAAAAAACTAACACACACACATACACACACACACACATTAATATTGTTCAGAAGGCCCAGAGTTCTTTGGCTTTTGGGTGATATGATTTATTTAATTAAGTTAAATTGTGTTTTCCATTATTGTATTAGTCCACTTATGTTTGTGATGGTAAGCTGCCTTGAGTGCTGTTTTTCTTGGTAGAAAGGCGGGATACAAACTAGTGACCAGATCAGGACAACTGAGAAACCAGAGGGGGTTAGAATACTTGTGGGAAACCTAGCTCTGCAGAGGCAGGAAAGATCTCTAGGGGATCAACCACAAGCCTAAAACAACTGGATGAAGGACTGCTAAATTAGGGGAAAACCAAGTGGAGGAAAAATGGCATGATATAACCCAAGAAATGTCATGTCTGGATCACCAGACAAGATGCACTTTATTCTGTGAGGTGTTCAGTCAGATCCCACACATAGTGCTATGTTCTAAAATCCTTGATAAGGCAGTACCAACTCAAAAATGTAATGAGGCTTTGTACCAAATTGGTAAATGCATATGATTTCTAAAGACTGGTTTGGTTGCCATTCACAACTCTTGTGATGCTATGTATCTGCTCCTGCATTTACACTGCTTGTGCAACGAGACTGTGAAGGTTTGCAAAGTTCTTATAATTCCCAAAGACCTGCTTTACTAAATGGTATATTATTGAATGCATACCTCAGGCGTTTAGTGAGACTGGAGAAGTCTAGAGGTAAAGAAACAATGGATTTCTGGTGGCCCAAACTTGAGAGTTGACAGAGGTCTCACTGTGATGCTTCCACGCCATTGCTGGTACATTTTGAAAAGTGAAGAGGCTGGTGAGTGAGACAGGGGTTGTGGGTAGCAAAGGTGGGGCAGGTCTCAAATATCATCAGGAATATCACAGGACCCAAAGGTTAGGAAAATACTATCTTGCAAATACACATATTTTTACTTCTCCAAATCAATTGAAGGTTACTTGGCCATCACTTGTATGACAGCAGTTTTTCATCTTCATTGATTGGGAGCATTGTAAAGCAAGAGCCTCCAGCTTTTTGGAACTCATGGGCATATTTGGAAATTTGAAAAATGCTGCCTTAAATATTTACTGATGTATGCACTCTTTAAAATTATTTGTCTACTTAATGGAAATTAACAAATGGAGGAGAAAATAGAATTTCCCCTCCATGTGATAATGGAATGTGCCATTAAACATTCTTATAAAGCTATGGACTAAGGGCTTTACAATGTTTTGATATTTGAATGAGTGACATAAAGGTGTCAAGTTACTGGATTTTCATTTCACTTTTGTTGAAAACTATGTATAGTTTATAGAAAGTTTTATGTATTTCATACAAATCCAAATGTGTCTATAAAAATAGAATTAAAAAAAAACAGAATAGAATTTTAAAAAAGAGTAACTACATACATACATAGAGTGCAGACATGCACCATGTTTGGAACTCTTTGCAGAAACCACGTGTCTACAGGTGCCACAGTGGTAATGTGGTCTAAAGAGTAACACATTTATTTTTCCAAGTCATGAGCTACCTTGGTCCTTAACTTGTTGCACATAGATCTACAAATCTATGCAGTGACTCCAATTCCTGAAGGCCAGGAGGTGCTGCAGAGAGAAGGCATTCCAGATAATATTAAAAGTTTCTATAAAGTAAATCATATCTGGCGATTCCGATACGACCGGCCATTCCACAAAGGGACCAAAGACAAAGACAACGAATTCAAGGTATGATGTTTTCTCAATTGTAGTCAACAGACATTGAAAGTATGTTATTTATTTTATCTGAAGAAGTCACCTAAGTGAAGGTTACTAGACGATATGGTGGGGTCAGTTACATTCCACTGGGGCTCACTGTGGTCCCAATCACTCTTTTTATATTTTCTTTGAACAATAGGTTCTTTTGACATAGCACATTTTCTGGAATGAAGTGTTGGCACAGATTGTCATGGTCCTAAATATGCCATTTAATCAGTGACCTACATAGATACTTAGGACACATATCATCTATATTGGACTAAACAAATACTAGAAAGAGTTCTACCATGCAGCAATATAAGTAGATCATTAGTCCAGCTGAGATGAAAGGCTGTTTTTGGTTTGGATATTGAATTGATGTGGCTGCAAAAAAGGAAAATAAGCTAACTTAACCAAAACTGTCTGGGAAAGTTTCATTTAGTGAGGGATTTAGTACCCTGTTTTGAGTGTAAAATAGTTTGCTAAGAAAATTTCCAATAACTACTGGTTTAATGCTTATATGGTTAGAGAACTGTTTCTTTTCTCCTTTTCTTTTACGTATTCTTACTTTTATTTCTTTGTTATATTTCCTTTGATTTACATATTCAAGATGGTGCCCTGTAGGTTAATTAATCCACAGTGGTTTTGTGTTATATGTAAACTGGGTAGTAGTGAAATTCAATAAAGTGAATCACATCTGGTGATTCCAGTATGATAGGCTATTCCACAAAGGGACCAAAGACAAAGACAGTGAATTCAGTATATGATTTTTTAAAGATTAATGCTTTCACTACATGTGAATTGGTTTGAATCAGTTCCTGATGCTAAGTAGAAGGTGCATAGGTCCAGAGATGTTCTCCTGTAATACACTTCCAAGAAGCTGTTATTTTACATTCTGCCTTTCTTAGTATTAGAATCAAGATCTTATTTTATACTGATTTTCTGTACCACATGTCCATGCATATTTCTTCCTTTTGCCATATAGCTAGGTTTGATTATGGAGAAATTTAGGACAGCTTTTATCAAACTGGTACTTCTACAAATGTATTGGACTAAAGCTCCTGTCATCCCCAGCTAACATGGCCAATTGATAGTCAACACTTTTGGAAGGCACTGGATTGTAGATGGCAGCAGGCTTAAGGTGCTAATTTCTCCATGTTTGTTAAGCTTTCTCACTTAAAGTGGGAAACAAGCACACCACGAAGTGCAGATAAAATAAATTCATACAATGAATAAAAATAAATCCATCGAATGTTGCACCACCTAAATGGGATAAAAGCAGTAGGAATTATTTTCTCTTACAAAAGGAAGCAATCTAATAAATGATTTGCTCTTCTTTGTCTCAGAGTTTGTGGGTAGAGAGGACTACACTGATCCTGGTGCAGAGTTTGCCTGGAATTTCTCGTTGGTTTGAAGTGGAAAAACGGGAAGTAGTAAGTATAAAATGGAGAAGTAGAAATTTTATCCATTCCGAAGCCATTTTGGATACTAGCTATATATGAGTAATAAATTACAGTGGAAGTGATATGAAAGAGAAAACAGCAGTGAGCATGGAAAGTACTGGCAAGATATTCATTCTGTGAGCCAGAGAGAGGAAGAGAAATGTCACTCTGAAACTGTTTGTGTTACGATAACTTGCATAGAAATCATATTGTGAAAAAATACAATCCAAGTTGTGGCCACTGTACCTAATTTTCCTGTACCAAGGAAAATTAAAAATACAGTTGAATCCTAATCACATGTGCATAATCGTGGTATATATAAATATTATGTTTTAAATAACTATGACAAACATAGACATGTACTGAAATATTTCTATATCTTGGAATCTAACTTGGGTCAGGCCTGGTTACAATCTGGATGGGTGACTTGAATGTATGATTCTGATTACAGTTGTAAATTGCCCAGAGAATTTCAGATACAGGTGGTATAGAGAAGAAATAAATAAATAAAAGGATCTGGAGATTAAAATAGTCCAATACCTATCGTAGTCTCCTCCTTAATCCTAGGGTTTGTTTTTTTGTTTGTTTTGTTCTTGGTAATATTTCATATTTAAGTCTGCAGACATTCACATTCTTTTTACTAAGATTTTTTTTTCTACTTATTTGGAGTGATCTTTTCTTAAGTGGTCATGGCCAGCTATCTTTTCTTTTTTGTGTGTGCTATAAGTAAATTATATAATATTTATTTTTGGTCTATTTGACTCATTAGGTGAACTCCCAGCAGAAGCTGGAGATATTGATAACAACACACTTGGTTTTAACTCATAACTCAGGATTGCTAAGAGATTTTAAAAGTACTTATGCTAGAGTTATTTTTACACAGCTTGGCTTAAGTTCCCTGCTCGGTATTGAATGTCTCACTGCACTAGCATGTTACCTTAGTACAGCACTGCTCTAATCCAGCCTCTACCTCAGCCAGGTGCCATCCAAAAGTCTTGGTCTCCAATTTTTATCACCTTTACCTAGCAAACAAATAACCAGTCTGGTTGGGAATAATGAGAACTGTTCTCCAACATTTCCAATGGCACCATCTTTAAGGAGACTACCCTAGTCCTTCCTCAGTGCATAGACGGATAGTTTGAAAGCTAAAGGAGGGGCCCGATCCATGCAGCTGGCTTCTGGGACTTTCCCTTAAGCACCTTGCTGTGCTGTGAAGCTTTTTATCTCCCCAAAGTCAAAGAAACTTCAGAAGTGATTTCTGTGAATTAAAAGCAGTTGCAAGAAGCTTGGGAAAGCAACAGCTCCAGTATCTGTGTGCAAACCACTATATACTTGAAGTTTCAAGTTGGGAGCCAATTTTACAGTGGTGGGTGAGGCTGAAGGCAAAAGAGGAACTGCCAAAATCATCAGATGTTTTAGATTAAAGCACCTAGTCTCTGAGGAGAGGCATTTCAGTGTGTGAAACTGGGAAAACACCAAATAATCTGTGGTTAGGGAAAAGGGCATGGCCTTGTGGGGAATCTCAGAGGGCCAGTCTTAGCCTTAGTGGAATGCCCTCTGATGGAATGACTCCCTTGATGGAATACCTGAAATCAGGATCCAAGGCCTTCCTCTAAATGACACATCCAAGGGAGGCTCAGAAGCAGACATCAAAGTGGAGGGACTTCTCAGTGGCTGACCCCTTTCCTATGGAATTATCTCCACACTGAGGCCCGCCTGTGCCAATTTTGTCATCCTTTTGGCACAGGACTAAGACTGCCCTTTGTGTTTAGACATTTAAAGATACCTAAGGTCGTCTAATGGGTTCATGGGTTACATGTGTCTGGTATTTTTCACAGGTCTGCTCTTTTAAAACTTTTAAAAATTCTGTAATATGGAAATAATCATTGTTTTACCATATCATGATCCCGTTGAGGAACTACCCAAATTGTATAGCCTATCGGGTGGTATAGAAGTTGAATAAATAAAAACCTTGCTATATTACAGAGAGTTCATCAATTGTGAAAGCCTTATATCAGGGGTCCTCAAACTTATTCAGTAGGGGGCCAGTTGAAAGGCGGCAGCTACACACACGGGCCGGTGGGGGGAGGGCCTGGGCGCGTGGGCCGGTGAGGCGTTGTCAGGTGCACACGAGGTGGCATTGGGTGCATGTGGCGGCGGCTCGCTCACTTGGAGATCTCCCAACGAGTCCAAAACCATCTCCGAGCGAGCAAGCCACCACCTCCCATGTGCGCGGCAGGGGCCGGATGAATGGGCATGGCAGGCCGGATCCGTCCCACGGACTGTAGTTTGAGGACCCATGCCTTATATATTAGTCCAAATAGTATCTTGCTCTTTGCCAGAACATCAAAGGTGGGATTGACTGGCCTATTGTTGGTTGCAAATAAATGGCTAAAGAGCTGACAAATAAGGAGATTCATGGATGGAGTTTTGTGCTCCTTGAATTTTAGGTGGAAATGAGCCCACTGGAGAATGCTATTGAAGTACTGGAAAACAAAAACCAGCAGCTGAGGACCTTGATCAGTCAATGTCAGACTCGACAGATGCAGAATATCAATCCCCTCACAATGTGTTTGAATGGAGTCATTGATGCAGCAGTCAATGGTGGTGTTTCCAGGTACCAAGAGGTAAATTGTTCTTACATTTCGTGCTTGGGGGTTAGGATGCATTCTTTCTTTAACGTCCTTCCTTCCACCTTACTTGTACAGAATTTGTATCCTAATCCCTGCTACACATAATCAGAATTCACCTAACACCATCTCTCACATTAAGGAGGTGTGTAGAAATCTGAATATCTGTTTGACTTAAGAGACCGCTTGCCCTGAGCATGGCATGCAATCTGTCAATGTCATAACGTTCGTCTTTCATCTATTATCTTTAATTCTGTTCAGGGCAAAGTTCGTGGTTCTCCCCCTTTCCCCTTTTATCCTCATAACAATCCCGTGTTGTAGTTTTTTGTTGAGAAATGGTGATTTGCCCAAAATGAGTATTTGGGAGCTGCTTTCTCTAGCTCTGAGCCAGTGCTCTAGTTATCACACCCATTCGCTTTTAGTGCTGTCATATTCATCCTCACCATCATTCTGGAACAGGAGGCTCCCTGAAACAGGGAACTTTTCTTTTTGTAAAGATCACTGAGATTTATTTGTGTCATGTACATTCATATAACTGTATCAGACATATAGAACCACTGGCCTTCTAGTTTACAACCTCCTTTCGGTTTCTCTGCATAGCAATTAGGCTTTAAAACCTATGTACCCATTGCTGGGGTGGGGGTAGCTCTTTTCTCCCCATGAACTGTAACTGTAGTTGAATCCTCTGGGCTGCAGTTCAGTTACAACTGCAAGATGGCTTTAGCTAAGCCTGACTGCATCATTATCTATGTGTGCAATGTTTGTGCATGATGTAAGAGAATTAGCATACATGAATTGGTATGTATGTGTGTGAATACAAACAGGTGTAAATGAATGGATGTGCAGATTGTGGGGATTTATATGAGTGTGTGTATGAGTTGACCTTGCCTTCTTTGCTGTTGATCCCACTTTTAGCAGAAGGGCTTGCCCCCTTAGAACCTTCTCTAGAACAGGATGCTACCTTTCGGCTGAAAAAGGTTTCCTTCTCTTGCACTATATGGATAAGAGAAAAATCTTATGGCTCTTGGGTGAGCATCTGACACAAGGTCAGAGGCAAAGAGGCTTGTTTCCCCCTCCCCACTCCAGTCTTCTCATGCCAGCAAAGAGAACCATGCCAGCTGCTTTCTGAGGTTAGAAGGGGTTAGAGTGGGGACTAGGTTTAGGGTGTGGGTTAGCTCCCTGAGACTTCCAAGCAAACGAATCACAACAGGATAATAAATGTGCCTTTCAAACAATTATTACTGCTGAAGTTGAATTGAGCATGCACTTATGGTGCTCTGTGGGTTGAAATGTGGCCTAAGCAAATACCTTGAAGAGGACTGAACTTTGCTGGGAGCTGTTGTAAACATGATGTTGTTTGACCTAACATGGATGACCTGGTGCTGCAATTGTATTTTGCCCAGGCATTCTTCGTGAAGGAATATGTTCTGAACCACCCAGAGGATGGAGACAAGATCACATGCTTGAGAGAACTGATGCTTGAGCAGGTAAAGGAAAACTCGAGCAAGCAAAACTGACATGTACCCAGGAAAAAAGTGCAATGCAGCAACATTCTCTTGTTCGGAGGGCTCTGGGATTTGTAGAGCTACTGTCCACACGATGACAGGAATGAGAAAGCAAGCTAAATCCTGCTGACATCATCTCTCAGATCTTTCACGATGGCTAGAAGACCAGCCTAAACTGAACAGTGGGAGGCAGGCAGAGTTTTACCATCTAATTGCCTGTATGTGTTTTAATTCCATGCCGCTTGAAATATATTGCAGATAGGATTCCATCTGGTTTAAAGTAGAGAGTGAAGGGAATCAGAAACAAGTATGTGATTCTAAGATACCTTTGTGGTGTTAATTCTGTTTCCCTCTTAAAACTTGGTGATTGGTGATTTAGTCTAGACATCATGTCTTTCACAGTCCACTGATCTTTAAATAGCTCTGTTTTCAACTGGACTAATTTGCATATATAGCCTTTTTAAAAGAAAATAAGTAGTTTGCTAGTGTATTTCTGCAGTGTGGCAACTATGGTTGCAAAAGGGGCTATTTTCTTTTTAATATACCCTTTTGTTGTCAGTGTACTACCAACAATTTGGCAGCAAGCTGCTGATTTTCCTTTTAAAGGGAGCAGGGTTTTTGTTTTTGTTTTTGGCCACAACAGGGTATTTGGAGTCTCAAAAAAGATCAGGTGAGGACACATACAGCCAGTGTTATAGTCACTTCTAGTTTATTGCAACAGAAACATGCCTCATCAGTCTTTCTTTCCTCACTCTCCCTTTCTGGTACAGCAGCAAGGAATAGATCACTAGGTGTTACTTCCAGTTTTGATTAACTTCCTCCTATTGTTTCATGTGAGCCCCAACAAACTGTGCTGTATCATCACTGAGATTTGCTTGAAAAACCTGTGGCTTGAAATTGGCTTATGAATCTGGCTTGTTTCAACAAACCATATATCAGATTAACTATAGTTCAGGGTTTGGGTTCAGACATAACATAACTTTTGTTGTGATGGGATGTAAGCCTCTGTAAAACTGTGTCCGTAGCTGCATGGAGAAGTTCAGAAGCTTTTGCACCCATTTTAGACTAATCATAATTTACTGTGGTGTTCAGATTGGCTTGGTATGAACACCCTCAAAATTGTATAGATGTTGGTCTCTCTGTGTAACAGTAATTATACGAATTGCTGAGCTATATTGTTATGGCAAAATTATAAGTAAGGAAACAAGTAATTACCATTATTTTCCCTTTGTTGTGTGAAGGCCCAGATTCTGGAATTTGGCTTAGCTGTGCATGAGAAGTTTGTCCCTCAAGATATGAGACCTTTACATAAAAAGCTAGTGGATCAGTTCTTTGTGATGAAATCAAGTTTGGGAATACAGGTATGTTGGACAAATGCTGAAGGGCACATTAGATGGGTAATAAGGATAACAGCTGCTTGTGAAAGCATGGTTAGTGCTTGTTTTAAGCAACAAATGGTGACATCTTCTGGCTAAATGGCTATATTGCTTCACTTCCATCTGCATGTGTCAAAGAACAAAAGACTCATGAGGGTAAATATTGAGGGGCATATCTAGCTTCTTTAGCGTACAGTGTTCTGTTCTCTTTTTATCTTTTCAAGATGCACTTAGCATATGCAAAGCACATATTTTGTCCTCAAAATATCAAGTTGTACTCTTTTGCAGGCTAATGGTACCTAATACTTTAAATTTAAATATATACTTAGGAATATGCTGCATGCATCCAAGCCAGTCCAGTTCACTTTCCAAATGGAAGTCCCCGTGTCTCTAGAAATTCGATGCCTGTTTCTATGAGTCCAGATGGCGCCAGAGTAATTCCTAGGCGAAGGTAAGGGAAATAAATGCATTTTAGCTGTTCTCTTTCTAGTATGGGGGCATAGTTTATTCATTGGTGTGCAAAATTCTGACAACTGTTGGACAATTTTTGAACTAAAAGGTAGCACTAGATTGTAGCAGTTCCTTCTTTCACAGGATTTAGGAGAACAGGTGCTGGAAGGGCAGAGTTTGAGCCTAGATTATGCTAAATTTATGATTATGGTTGCTTCTGTATGCAGAATGTTCTCGTGATCAGTTAAAAGAGATCTGAAGAATGTGTGGATTTATCCTTGGATTGTGCATTGTTAACCCATCTATATGATCGACTAAAATTGAAGGTGGAGTTGATGACATTTGTTCTATTCTTTGCTTGTCACAGTCCATTAAGTTATCCAGCTGTCAACAGATACTCTTCCTCGTCATTGTCCTCTCAGGCTTCAGCAGAGGTCAGCAATATAACTGGACAGTCTGAAAGTTCTGATGAAGTGTTCAATATGCAGGTATAAAATACTTGTCTAGATTGGGTGAATTTGTCTCTTTTCTGAGGATTCTTTTCCAAGTGGGGAGGGGTATAATGAGAAGCTGAAATGCTAGGATGTGTTTATTTGCACTTCCAGATTTGAATAGCTCAGGCTGGGTAATAACAGAGCTGGAACAATCAACTCAACCATTTAAAATACCCAATCAAGATACTTCGTTAAAACAACAGCAACAATATGCTTTTTCTTATGTGATCTAGGAGGTCAAAAGCTAGTCAAACAAAAATGGTTCAGGAAAAAACCCTGACCCCGCCTTTTGAAAGGATGTTCCTCATGGATTGTGGAGTTCCAAGGATTACAAGTGTATGCCTGCTTTATTCAGAAGGCTGGTCTTAACAACACAAGCATCCAGGCTTAGCAAATTGTAGGATGTCTTTTTAGAAAATCTTAATGCACTTAATGCATTTTTTTCACTGAGACACTGGTGATAAGTCATGCTGCTCCATGACAACCATATTTATGTTTCCATGTTGTTAATCTTTTCATTAACGACATGGAAGAAGGGGTGAACAGTCTGCTCATCAAATTCGCAGACGACACTAAAACTGGAGCAGTGGCCACAACTGAGGAGCAGGTACTTCAGATCCAAAAGGATCTGGACAGACTATGGAAGTGGGCAGGAGACAACAGGATGGCGTTCAATGTGGATAAGTGCAAGGTCTTGCACTTGGGGCATGGGAATGGGTGTCATAAGTACAGGTTAGGTGACAAGTGGCTGGAGAGCAGCACTTGTGAAAGGGACCTCGGGGTGCTGGTTGACTGCAGGCTAAACATGAGTCAGCAGTGTGATGCGGTGGTCAAGAGGGTGAATGCCGCCCTTGGTTGCATAGCCAGAAGTGTGGCTTCTAGATCAAGAGAGGTATTACTACCACTCTACCTGAGTCTGGTGCGCCTGCAATTGGAGTATTGTGTTCAGTTTTGGGCCCCTCATTACAGAAAGGATATAGCCATGTTGGAGCAAAGCTCAGGGAGCAAAGGTTCCATTTGGATTCCAGGAAGCACTTCCTGACAGTCAGGACCCCAAGGGTGTGGAATGGGCTTCCATGAGAGGTCGTTGAGGCCCCATCGGTGTGGGTGTTCAAGGATAGGCTGGACGTCCACATGGTGGGCATGTCATGAGCAGGGCCGGCTGGTGCTGGAGGTCAGACTGGATGGCCCGGGAGGCCCCTTCTGACTCACTCTGTTTCTATGTTTCTATGTTTATATCCTTGTAAAATACGACCACATATACTCTTATGAAGCAGTGCAAAGAAGGATTATTTCCCCTTGTATGGAAGTTTTAAGATATTGTGTTAAGTTTCCTATCAGATTTCTGTGGATAGGACTACCATGATCCATTACCCTGATGCAGTATCAGCCCACAGTCATGGACCTGACAAAGGAAAGTAGATAGGTCACATTTGTTTCTATGGGACCCAACCATTGGAGAATTACTTCCTGATATATATTAAGAAGGAGGAAAGCTAAGGGATCATGAGAGAAAGCGAGGCCTCCTTTTGCCTCTCTCTAGTGAGAGCAGGAGGTCAAAACTAGTGCCTTGAGGTCAAATCTGACCTACCTGGGAACCAAGAAAGCCTTTGAGTTCTCCAGATAAATACATCTCTTTTCCTTGACCACTAATTGTCTGGCACTTTCCAGCTTTTACACAGTTTTCCTCTCATTCTGCTGGGCTAAAATGCCCCTTTTAAGGTTTAGTTACAGGCTATAATGTGCTGACCATGCCCCTTCATTTTGCCTTTGGCCACACTCAGCACTGACATGTATCTTATACAAAATGTAATGCAGTCGCTGGACTAATAGAGGTTCTATATGCCTGAGCCAAGTAAGGGGATAGCTCAGCTGTGGCACTAAGAAAGTCAGGAGAGAGAGCTGAGTTTTGGGACCTTCAATCCAACAGCATTTTGGGTGGTGGGGCTGGTTCTCTCTGGAGACTTGATGTGGGAGCATTGGATTTTGGCTTGCTGTTGGAGTGTTTAAAGCATGTATCCACCTCTGCTCTGCCTGTGATCTAGCCAATTTATATATTTAGAAAACACCATATGCTACTAACAACCTCCTTCCAAGGGAAACTAAACCCAGGTAAGATCTGTGCTCATGAAATTTGTCTCTGCTCAGAGAAGTGCAGTGAGCATAACAATGCTAGATGTGGGCAATTTAGCATCCAACAATAATTTTCCTTGAATAATATTTAGAAATACTGTTTTATGTTTTTAAATTTTGGTTATGAACCATTTTGTGGGATTTGTTAATGGTTGGATATAGGATGAAATACTCATATAAATAAATACAAAGCAACAGATTTGTAGAATTTAAGTACAATAGTTCAATATTTCTGATTTTTCACTGGGTGTCTGTGTTGTTTCCTATCACATAAAAGGCCTACTTATCCTGTTAACTGTTAACACAAACCATTAGGGCTATTATGTTGTGGCTTGGAAAGATAATAAACTGAGAAAAAATGAGCTAGTGGTTATGTAATGACCAGAAGTGAATTTAGGCTGCAGTCATAAGCACACAAATCTTGAAGTAAGTTTTCCAGAAGCCAGAGAGACTTAACTGCTGAGTAGACAGGTGCTGTCAGTCACCTATTTACCACCAAATCATGTTTTTGCCCCAAACATTTTGTTTCTATATGACAGATAATCCTTGCAACCTCTGCGTTGAGCTTCTGCCATGACGTACCATATCATTAACCAAAACATGTTGGGTTTTTTTAATCATCAAGTGCATGATACTGAGATTTTGTGGCTCTTGTGTATTTCCAGCCAAGTCCATCTACCTCAAGCCTGAGTTCTACTCATTCCGCTTCACCTAATGTGACCAGCTCTGCTCCATCCAGTGCCAGAGGTTAGTGCTTCATTACACAGAGATCCTTCTGGAAGCTTTTTGGGGCACAAAACTATTTCTGTGCTACTGATTCTTGCCTGTGTGATTTGGAATTCCGCAAAGGAATGTAGGAAATCTCTTATGCAAGTCAGACCACTGGTCCATGTAACCCAGAATTATTGACACTGCCAGTGGCCACCTGCGTTTCAGGCAGTAGTTTTCCAGCCATACCTGGAGTTGCCAGGAATTTTCTTGGAACCTTCTGTATGCAATGCAGATGTTCCACCACTGAGCTACAGTCCCTCCCCAGTAGTGGAAGATGAGCCAGTGTCAAGTCTCTGTCTCTGTACCTTCACTGATAATAATAATCCACCAAACTGAAGCTCAGAATTGCACTGATTTTTGAGGTTTCTCTTGTATTCCAGGGTCACCTCTCTTGTCTGACAAGCTTAAACATTCCAGAGAAAATTCTTGCCTATCTCCAAGGGAGAGGCCCTGTAGTGCCATTTACCCTAATCCTGCTGAGCCTTCACAGGTAGGCATTACAAAGGGTACCTTCACAGGGCAGCCCTCCTGCAAATGGGCTGCTGTGGTGTTAAAATGTTATCGATCTTCCTGCCAATTCATATGTTTGTTTTTTGTGTGTGCTAAAGGTACAAGAGATCTATTTGACGATATTGGAATTCTTCCCCAAATGATACATAGCAGTTTACTGACAGAGTAACCAATAGTTAAGCTTCTGGAATTCTTAGCTGATTCAGTACAGACAGTTCTTGGAGGATAAAGAGAGAGATTATGAAGGATGAAACTCTCCAAATAATTTTGTTAGTGGCACTGTGCTGTAATTTACAGTCTCCTGTGTGTGAAATTCTTATAAAGCCTGGTCAGTGTACCTACTATTTTTCAATTGCATAAGTAATTGCTAACACAGACATTCATTTTACCTAGTACATCTATCCTTGAGATGTTTCTTAAAACCTCTGCAGTCCATTCCATCTTCACATCATAGCACTAACAATGCAGTTTGAACATCATGGCCAGAATAATCTTTTGACCAGGTTCCCTGAATTTTGTGGAATTCTGGCTTTGTCAGTAGAACACTTTGCTCTATCCAACTTAGAAATAATCTAGGTTGTCCTGACTCCCCCTCCCATCTGCTTGGATATTTGTAATTAATTTTCTTATATGTAGTTCCTCCCAGATTTACACCATGATCTTTCACAGTCTTATAACTAGCTGGTTGCCACAATAGCTGATACTTGCTAAGTGACAGCAACTGCTTAGCAAACGTCAATCCTGAATTCAGTTTAGAGATTCCTACTGTCCTCTGAAGCAGCCAAGTCAGGAAAGGGGTCCAGGAAAATGTTCTGTTTGTAAAGTGGCTTTTAACACATGCCACAGAGAAAGAATTGTGCCATTTTTGCTCCCAGCCTGCAAACTCTTGCTTTGCCAAGTGGAATGAGGCCTCCATTCCGCGCTGCATCAGAGATTCACCAAGGGAGCATGAGGAGCACGTAGGCCCAGTATCTGCTCTCCCAGAGGCTTACCTGACAGGAAAATCTCCTAATCTGTCAACAACCTCAGTAGGCCCTGACAGGGTAAGTAGAAAAAAGTATTTTTCTCATGCAAATGTAATGAAGATAAGGGCTCAAGCAGCTTGTTTTTTTTATCTCGCCTCCTTCAATTCAAAGAGAAGAGGCAGATTTTCCTGTGAGGTGTCTGTGTTACAGAATGCCACCAGAGCAAACTTTTTTGGGATATTAGGGGGAAAGATGGCATGCTTCTTTGCCAGAAAATGGAAAGTTATTTATGAGAGGCATATTGGAGTCTTGGCACACTAAAAAAACAGCCCCAGCTATTGAGATCAATTCAGTCATTCATCTGAGAAAAAAATCACGTGGAGCTTAAATCATTCCTGACAGATTATAGGAAACTTTATTGAGGGCACTTAAAAGTGGTGAGCAGGTCTGGGCCACAGGTGTAAAATGCTAGCTTGATTCATGCTTGGGATTGTTGGTCAGGAATACATCGACCTCATTTTTTTCCATGCTGCCCTTTTGTAATTTCTCATATCATGAAAGCACATCCAACTCATACCATGTAATGACTTGTTCATTTTTTGTAATGGCGAATTCAGTAAATATCAATGGGTATTGATATTGGGTCAATGTTCATATCGTATCATTCTCATCCACTCTCGCCCACACTGAATTAATTAACATGTTGGGCTGTTGGACTAGTTTACCATTCTCTGCTTATGAAAAGATGGTGTCTGGCTGAGCTGCAATGTGTTTATTCTCCATTGTTCAAATGAAGCCTGCATGTCTATTGCTAGTGACAAAATTTGTCATGTGTTTATTGACCTAGTATGAATGATCAGAGTGACTTTGAAAAGTCATGGTGGCTTGTTGAGACCCACGGTGTTGCTAGGCATGATTTGTATGATCACTGCCAACTGCAGCGTATTATGTCATTCAAAGATGGAAAGCATAGCTTGTTATAGGGATAAACAGTTCTCAAATAAACCTGTAATTACCCTATTTGAGGTTGTTTACCCTCCAAAAAGCCATGCCACCAGGTTCAAATGACATGATAAGCCACAGTTGGGAGATGATCATGCAAATTGTGCTTAGCATGTGTCATGTCACTTGCTGAAGCCATCGTGATCATGCAAACTAGCCCACTGTCTTCTCTACATTCTGATGCAGTTACTAAAAACTTCTATCTTTTCCTTTTTTCCCATGTTAATTAGCTCATGATTTCCTTTTCTCATAAATGCATTGTTTACCCAGTCTAGTTATCTGGCATTTTTTATGAGGTTGTTTCTACCACTTTACCAGTGACTTCAATTCTTTTGCTGGTCCATGTATATTTTGGCCACAGAAAAGATACTAAGTCCCAATATGTTTGAAATTCTGCATTTGCTAGTATTCAATTTACATTGCTTGTTACATATGAACAGAATTGTTGATATTTAGGCTCCTGTGATACAAATGGGGTAGCATTTTAGCATTTGCAGCCAATGAACTTTTTGTTCTGGTAGCTTATCAGTAGCTCTTTCAGGATCTACTAATGTTATTACTATGAAATTATTTGAAATAATTTAATACATTTTCTGATCTGCTATGCAACTCAAACTTTGTCACTATACCTTTGCCTCACTTTCTTTACAGTATCAGTAACTGCCTTGGTAGAGAGATGCAGGAATTGTCTTTTGCTTTTTTTCAGTACTATTGACTAAATGATATTGCCTTCATCCATAGAATATTCAGTTTCAAAACTAGGTCTAAAATAGTGAACTAATTTATCTGATGATTATGGAAAACTATTATTTTAAAAGGAAGTTGTAAATGTTGTCTCATAAGTGGAGCTATACATTCATATGGAAATCTGAGATATCATTGGGTGCCTAAAATTATTATTAAATTACAAATGTGAAGTCAAGAAAAGAAGATACTTTGGTGCAAAAAAGAATGTTTTTTTTTTATTTGCTAATACCTTTATTGTAAAAGCTCAGCGTTCCTGCAGCTGAATTTGAATGGCTATCACCCCCTTTGTGGCATCTTAGTCCCTATGACTCTCCTTTCTGATAGGAGTTACCTTTGCATACATCCACTATACATGGGCATTTTTCAGATTAAGTATTTCGAATTTGACAGTACAGAATTAGCCTTTCATTGTTTCTGTGCATTATTTAAATTCAATGACTTCCGAAAGGCAACCTCTTAACATGCAAAGAGAATGGATGCCAACTTGCCAAACAGAGCACTTAGACTGTTCTGAAGATCCTCTCTTTTTAATAAAATATATTCCTAAGTTGAACTTTAGTTTGTCAGACATGCTGAATTGGTTTGTAAGAGTTTTGATACAAATTCTGTCATAAAATAGCCTCCTAGGAAGGCCTTGGCCATTATTGGTGGCCTATAAATACATGTAAATAAAATAAATAAAACACAATGTTCTGAATTTTTAGAGAATTATGTTCAATCATATTGGAGATACCGCCTTGCCTCGAAGTGATCCTAATTTGTCTGGTCCTGAGAAAGGTAAACATTTACTGACCTAATTATGCAATAATTTAATAATTTTATTTTATTCTAATTTTTTACCTTATTTTACTGTAGCTCTGAATGAGACCTAGATGCAATGTTGGAGGAAGGGATTATTATGTTACATTCTAGTGCATTCTGGTATTTATTAATTGGATTGATACGTTTTATTATATGTGTTCTTGTATATGTGTTTTATACTATTCGTGGTAATTTTGATTTTGTAAATGGTCCAGAGAGCCTTGAGCTGATCGGCTGTGAAGAAATGTAATTCATTTATTTATTTAATATTTATACCATGCCTTTCTGTAAAATACCCATGATGGTTAACAACTACAAGCAAATCAGTACACCAGTGTGTGGCCCTCCAGATAGTGTGCCCTACAACTCTCATCAGCCCTAGCTGCCATAGCCAGTAGTGACGGATAATAGGATTTGTAGGCTAAAGGCTGGAAGATTATGAATTGCACACCCCTGTGATATACAATCATAAACACTACGTTGTGAAGAAGAAATGTATTTATTCATTCCTAGAAACGTATGCTTTGCATTTCAGTCCAAATAGAGTTCCTTGAAGGCAATTTTCAATGAAAACATACAAATAACCTTAAAACATTTTTAAAATAACATACAAGTAACATATATTAGTCTGTAATACAATTTTATAAAAGTATAGCCAAAACTGCAGTCAGTGCTATGTTCCAGTTAGAAGCAAAGTCTTTCTAAGTGTTCTGTATTAAGTTAAATATATGTGAAGTAGTTGATGTTAATTCTTGATAGCTTGGAATGTGAATGCCCCATTTTCTCACTATCTTCCAGCTGTAAACAGCACTCCCAGCAGCTGGAGCTTGGATAGTGGGAAAGAAGCCAGGAATATGTCTGAGAGTGGAAAGCTTATGTCTCCTCCTGTGCCGCCACGCCCCACACAAACCGGTATGTGTGTACATCGCAAGCAGCCTTTTCTATCTCCAGTGGTCACTTGTGTGGAGGGTTCTGCGTGCCACAGCATGAATGCAGCTCAGGTTTGGCTTCTCAGCAGAAAGCTAGGCCAAGAATGGATTGAGCCCAGTCCACAAGGTAAGTGGGAACATCATGGCAAGGATTTAATATCTGAAGTCCTGCCTTGATGAGACGCTGCAGCAGCTAGTTAAGATAGTTCTCGGTTCAGCAGTGGGTAATAGCTGGCTCTGTGAAGAAATAGGGAAGAAGTAGGAACGACAAGGAGAAGAGGGTATTTATGGGATGTGGGGAAACTAGGCATGAGGAGAACAATATAAAAACCCAGAAGTAGTAGTCGTGGATGTTCTGCAAGTCAAGGTTGCCTGTTGCCTCCAAGGCTTGGGTCAGCTGTACTTTTTGAGGAGCCCAGGACAGTGAGTTTCAGTGTAAATTGTATTGTTTTAATCATATTGTGAGGCACTCAGAGAGCCTATGCCTAACAGGGCAGCACAGCAGTTAAATAAATAAATAAATAATAAAAAATCTAAGATGGGGAATCAGGAAAAGCATCCTGGGCTCTTCTGAGAGGACCATTGTAGATAACAGGGTGCTCCAATGCAAAGAAGAAAATATGTGTATGTTACCAGTTTACAGGTAACAAATTTATTTTTATTAACAAATTCCATTCTCAATTTAGTTAAATTCTTGTGAAGCTGAACATGTTTTCTTCACAGCATCGCCAGCTCGACATGTGACCTCAGTTTCCCCTTCTCCTGCTGGAAGATCTCCAATGAAGGTAATGGCCCTGCCCTACATGAATTCTGAAGTATAGTCTTATGTTGTGTATTTCCCTCTTTTACACTGACCCTTTTCCCGCCTCATAATAATGACAAAATTATGTCGTAACTGTTTTCCTCAAAAAGTTTAACTGTTGAAACTAGTGCTTCATTTTTATATTTATGAAGTAATATTTACTACTAGTAATTAAGAACACATGTTAAAATCCATTGCTGTGCAATGGAAATGGACCACTGTGCTCTCTAAATCATCTTCTAGGCTAACTGGATAGCATATTTAGTCATTAATGAAAGAACCATGACTTCATTTGAAGAATCTGGAAGTTTATGTGTATTATTTATTTAGAATATTTATATGCTGTCCTGTCGCGAAGGCCTCAGGATGGCTTACATAAATAAATAAAAAATAATATAAAACATAATACAAATGACTTTCAGATCCACCCTGGCTGCAGATTAAAAACATATATAAACCAATATTAAAAGTTATTAAAATATTGTTGGAATAAAAAGGTCTTAACCTGGTGCCGAAAAATAAATAACGATGGCGCCAGATGGATTTAGTAGCTACATGTGTCTCTGGGGAGCGCATTCCATAGGTGGGACACCACCGCAGAGAAAGCCTCCTCTGGGTACTTTGCCTCCTAATATCTTTCACAGAGGAGGGGCTCTGCTGCCGATCTCAGGGGGCAAATATGGAAGAAGGCATTCCTTTAGGTATCCAGGTCCCAAGCCGTATTCAGAAGACAGTAGCCATAAGCTAGAACAGAAAAACATTTACTTTTTCTCATAGAGTTAGCAGCACAGCCATTCAGGTCCCCTGAATCCCAAAAGCATTAGTAGCTTTCTTCGCCACGGAGTGGTGGAACTAGAGTCAAGGTTTTCTGGATAATAATTGTTCCTATCAGTGTTGATATTCCTAGGTTGCTGGGTATTTAGTAGCTACATGTGTCAAACTTAAAGAAAACATCACAGTTGAGGATAGTTTGGCAGTCAGCTATATAGAACTGCTGGGGTTAAATGTAGGAAAGAATGGCAGGTCTCCATGCGAAACCTGGATCATATTGACCTGTTTTTTGCAAGCCATTCAAGTAAAGGTAGAACTCAACCTGTAAGAGTACAATTGATTATAATGGAGAAGAAAGTGAAGGAAACATTCAGAAGGGAGTTGATTTATCCTGGTAAGTGAGCTGCTATGCTGGCTGTAAATGTTCTCTCTCAGAACATTTGTATCTTCCTTTCTGAAGGGACATACTCAACCCAAATGTTTTACCTTTTTACCATGTAAGTTTAATGGGGTGAACATATTTCAGGTATTATGTGGTGACAGCTAGTGCTTCCTATGTGATGGGATAAAGCCCCTTGAAAATTAGCATTCTTTCCCATGTGGTAAAATACCAGCTGAAACCACACAGAGGCACATTAATAAGAAATACTTGCCATGTATAATTGACAAGAAAATTCTCTTGTGATAGCTTCATGTGTTACTTTTGAAGTGCTGAACCAGTGCTAACTCTTCATTTAGCTAGACTGCAGCTGCTAAAGAAATGGCAATAAGAGCACTTTTTAAGGCCAAGGATGGGCACATTTCAAACTTAAAAAAAAAAAAGAACTCTTTTGACTTTCTTTGGATTGTTCCAAAAGCAGAAATCTCTGTTGCACAAATAGTGGGGAATTAAAACTGCCCATTGGATTCTGCCCAGTATTTTCTGTAGTTTTTATTGAAGTGTTTCAAATAAGTACATGGCAGTGCTTGATTTGTGCATTTTTGGCTAAATACACTGCTAACAAATCTGAAAATGTTATGGGAATCGTATTTTAATGATTCTTTGAAACATTTCGGGAACATCTTAGGTTAATCATCCAACTGGGCAGATGTGGACTTACTTGGAATACCTGAATTGCCTGATGACAAAAATCTAGCCAAGAATGAAGTGTTGCTTGAGATGGCAAATCAGCACTGATGATTCTGGTCACAATCCAGTGTAAATTTGTATTTAATGTGCACCTTAGTTACATTAATTTTAATGAGATTTAGGCATACTTACCTTTTTGCAGACATTCACCCTTTGTGCAAACTTGAACTCATATCTTCCCTTTCTCTGAAGAAGCCCAGGGTGGCAGACATACAGCCCCCATTTTATCTCCACAACAATCATCCTTTTATGTAGGAGAGGCTGAGACAGGTGTCTGGTCCCAGGCCACCCAGTGGGTGTCATGACTGAGTGGAATATGAACAGGGATTTTCCAGGCTTAGCTTAGCCTTACACTGCGCTGGCCCTCCTTTGGTGAATGTTAATATGCCTGGCAGCAGATGTTCAGAACCCAACGAGTGCTATTGCTCTGCAGGGGATGGAAACCCAGCAGGTTCCATATGTACTTTATGGCACATTTACTTTAAACTACTGTTAGTACAGTACTAATTATAGAGTGCTTATATAGAATATGTCCTGTCACTGAGGAGTATCAACCTCCCCCCTGTGGCCTTCCTTGGCCTCCGGATGTTTTGAACTTCAGTTACCATCAGCCCCGGACAGCAAAACTGATCGTCAGGAATGTTGGGCATTGTAGCTCAAAAATTCTGGAAGGCATCAAGATGGGGACGCTTGATATGTCCTCACTGCCAATCCTACCATTTGTGACAATTTTGAGAAAAAATATTTGAAAAGTATACTTGTCATGCAGTACTTGTTCTTGGCGTTAGAGGGCACAGTATTACCACTTACATGTTAAAATGTGCTGCTTATTTTTTAAGCATTTCTGGAAATTTTATAGTGTTGCCGGTGAATAAGCATGCAATTGTAAACAGTAGCACTTTTTAGTTATGAAGCTGAAAAACCATTAACAAACTTTGTTGTTTGAATTCTTGGTATCTCCTTAGTTAAGTGCTACCATATCACGTGGAAACAGAATGAATACAGAGGAAAGCAAATCCATAATTTGGTGTGCCCACTTCAAAGAAAATACCTTTCTTCTCATCTTGCTTTTACGCTTTTGGGCTTATTTCTCCTCTTTTTTAAACCCAGGGTTCAGTGCAATCGTTCACACCGTCACCTGTTGACTACCATTCCTCAGGGCTCATTTCCAATTCCCCAGTCTTGTCAGGAAGTTACAGCAGTGGGATCTCCTCACTCAGTCGATGTAGCACATCTGAAACATCCGGCTTCGAAACCCAAGTCCATGAACACCCGGTATCTATTTCTAACTGCAATGTTTCTGAGGAGCCAGTGAGAAAAGAAAGTAAGACTCCCCCACCTTACAGTGTTTATGAACGGACATTGAGGCGTCCTGTCCCACTTTCCATTCCCATTCCTACGGATCCACCAGCGCTGCCACCCAAACCTCTCTTGGTCCGACCAAACAATCTGGAAAGTAGCAGCAAGAGAACTGAACATGTCCCTCGGCCCAGACCTCTTCCAAGAAAAGTGTCTCAGTTATAAGAAAAGAAAAAGAGAAGTCATTGTTGGTAATGACTTAAGTGGAAAAATACACATCTAATATAGGCACTTTAATATTTTTCACAACTATTATTTCCAGTAACTTTTTAAAATTGCTTAATATTATGTTGCACATTTTTGTGAAATGAAAGTACTAACCTAGAATGCCAGACATTACAGTAAACCAGACTGAAAGAACTGCAATAGCATTAGGGTACAATAAATATGGATTCATTCCAACTTGAATCAGAAGCTCAGTTTTTGAACATACTTTAATCAAAACTATATTTCCCCTTCACAACTTCATATTAATATGATACTGTACTTTTTTGAGCATGCGGAATAATATGGTTTAAACAAAGGATATAGAACAAAGGTTCCTGTAACTGTCTAAATTTTTGCAAATGGTTTGAAACTGTTTCTTTACCATGTTTGAACCTATTAATTCTTGTACATGAACAAAAAGAATAATAATTCAAGTGATGATATTGCCTTGGGAAATTATAATGGTGTTGTAGTTGAGTTCATGAAGCAAAATACTTGTTTGGGTTGCTTTCTTTCTACTGACACATGGATCCATTTTATTAAATGTACCTATGTATTTTTTTCAGATATATGAGATTTTGTTTAAGGACAAAATGTTCAGCACTTTGGTACATAACTCACATAATTTTCAGACAATTTATTTTATTTGGGTTGTAATTTACTTCACAATTCCATGCAGAACAGAAAGAACATTGTATTTTCCACAGAAAGTTGGTTGACACTAACAATTCACTTTTTGAAAATCCTTGGTTTGACAGAAATAAATTAACCCATGAGTTGTTCTTGCGGCTCCAATGTGTCCTATTAACAGGGATCCAGCAGCCATTATCAGTGCAGTAAACAGCATAAAAGTAAGTAACTGAGTGCAATCATTCACGAGGAATAACAGCAGAAGGCACTGAGTATAGCATTTGGCTCAAACAGCAGAAGATCCCATCTTGCCTAGTGAATTGTTTTTGTTACCTAATCAACCATCTTGCCCATTTTGAGACTCTGTTGTGAATATGCTGCTGCACTGCAGAAATCTTAGGAGATGTCTAGGAAAAGGCAGGTCCCTTTTCCTGCAGGGTCCTCACTACCTGCTGTGTGGTCTTGATTGCTCACATTCTTCTTAGCAGGGCAGTTTCCCTTCCAACCATTTGCACTCTGGCAGAGAGAAGGAGTAGCATGGCACATGAAGGGCTTTAATAGACAAATTCATGGGCTCTCAAGTTTTCCCCACTTCTTCATCTGTGTAGTTTAAAGAAAGAAGCAGCAAATAACTCCTGCCTCTGCCATTTACAATTGTTACAATAGCTCTATTCAAGTGCATATTACCAATTACCTTTAGACATCATGGACTGACAAGAAAGGAACAGCACAGGGTGAAGGAGTTCTGCATGGCATGTTCTAAACTCTCAAAGCAAGAGAGCTTGAGATAGGAACTCTGTACATATCAGGGTACAGAACATCAGGTTGAACTTCCAGTCTTGCTCTCTGGGGTTCTTCTTCGTGGTCTCTGCACATCACACACATGGGCTTTCCACCTGCATGGAGCAGGAAGATTCTATAGCTAAGCATTAGATTGGGTAGGAGCCCCTTCCTTCCTGTTCCTGACATCCATGGGAAGGGCTTCTGCCCATTCCATTTTGACCATCTCCATACCTGGATTGGCTCCTCAATTTGAGCATTTTTTCCAGCATTTATTACCTTTCTCTCTCTACCACTTTCTACTCCACTTTCTACTCAGCCATCATCTCTCCATGAACTTTGTTTATACTCTTCACTCATAAAATCTCCACTCCCCCCCCCCCATATCCTGATAACAGGTTCCACGCAGGTACAGAGCCCATACATGTGGTACACAGATGACCACTCAAAGCACAACAGTTACAGGTAAGCAACCTGACTTTATCCAGAGGAACACACCTCCTTCCCCCAGCCCTATTCCCTTCTACCACAACCATCAATGGTTTAGTGATGTCCCTGCTTTTGTGTAGTTTGTTCTCCATTCTAAATGGTTGAAATGCCTTTCATAAGGCTTGGTTACTGTCTGCAAGAGTTCTAAGCTAAATATGCTGATGTTTTTGCCCATCCCTTTTTTCTTCAGCCCCATGAACAGTGGAATGTGGGACCCAAGCACTTTTCTAAAAAGGAATTCAGGGCCAAGCAAAACTTTCTTGCATTGGAATTTTGGCATGGAAATTGGTCAGAAGGGAGTATAGGCCAGTGCAGAGAAAACATTAGTCTGCAGTAAGAGGTATCACTGTTTGTAGCCCCAATTTCTGCAGCGTGCTTTGCCAGGAAGTGCCCTTACTCTTGCCAGGTGATATTCTAGGTGGCATTTTGCTAGACAGCTCCTGCAGGGCCACTTGAAAACTTGCTTGCTTTCTGTACCTAACAAACTGAAACGACTTGTATAGCAATTTTTCTCTTTTTTTCCCCCATTTACGTACTCTCTGTAACACCTGTTTGCCATGCTAAGTATGATTTGTCTTTCTCAATCATACCGTTAAAAGTTATCTCCCTGTTTTGTTGGGAAGTTTGTATGGATTTAACAGTTCGCCTTGTTGATAGCTTAACTGGAACATAGTGACCACTTTTTATATTCCCTCCATGAAACCTTCAGCAGGTATATGCTGTTAATGGTAGCTACAGAGGTTTTCTATAATAAATGTTCAAATATTTTTGTACATAACTGGTAAATTTTAATAAGGAGTACAACTATGTGGAAAAAAGAAGCAAACAGTTGTGTATGCAGTAAGATTGTTATAATTATGCCAAATACTTTATGTAAGTGGGGGACATGGGGAAGAATATTTGTACATATATGCTTTTAACAATAATTCTGCCATATTGATTCTACAACTTTGAATGTCAGAAAAATATTAATATATGTTGAAATATCTATGTTTAGCAGAAGTGTTTATAACTGGAAAAGGAGCATATGAATTTTAGCTTTGTACCTTGCTGATTTTGAAGTCCTGAGATTTCTTGAACTAGCTCTCGCTTTTGATCATAACATTTTCGTGTCTGCATAACCAGATTTTCAAAGCTGTTAGCTATATATTTATGCTGGTTTTTTAAAAGCTATTGTAATTTAAATAAAGTGTCACAAACTGGATAACAAATCCACATTGATCCCTCCCCACCTTATACATAGAGCTGAATCCATGTGTTGCCTGGTGCTTTCAGCATAGTCTGAATCAGTGTTATTTGCTCCTCAAGTCAATTTTTAAAATATATTTGACAGTAAACAACATTTTTACTCACGTGCACGTATTACTGATGTCTGCTTGGCAGCAAAACATTTTAATGTAGTTAAATGTTTACAGATGGTTATACTGGTTGCTGAAGAACCGTAAATACAAAATAAAATGGATTGATCTTCATTGTACAATTTTGTTTTCTGCTGAGTGCTGCATTGTAAATCAGCTTGCCATGGAATTAAAGTTTCAGATTCCTGTCTTTGATCCACCTTTATTTCTGATTTTGAGCAAGAGAGATCAGCAACACCTTGCTAAGCCTTAGTTTCTTCTCTCCTTTTCCTGGATCAGCTCCAAAATGGTTTTCAAACATTTCCCAAGCGCTTTCCCAGAAGATCATTTCATTGACCATTATTTTATTTATTAAAACATTTTTATGCCTCGGGGCAGCTTACAACAATACATTAGAAACCACATAAATAAAAATTAAAATATATACATTAGAATAATAATTTAAAAATTTAATATATATATATATATATATATGTATGTATGTATGTATGTATGTATGTATGTATTAAAGTTGTAGTAGCTCCAGGCAATCAAAATATATTTTTCTTAGAAAGTGTGTCTTTGGACAAATCGTATTTTCCATTTCTTTTAACTTAATGTTATGTCCTTAGGAAGGCACAATGGCTGGGTTTGAATGTGGCACGAAACTAGGACAAGCCTTTGTGAGCTTAAGCAAAGCAGTGGGCTCACACATGGTTGAAAGGAGGACTTAACCAGCATTCAGTCTCTATAAGACCTTGGCATTCATTATGTGCAGTGCTGGCTTCAGGAGTTTGAAGGCCCTTGTGCAAGATACCCAGTGAACTCCATTCCCTTAGTGGATACCTTCTCACGGGCACTGTAAGCTCCCCCTGCCCTCATTGTTGCTACCTCTTGCTTGCGTGACAGATAGTGAGCAAATAGGCAGAGGCATCTGCTACTTTTCCTTCTTACCACCACTGCTTTCTCGGCCAGAGCAAGAGGTGTGAGAACAAGCAGGTTGTGATGGTGGAGGGTTAATTTCAAGGGCTGTAAGTGAGCCTCTAAATGGGTGCCCAGTTGCACTTATCCTGCTTCTGTATGAACCAGGAGTCAAGGCAACAGGCATGAGCATGTGAAGCAGACTCTTGCAATGCCACAGGGCCTGTTCCTGTGGTTATGGGATCACATGTGCTAGTAGCATACTAGGAAGGGGGTGATGTGCAGAATTATTTCTCCCAGTGCAGCTTGCCATGTTGTGTGAGGTGAGTGGGTAGCTTGTTGTCATGGTTAGCAAGCCAGCTCAGAATCCAAAAGAACTTGTGTGGTCCGGATGTCTTGTTATCCACAGCAACAAGACACACCTGCAGTTTTGTATCACAAAGTAAGCTGTGCCAGAGAGGATGCTTCCAGCCCGAGATGCTTATGGGACATTGCCTCAGGTTATAGCTAGATCAATCCTGACCCTGCCAGGAATGTGCAGTCCAAGAAAGATCAGGAGCTATACTCTATTTTTTCTCCTCAAAACCTACCAGTGGCTCAAAACTATGGGCTATGTGGAGGTGACAGAGTTGCTTTCATATATACAGAGTATAGATGGACAGTTCTGGAGTTCTGGAGGCAACACAGGGCTCACCGGCAAAGATACACTAATACAATGAACTCTTAATACAAAGCTGTGCAAATTATGACCCCCACAGTCATTACTTAAAGACTATTAAAACGTACCATCCCATCCCCACAAATATGAGAACAAGGTGGCTTTGTTAAGCCAAAATAAATTGCTGCTGAGTTTGAAAAGGTCTGGTATGTGTTGGTGTTTCCCATATGCAAAACCTTTCTACTTGTGTAAAAAATTAAGTGTGGGAGGGATACCGTGGCGACCATTCTCTTTCACTTGCCCTCTCTAGCTCCTTCAGAAGTTATCCAAACAACTTATTATTATTATTATTATTATTATTATTATTATTATTATTATTATTATTACATTTCTATGCCGCCCCTTGCCGAAGCCTCGGGGCGGCTTACAACACAATAAAATACATTGAAATAGGTAGGGGTCTGAACCTGTTGGCTTTACTCCCAACATTCCCATTCCTTCCACTTCCACCTTTGATCTTTATGTGTTGAACAGATGGTCTGAAAGCAGAACAAACGTATGTTGGAACTCATATTACGCAGGATCTCCAGCCACATGCATAAGCCTGCATGGGTTAGCCAAAAACATATTGGCTTCTCCTTCAGCCTAGCACAGAAGGGAAGGGATGGAGTCAGCAGAGACAAGGAACTTGGGGCTATGGTGTGCACCATTGCACCTCCCTTTGTGTGCATGAGGAATCAATTCTGGCTGGGCTTCCTTCTGGGTCTAATCTGCACAACTGACCAGCAGGAGAGTAGAAGACAAGTGGAAGATGCCATTCTTCCTCCTCACTTTTGCTACTGCTGCTTCTGTAGAGAAATCTAGAACAGATTCAAATGAGTTTGGATTTCTATGAATTTGACCTGTAAATTGAATATTGAGTTTTCTGAGTGAAGTGGGTTCTGTAGATTTTTCAGTTTTGATAGAGGGGTAGGTTGGTGCTAACATGCAATGGGCTACTTGTACTAAGATGCATTAAGGTACTTGTGAACTAGTGTAAGTAAAATTAAATTCTGCTAATTAAAATAAATCCAATTCCATTAATGGCCTGACGACAAATGAAAGATGCCCAAGAATCCATAAAACACAGATACAAATGATCTAAATTTCCCATCTTGGACAGGTAGGAGACAAGCATCATAAATAAATTTTTAAAAATCTTGAATCTGTTGTTCTAATTATTAACTTTGCTGATGGCTCTCTGATATTTTAATATTTTGTTATTCCAATTGCATTTGCTATTTTGTTTGTTATTGTATTTTTCTTGTAGGGGTTAAACTTGTAAACTGTCCTGAGGGGATATGCCAGTTGGCTGGTATATTAATAAAGCAGGACCTCTGTATCTGCAGATTAGTTCCAAGCTCTCCAGCAGATGCCTGAAACCACAGATAATAGAGAACACCACACACACTATATATATATATATATATATATATATATATATGTATGTATATACAGTACATTTCTTTTTGCACAATTTCATTCATTCTTACCTCAGCATACAATTCTTTTCTTTCCCTATCAAAGCAAGAATTTTCACTTATATGAAGCACTTTACGACTTCTCTTTGGCACTTTACAGCAGTTTTGTACTTCTCTTTTGTCAGAGGTCAGCCATAGGTAAGTGCAAACACAGTAACTGAGCCATGGGGATCCTGCAGTACATGAATAAATACATAGTGAATAATTACTTGAAATATATCTTAATATTATATGAGCTGTGCTCCATACAACAGGTAGTGCAGATCCCTTTCCATAGTGCCTAGTTCAGGTTTTGTATTTCTTTTGTTCTGTCTTGAGGGAGTTCCTGATACATTCAGATTTATGCTGGAGGCTTGTGCTATTTGGATAACACAGCTCACTGAAGGAAAAAAAAAAAAACCTTTGATCCTCTAAGTGCTATAACATTTAAGCAGTCAGGAGGATTTCACTCTGACAGAGAATTCATATTAACCTCTTCAATTATGGATACCTCTTGGAGATGGTTCTGTTTTGCCTGGTAAGGCAAGTCACATCTAACATTTTGAAATAGTGTGCTAATTATGTTGTTGTAGTTGAAATTTGTTGGCATTCTGCTCGGAAACAGAGTTACTCATGAATATCCATTATGAACAGGCAGAGCCTCTGACAGCTGATTGGTACCTGTGGCCTTTAATGAAGTAAATATAGCTGACCTCTCCATCGCTGTCATTTTTTAAAATTTGTCTTTTCAAAGTTACTGGCTTTGGTTTAGACTTACCTGGTGTGGAATTCATGTCTTGATCTTGGGAGAAAGGAAGGCAGACTGTTAGAAATTGCTTAGCGTGGGCTGAGGGTTGACCCACACTTGACTATTCACTTGAGGGAACAGGTATGACAGAAGAAGGGGCAGGCCAAGTTTACAGCTGTTAGCACCCAATTAATTATGGGTTTCATGGAAAGTAGGTGGCAACAAGAAGAAATTGACATTTGTATATTTCCGTCAGTCATCAAAGGGAGACCACAGCAATGAAATTTGAAGAAGACTGAGACTTTCAAGGGCAGCAATGAAGAAACTAGAAAAGATAATCAATTGTAAGGGATGTTTCACTGGATCATTCACACCATTATATTCCTGACTGCAATGTATGGGGGTGAAAGCTGGACAGTGATGAAAGCTGATGGGAAGAAAATTGATGCATTCAAAACATCACAGTGGATGACAGCTTTATGAACACACTGAGCCAAGAGGAAGATGAACAAGTGTGTCCTAGATCAAATCAAGGGAGAACTTTTCCTAGAAGCAAAACTGACAAAACTAAGTTGTTACACTTTCGACACATCCTGGGAAGGCAAGACTCACTGGAGAAAGGAAATCTTGCTGGAGAAAGTCAAAGGTGGAAGAAGAAAAGGAAGGCCAAATAAGAGATGGATTGAATTCACAAAGAAAGCCACAGTCTTGAATTTAGAACAGCTAAACAGGGATGTCATGGATAGGACATTTTGGAGGGCTTTCCTTCATAGGATCACCATAAGTCAGAGAAAACTCAACAGCACATAACAGGTGGTAGGTAGAGGCAGCTGCCTGAGACAGTTGCTTCACTGTGTCTAATGGTAGGGCCAGCCTCAATAATAATCTGAACTTCTTTTAGCCAAGGTAAAATTACCCCATTTCTGCTTTAGAAACAACTAATGGCCCACTCTGGTGCAGCTAACAAGGCAGCCTGAAAATCAGAAGAACCAGAGATAGCTGGGCTTAACTTCTTTCTGGTGTGATGTTTTTTCTCCTTTGTGAAAACCAGAATTGTATTATTACACCATTAGCTATAGACTGCAAAAGAGTTCCTGTTGTTCCTCAAGAAGCTTATTAGATATAAAGAAGTATATACATTCTAAAAATGAATGAACAATTGTCAGAGCATTTGGACAAATAGCCACCACATATACAGACAACCATAATTCTGGCCCAGTATCTCTTTTGCTACAGGCAAGATGTTGCAATGGAAACTATATAATTAGCCATTACTTGTTGATATGTGGTACTTTTGCTTTAAGGGATG